GTACGAGTTCTTGGTGATGCCGTTTGGTTTGAACAATGTTCCCGCAACTTTCCAGCGGATGATGGATGAGGTTCTTTGCGATATGCCGGAAGTGACTGCTGACTTCATTGATGATGTCTTGATCCACTCGGAGGGGACATGGGAGGAGCACGTTCGTGATGTTTGTAAAGTGTTGGATCGGCTACGGGATGTTGGTTTAAAGCTGAAGCGGTCAAAGTGCGTGTTTGGATCCAAGGACACAACTTATCTTGGGTACCGTATTTCTCGTGAGGGTTTGCAAGTTGATCCTGACAAACTTGTGGCTGTTCTAAAGTTCCCTACTCCGAAATGTGTGAATGATGTGCAACGCTTTTTGGGTAAGGTGCAGTATCTCGGTCGTTTTGTGGATCATCTTTCCGATCGCACTACACCATTGCGAGCGTTGCTGAAGTCATCAACGTCATCTTTCATCTGGTCTCCGGATTGTGAGCGGGCGTTCGTGGATCTCAAAGAGCTATTGACGACTCCTCCGGTTTTGGCATATCCTGACTACACTCGACCTTTTATTTTGCGCGTGGATGCTTCTGACATTGGTCTTGGAGGTGTGTTGATGCAAGAGAGCTCGAGTGTGCCTGGTCAGCGCCATCCCATTGCATACATAAGCCGTACATTACAACCAGCGGAGATGAACTACTCCACGATGGAGAAGGAGTGTTTAGCAGCAGTCTGGGGTTTCGAGAAACTTCATGCATATCTACATGGTTCTCGGACGTTACTTGAAGGTGACCATGCTGCTGTTACTTCATTATTGAAGCGGAAGAACCTGGTTGGTCGTACGGCTCGATGGGCTTTGAAGCTTCAGATATATGATTTCGATGTTATTCATCGCCCAGGGAGTTCTATGGCTGATGCTGATGCCCTTTCTCGAGCTCCTCTTCCTTCTCCACTCACTTCTCATGTTTCTGACGAACCTGTTGTTCCAGCGTCTGTGGATTTTCTAGATGAGGATTCTGTGCCGTCGGCGGTTGCTGTCCTTGACGTTCAGTGTCCACAGGGCGCAGAGCAAGATCTACCTTCTCTTGATGAGGTTCGCGAGGCTCAAAAGATTGAGCCGTGGATTCGAAGGCTTCGAAATGGGTTTGAGAATCCTGCATCACTTGCTGATGACTTGCCTTTCCGGCATTTACATTCTCAATATCGCCTTGAAGATGGCCTTCTTTATTTTGTGGGGACGGATCCTGATGATCATTTACGGTTGGTGGTGCCTTCGGTGTTTATTCCGCGGTTTCTCCATGCCTACCATGATTCTCCTGTTCTAGGTGGGCATATGGGACACCGTCGTGTCACCGAGAAGCTGCGCAGGTCTTTCTATTGGCCGGAGATGCGACGTGATATTATCCGGTATGTGCGTAGCTGCGTTTGGTGCCAAGCTCGTAATACTCCCCCTTGTGCTGCAGAAGGACGGTTGGAGTCAATTGCAATTTCCCGTCCGTTTGAGTTGGTGGCGTTTGATCTTATGGGACCTTTTCCACGATCGACTGCTGGCAATGAGTATGTTATTATTGCTTCTGACTACTTGACTCGTTGGGTGGAAGTTGGTGCTCTTGCTAGCGCCTCTGCAACTGCTGTTGGATACTTCCTCCTCAATCGAGTGGTGTTCCAGCATTCTTGTCCAGAGCGGATTCTTTCGGATAATGGTCCTGCATTTATGGCTGAGGTATTTCATGTTTTGACATCTCGGTTGGGGATACGCCACACTTTTATGAGTGCTTATCATCCACAATCAGACGGTCTGGTGGAACGGCTCGTTCGGACATTCAAAGGGATGATTGCGAAGTATGTGAACTTTCAACATTCGGATTGGGATGGTTATTTGCCGTCTCTTCGGTATGCCTATGTCACAGGGGTGCAGAGTTCTGTTGGTGCTTCACCATATAAACTTCTATATGGTCATGATCCAATTTTACCAACAGAGCTGGGTTTACCTTCGCGATTGCCACAAGCTCCTGATGCTAGGTCATGGGATCAATATTTGACAAGCATTCTTCCACTTGTCCGAGCAGAGTCTGCCGAACACTTAGGCCGCGTACAAGTGGGACAACAACGGCGCTACAACTCCCATCATCGTCCACCTGTGGAGTACAAAGTGGATGATTTGGTGTTAGTCCGTTTTCCCCATCTTACGGTACGTGGTTTATCTAAGGGGCTCCTTGCGCAGTGGAAAGGACCGTATCGAGTGTTGCGGCAAGTTGGACCACAAGTTTATGAGGTTCGGCATGACGTTCAGCAGGCCGATCCTCCGGAGATTGTGCATGTGCAGCGGTTAAAACGCTTCATACAAAGGGATCAGGAGCAGTTAATACTGTCTACAGATCCGCCGATGCCTCCTCCTGACGTTCCTCCAGATCCCGGCCCATTTACAAGAGAACCCTGACGGCCTTCCATTATTCCGAGAGGAGGGGATGATGTGAGGGCCAAGTGTACGGCTACGATGCCGTATACTAATATTAGCGTAGTGGATTTTGGTAGCCGTCGGATTGGTTTCAATCCGGACCACTCGCTCCTGTATATAAGCTAGGGTTTTTGGGCTAATTGATATGCACATTTCTGTATTCCCTTTCCATATTCCAGGCACTCACACATCCAAATTTTTCATTAGTTTTCAAAAGAGGAACTGTATTTGAGAAAAGTTGGTACACTATTCATGGCATCTCAAGGGCAACATTTTTTAGGAGGAAAGTAAAATGGAGGAATGATTACTGCGATGCAATCCATGAAAATGAAGGAAATTATAAAACATGTAAAAATATCATTTTTGCTGAAGTATTATTTAGAAGATTTATAAAGACATATAGTGAGAAAATGCCACACAAGACTAGAATGCTTGTTAATAGGATTAAAGATGCACAATATGTTTTTTCAACAATGTACACTCAAGATACAATTTTGATGAAGATTAATGTAGAGTTAAAGCAACAGAAGTAAAAACCCATTAGTCCTTCAACATTTAGCATATTATAGTATATATTTCAAAATATTATAGTTTTTAAAAATGTGACAAGTGCACAATTATTAAAATGGGACTCTCAAAGAACACATGCACAAAGGAGGAAAGAGATAAACTTCATGTAACAAGATCAAAACATAATATGGAGTAGAAGAGTTGCCACATCACATATTATAGTAACCTGAGTCATGTCAATCAAGCATTCAAAAGAGTACCTTAGCATCATTCATGACAAAATGGATAAAAAATATATATATGTTTTCTGATTGAATCCTGTACTTCAAAGGTTTTTTAATTACAATCAAGAGACATGCCTCTAGCCTACACCTGGATCAGTGAAGTGGCACTCCTGCCACCTAGGATCATGTCATAGAGAGCGTATACCTCAACATTGCCTCCACTAACAATGGTGAGAAAGCTAGAGCAAATGCAGTTCATTCGTCAAGGCGAGGATTGGCAGATCTCCAGCACATAGAAAATTGGCTGCAAAGTCGCAAAGCTGTTCCAGCCTGCAGGAGGAGTGTCCTGATCCTTATACCAAGCTTCCGGCGAAGTCACAATGTCGGGAGGAGGCCAGTGCCTGGGACTCGTACTGGCACCCTCCTCTGTAGCATCATGGAGCGCTTTGTTGAAGACTGCTATGTAGTCTCCGGCCTGACTTTGGTTTCTTTCCATGACGAGTTTAACGTAGAGTAGAACCCATGTTCAATTTGGCGGAAGGCATTCCGGTGTAGTGGCTGAGGTCGAAGCTAATCGAAAATCTGGAAGGGAACACAGTAACATGCTACATCTCGAGCAACGTCGAAAACGAAGTAGCTTGCCATTGCGCGATTGGTCTCGACAGAAGCTTCCAGCCAAGTATCAACGGGGCAAGAGCTCTCTTGTTCTTGGTTGATGAAGGCTCGCCTCTAAGCCGGATGCGCAGCAAGCTCCATTTGCTGGTGGAATCTAGGGACCTCTGTGCTGCTGTTGGTATTTTCAAGGCGATCTCAACAGGAGGCCGCCACCAGAAGAGTTGGTACTGCTGCTTCAGCTACACAGATTGGATGGCGACAAGATCAGCAGCTGGATAGTTTATTGATCACTGGGAAAAGCGACTTCCCTGCTCTACGCTGGAGCATCTTCTTCTTAAGACACCTCTGCTACTGGTTTGCCATTACTGCCACACACAAACCTGGCCACTTGGCAAGAGATTCGTGGTACAAGAATAAGGGAAGGATAAAAGATCTGGAACTGATCGTTGTCCACGCAAGCTTTTGATGGCTCGATAGCTTGCGATGGCAAGCTTATGATGCTGCCAACCTTCTCTTCCAGCATCCACAACAATTTTATAAATCTTCGCGAATTGGTGCTGTCTAGAAGTTTCCCTAGGCATGATTGGCGCTAAGGAGCAGTCGCCAGCATAGTTCTCCAGACCGTCCGGATGAACTTGACGGGTGTGGAGTGACTTGTTTTTTTGCAAAGACAAATACCAGCCTTTGAGATCACGCTCTTGTCCACCATTGTTCACAAAACAAAGTCGCTCTTTAAGAAAGTGATCGTCCTTTTTGTTATTCATCCATAAGGACAGCTGTTTTTGCAACGCGTACGTTACTTGTCTAGATTGCTTGTCTCGATTGTTTGGTTAATAGCATATCTCTATTGGCGGATTTCAGTGAAGGATGCTTGACATGACGATCACATAGAGTTAGAAGTGTTGATTTTTAAAGAGCCAAGTATTCTCATTTCAAAAGGCGCAAAGATACTAAGTTCGAATGGAATCGACGAAGCTTAGCTCGAATCCACAGCCAGAGTTGTTTTGAGTAAAGTAATCTTTTAACCTACTCCGGCCACTGCAGTAAAATCTCAACATTGCGATTGCAATTCACCGATCAAAAAGATGCTTTGATGCCTTAAAACTTTAAAAAAGATGCGTAGATACCTTTTATGCTTTTTGGTCTGTCCAGTGGCATCCCGGCACGTGGCAGAAATCTATTGAGTATAAACATGAACTCACGGCCAAGATTGAGTTCCATTGATTGTGCTCTCCTTTTTTGCCGGATGCGCCGCCGCCGCCGCCATCGCTGCGATCAGGCAACCATGTTGCAGCTTCTCCCACTCATTTCCTTGGTCTTGCTCCTCCTGCCATCGCCACCAGGTAAGAAAGAATCCGTATCTCTCTCTCCTCTGGCTAGCCTAGGTCACCAAGAAGATTGCTCTCGCAGTGCGTGGTCAGTGGCTGGATCCAGAGAGCAAATACAGCGGGGATCAGACCGAGTACACTCGTCCCAACGCCGATCTCGACTTGCGGCTGGATGAGCCCGACATCGCCCCCAATCCGCTGGGTGGCCCCGAGCAAGTTTTCATCAGCCAGGCCGATCACACCGGCACCGCCTTCACTATCAGCTGGTCCAGCAACCGGACCATGGGATCTCGTGTGTTCTACTCGAATCAGCCCAGCTCCTACGACTTGTCCGCCACTGGCGGGTCTTCCACGTACTCTTACGCGGATTACACGTCTGGGAATCTCCATCACGTCACCATTTCCAATCTCACGGTAAGTTCTGGATGATCTTGGCGTGGTCTTTGTTTCCTCCTCGGATGATTATCATCGTCTCTTTTTGCAGTATAGCACTCGATATTACTATCGGATAGGAGAGGGAGGTAGCGATGACCGCCATCTTGTCTTCGCGAGCGAGTTTGTCACTCCGCCTCCTCCAGGACCAGACTCGTCGATCAAGTTCGCCATCGTGGGTGAGTCTCGAAGATTTGCTTTTGATACTTTTTTTTCGTCTGAAAAATATGTTTGTTTTGTTTTGTAAGGTGATCTTGGGCAGACTTACTCTTCGAATGTGACACTGAGCCACATCGAGCAGTCTGGCGCTCAGTATCTGCTAAACGTGGGTGATTTCTCCTACGCGGATGGCTATCAGCCGAGATGGGATACCTGGGGGCGTTTCATGACGAGATACACGAGCAAAGTTCCAATGGTTTTCGCCTACGGCAACCATGAAATAGAATTCGACAACGCTGTTGTAAGTGATCTTTCAAGGGAATACTATTTCTCAAGGGTTTTAACTTTGATCACCAGGACGCTGTCAAGCCACACGACGGTTTTCTGTCTCCAAATACACGATTCTCGGCACCCTGGCAATCTTGTGGTGCTGTCGCAGCTATTTACTACTCTCTCAACGTTGGGCCGGTTCACATCATCTCACTCAATTCCTACGTTGGGATAACAAAGTACACGCCCCAGTATAACTGGCTTCTGGTTTGTATAGCTTTGGTTTCAGAGTTTTCTTCGCGCAGTCCTGATGTTTGCTTGATATAATCAGTCCGACTTGGAGCATGTTGATCGATCTGTAACGCCATGGGTGATCATAATCACACACGTCCCTTGGTACAACACTTACAACGCGCACTACATGGAAGGTGAAGTTGTCAGATCAGCAGTGGAATATTTTGCCAGAAAGTACAGAGTGGATGCGATATTTTCTGGCCACGTCCACGCTTACGAACGATTTGTAAGTAGCATTCCACTCGTTACTTGTACCGCTTAACTGACTGGATCTTTTTGTCCTCGTAGAAACGTTTATACCTTTACGAGGAGGACGAGTGTGCTCCCGTCTACATTACAATTGGCGATGGAGGCAACCGTGAAGGGCCTGCTGAAAGGTAAGTCTCACATAATTTGAGCTACACTAGACTAGTTTTCTTGTTTTGAAGGTTTCAAGTGATTCCCAAGCCAGAGACGTCCGTTTACCGAGAGCCGAGTTTCGGATACGGAAGCTTGGAGATCATCAACAGTTCATTGGCACGGTGGCAATGGCACCGGAACCAAGACAAGGGCGATGTGATCGCCGACTCTGTGTTGATCGAGAGCCTGGCAGGCATGAATTCGTGCCCGCTACCACCGCAACCATCTCAGCCGAGATACGACGAACACGAGCTTCTCCAGAGCTACTAAAGTGGCTCTAGCGCGAAGAACACACGGCTTGGAAGTTTGTATCTTTCATTGACGATAAAACATTGATATTCTTTCTGGAGATCGCAGTGGTGGAGCGTGATATGATCATGGTCTCCGTGTCTTCCACTGCTGCAGCCATCTCAGCTAAATCAATCTCCAACAATTTTTAAGCTTGATCGCCACAGACTGTTAATTTTTGTATAGCATTCCTGTCATAGAGGGCGTGTTTGCTCGCGAAGCAGCCATCTCATCATAGACTTTAGCGGGCCAGCCATGGCTCTTTGGCAAAAAAGAAATACCATGCCAAAAAAATTCTTGATGGTTCCATGGACCTCTCGTGAGATTCTTCTCTTTTAGTCCTAGGTGTTCGCGGCATATGCCCTTATTGTCACTCACATGGCTGGTAATTTGTCGTTTGCGTCGGGGTAAGTTTTGGCCACCCCGTACGGCTAGAGGAGGTATCGTTTTGGGGGCAAGTTTTGGACACGGCCCATCTCTCCGGGCGCCAAACCCGTACGGCTAGAGAAAGAGCAAGCAAGCGAAGGAAAAAATCTCTCCTCTTCATGGCGCTTCCCTGCCAACCCTTGGAAGCGTGGGGATTGGGAGATTGGAGCGCGGAGCTCTAATGGCGCATCGCGGCGAGTGGCTACAATGGAGGGTTTGTGCGCGGCCATAACGAGGTAGAAATTCCTAGAGCTTTTCCTTCACAGATTTCTCCTCACGCTGGCTTGTGAATTTCATCCATCCGTCCAAAATCGGGAATGGTTTTCTCTTGATCTCGTGGAACTGTACAGGGGAGATTGATCCATCCATCCAAGCTCTGGAAAAATTCCACGCGATTTGCTCTACCAAGCTACCGACGATTGGATCCAATCTCTCGCAATGCAGCCAGCGACACTGGTGGCTCTCGCCGCCACCGTCGTCAACATGCTCCAAGGATGGGACACTGGAGCCATTGGAGGTAGCAAGAAAAAAAAACTTCTTTGTGATCTATGTGATCTATGTGATCTAACCATGACCGGTTGGTACTTCTTTTCCTCTCTCGCAGGAGCTCTCTTGTATTTCAAGCCCGAGCTCCATTTGAGCGCTACCATGGAAGGCCTGGTGGTGGCCGCCAGCCTCGCGGGAGCATGGTGTAGCACACTTTGTGCTGGAGCAGCAGCCGATAGATATGGCAGGCAGAAAATTCTCTTCATCTCCTCCATCATCTTCGTGACGAGCTCGTGTATCATGGCCTGGACTCCAAACATCTACGTGCTCCTCCTGGCCAGGCTGCTGCTCGGTGCCGGGGTCGGACTGATCACCACCATCGCTCCCATGTACATTGCGGAGATTGCTCCCACCGAGAACCGTGGCCAGCTTCTCACGTTCCCGCAGCTCATGGGATCAACCGGCCAGTTCCTTTGCTACGTTCTCGTCTTCCTCATGTCGCTAAGTCACCACCCGATGTGGAGATACATGCTGGGAATGCTCTTTGTCCCGGCTATGGTGAATTTCACTCTCGCGCTCTTCTACATACCCGAGTCTCCGAGATGGCTCGTGAGTAAAGGGCGGATGGTGGAAGCTAAGAAAGTGCTACAGAGGCTGCGGAACACGAAAGACGTCACAGGTAGAAGATATCGGTGTTGTTTTGTGATGGTTGATTGATTTGTTTCTTGTCTTGCTGTCAGCCGAGCTTGCGCTTCTAGTAGAAGGTTTGAACATCGGTGAGACAACGCTGGAAGAATGGCAACTCAAGCCGGTGGAGCTCGGGGGGTCCACAGCGTCGTTGAAGCTTGGGAGCTTCCGGGGTAACTCCAAGATGATGCAGGAAGGGAACGTTTCGTGGATAGCTACGTCTGCAACCGGGGGTGGTGGTGGATTCCTCTCGCGGCGAGCGAGCATGGTTTCGTCGCTCAGGGATCCGGTGGTGACGCTGTTTGGAAGCATGCACAACAGCACGCACGACCACCTCCCTGTTGTTCCGGCGGTCTTTGGAACGTTTCGGAGCACTCACGACCACCTCCCCGAGCCACAGACCGAGCTCATGCACGACAACTGGGACCAAGACGAGGGACCGAAGACACCACAGGGGAATGGCTACCAGTCGGACGATGGAATGGTCGGAAACCTGGACGAGAACCTGAGCACGCCGCTCTTGAACCCAGCCAGGAGCGGGAAGTTTGATGCGTCGCCGTGGTCCATCGCAGGAACTCCTCGTGATCAGAGGCCGAGCCAGGGGAGTTTCGCGGACCACCACTATCACGACAACACGAGCAGGCAAAACATAAACTTCCCGAGAGGCAGCAAGGACGCGAACGAGTCAAGCATGTATGGAAGGCAGAGTGCGTACAGCATAGCCGCGAGCGTCCCGGAATCCATAGCTAGTGTAGGCATTGGCGGGGGGTGGCAACTTGCATGGCAGTGGACGGGAACCGAAGGCCAGGAAAACAATCCAGACGATCACGGACAGTTCAAGAGGGTGTTTTTGCTCCAACACCAAGCCGATCAACACCAACAGCAGCAGCATCCGCAGGGATTTTCGTCGATATCTTTGCCTCACGGAGAGGAAATAGAAGCTATCCAAGCGGCAGCACTGGTCACGCAGGCATCGCAATACTCGAAACACATGGAGGACGAGCATCCGGTCGGTCCAGCAATGGTCCATCCCGCCGAGACCGCCGTCCAAGGCGTTGCATGGTCCGACTTGCTCGAGATTGGCGTCCGGAGAGCTCTCACTGTCGGCATTCTCTTGCAAGTCCTACAACAGGTACGTAAGAACTCTTTGTTTCGATCCATCGCTGACGAGCGGGTTTCCTTTTCTTCCATTTCCAGTTCAGTGGCATCAACGCGGTTCAGGCTTTCGTACCACAGATCTTGTCACAGTCTGGTGCCTCGGCGTTACTTACCAGCCTCGGCCTCGGCACAAATTCGGCCTCCATTCTCGCCAGCACTTTCAGCTCGCTCTTGACGCTACCTTGTATCATCTTCGCGATGAAGATCATGGATCGAGCAGGACGCAGGTAGCATAAAGCTATTACATGCTTTGTTCTAGCTGATACGAACTCTCTTTCTCTTGTACAGGCAATTGTTACTGGTGACTCTGCCAATTCTTTTCGTGGCTCTCATCACCATCGCCACCTCCAACTTGCTGCTGTCGCAAGGCGTCGTCCAGGCCGCGGGATCCTTCGGTGGCGTGCTCATCTACATCTGCACATTCGTGATGGGCTTCGGAGCCATCCCAAACATTATCTGCTCCGAGATCTTCCCGACCCGAGTCCGCGGCGTTTGCATCGGGTTGTGCCAGACGGCGTTTTGGACGTGCAACATCCTCATCACTAACTTGTTCCCCACGCTGCTCCAGGCCATCGGCGTGGGCGGTATCTTCGGCCTCTTCTCGCTCGTGGTGCTTTGCTCCTGGGTTTTTGTCTACCTTAAAGTCCCAGAGACCAAAGGCATGCCTCTCGAAGTTATATCCGAGTTCTTCGCCATGGCTTCCGTCAAGCAAGCTTAGTTTCAGAATTCTGAAAAATTAAAGTACTGGATTTCTTATTTCTCCATCCTCTCTTGCCTTTGAAATGAGAACGCAAAGCTCCTGTTTTATCAGCTCGAGGTATGGTTATGGCGATAAGTGTCCTTGCAGCCTACTCTAGTTCAAACACACACTAGGAACACTAAGCACTCATGTGTGCTGCAGTAGAGAGGATGATTCCAGATTTCTTCACCCGAAACCCAAGAGAAATCTCATAAAAGCTTTTGAAAGGCTAAGGGAATTATATCCGAGTTCTTCGCCATGGCTTCCGTCAAGCAAGCTTAGTTTCAGAATGAAAATCAAAGTATCCGGCTTTCTTATCGCTCCATCCTCTTGCCTTTGAAAATGCGAAAGCAAAGCTCCTATTTTATCAGTTCAAGGTATGGCTATGGCGATAAGTGGCCTGCATTTTCGAGCAGTGGCAGTGGCAGCACACTCTAGTTCAAACACTAGCAACACTTGCAACTCGAGAAGCACTCGTGTTTGCTGCAGTAGAGAGGATGATTCCAGATTTCTTCGAAGAGAAGCAGCAGCAAGGGTGGTGCTTGCTACCATTTTCTGCAATTCAGCACCCTCGTTTTTGAGTTCTTGGGCTGTAGCTGCGGAGGAGGAGCCAAAGCTGACGGTTTTGGATTCAGGGCTTGGATTCTGTGACACAAGAGTTGGAGTGGGAAATCCTGGTGTCAATGGCAGCTATGTCAAGGTTGGTGTTCTTCTTCGTTCTTTCTTTCATTTTCTTGAGTAGTGAGCGCAGGTTCACTACACAGGCAAGCGTGAGGATGGAACTCAGTTTGAGAGCAGCTACACATTCAACAGGCCGCTTGAATTCAGACTTGGAGTTGGAGAGGTTCGATTCTACTGCTCCTTCCTTTTGAGAAAACTTCCTTTCTAGCTTTGACAACTTCAGGTGATTGATGGATGGGATCGAGGAATTCTTGGAGGAAATGGCATACCTCCCATGCAACCAGGTGGAACACTCTCTCTCGAGTTTTTCCTGAGATCGTACGTTTCCCTGTGACTTGTTTAGGTGGTAGGAGATTGTTGCAGATTCCAGCGAGCATGGCGTTCGGCGAGGAAGGCGTGGGGTGCAAGAAAGGAAAGCCGCTCCTGACGCTGCTGAAGAGCTACTTCAACCCCGGCAAGAGCTCCAATCCACCAGCAAAGCCCACTGCCCCAAGTTGCTTCATCGCTCCAAACGCAACTCTGTTTTTCGATGTGGAGCTGCTCGAGGCCTTCGAGCTCCCCAAGAGCAGCAAGGACGTGAAGAAGAAAAGGCGCTAAAAACGAAAAGGTCTTGCTTTTCTTCTTCGTATTCTTGCCGAGCACGAGGCAGGCTACGCGTCATTTGTTTGCTCGTGCCTTGCCACATCGTACTTTTGCCGGAGCTGCTTTGTTGGAATGTAGTCACCAGCGGAATCCATTCCAAAGAACAGGAAATAGATGTATGGATGATCCAAAGCTTCCTGAGAACCATATGTGAAAAAAAACATATAAAAAAGGAGTTTTTCTTACCAAGTCGGGTTCAGCAGGAGCTTCCAAGCTGTCCTCCGCAACTGCATCAAGTTTTACTTGTCAAACTTTAGAAAAAACAAAAACAGGAACCACACCATATGCTGCTTCCTGCTGAGGTTCGCTCTCAACATCGACAAGCACCTGTTGATCCGACATTCATAAGCTCATTTACTCGAGGCCTTGGAGGAGTGAAGTAGATTAACCTGGTAAAAGGGCTGGTTCTTGCGCTGATCGTAGACTCGGGCCCTGTCGCACCATTTCTCCGACTCACAGCACACTGGATCCATTCCGCAAATAACTCCTCTATAACCTGTGCTTAACGATCTCTCTCAGCCAAAACCAGAAAAAATCAACAAAGACTCACCAAACAGCTTGTGCCGGACCTTCTGGCCAAGACGAAATGCGTACTTCACATTCTGGTAAGCCAGAGCTCTTACGGATGCTGCTAGCGATTCTGACTGAACATGGAAGAATAGAAACGAAAACAAACAACTGAATCCATCTCAAATACCTCGAGTTTGGAGATCTTATCTTTCAGCTGCCTGGCACCTTCGTAGTCCTCTCTCTCTATGGAAGCGGCAAGCTCGCTCCTGCACGTCCCAAACAAGTTAGCAAAGAGCCTCCTTTACGACACTAAGTTATATCACCTGAAACGAAGCAGCGCGATCTCTTTGTCTTGAGCTTCGTTCTTGGCTGAAACCGCGCCGGCTTTCTTCTCGCGTAGTTTGGAAACCTCTTTCTCGACCTGTGAATCTAGTAGCTTTTTACCATCTAGAGCTTCCACGTAACAAACGGAGAACATCACCTGGCTGATCTTCTCACGAATGGCTTGAGCGGCATCATAGTGGTCTTGATTCAAGGCACGCTGCGAACAAGAGAAAGAACCAACCAAGAATCCACCGCTTTGAAAACTTTCCAAGTGTTTGATTTTTGTTTACCTGGAGTCGCGTCGCCAAGTCGAGCTGGAACAAGAAATAGAGGAGCTCCTCGTTCACGCTCTCGCTATACTCGTCTTTGGGCGATAGGCTTGTCGATGAGGATGAGCTACTGGCAGAGCTCTTGTCGTCTCCTCCTCGTGGTTGAGCGGCAGCAACCACGAATTTTGGGGACGAAAATCTCACCGAAGCCCTCGTAAAAAGAATGCTGGGCGCCGCAAACAGCTGCTTGGGGATTGGCAATCGCGACGAGGAGAGGACGCCACCGTTTGGAGGAAGCGCGCAATTCGCTCGAGCCATGAGATTGCCGGAATCAATCCATGCCTCGAGCATACTCCTTCAATCAGAGACCCAGCAGCTGGAAATTCGATCGAAAACCGGCCGAAGCTTACCTCGCCTCCAAGAACCCTAGTCAGCAATGGAGAGGAGAATATGCCCGTGAGATCCCACACCCATTTAATCAACGCCACGATTTTGACCAGAATTTGAAAATACGCATATTCTGGGAATCGTCGACGGCACGCAAAGTCTTTTAAACCGCGTTAAGGACACCTGTGCATTTAGACCCAAAAAAAGAGGGCTTTCATTCTTTTCTTTGATTTGTGGCTATGGCGGCGAGCGACCAGGTTAGAGCAAACTGTGGGCAGTCGCGGGATCGCCATTGCGTCGATTTTGATCTCCTCCCTATAGGCTAGAGCGTAATTGTTGGTAGCTAGAGAAGAATCACAATCGCCCACGGCCCAGAATCCATGGTAGAGGTGGTCTACGTCCACAATGCTCAAGCGCTATCACCGACGGGATCTGATAACAAGCGGCGTGCCATGAATTCGCCCTCGTCCTCCAGCTCCATGATCCTGCCGAGCCAGCAGCAGAATGGCCAGCAATTGCAACCGGACGCCGCCCTCTCCAGCGCTGCTCCTCCCCCATTCCTCACCAAAACGTATGATATGATCGACGATCCGGACTCGGATGCCATCGTCTCGTGGACGGGCAAAGGCAACAGCTTCGTGGTGTGGAACCCGCTGGATTTCTCGCGGGATTTGCTGCCCAAGTACTTCAAGCACAACAACTTCTCCAGCTTCGTCCGGCAGCTCAACACCTATGTGAGTTCTCTCTCCTCTCCCCTGCGCAATTCTTCCATTTTTCCAGCTTTGATTTGATCTGACTTTACCAGCGCACTGTGCTCTACAGGGATTTCGCAAGGTGGATCCCGACCGCTGCGAGTTCGCCAACGAAGGATTTCGTCGAGGTGAGAGGCATCTCCTCAAGAACATCCACAGGAAGAAGCCGACGAGCCAAGGCCACTCGCAACACCAGCCGGGGCAATCCACCGAGGTTGGAAAGCTGGGACTGGAAGGCGAAGTTGACAGGCTCAACCGCGACAAGAATGTGCTCATGCTGGAGCTAGTCCGATTGAGGCAGCAGCAGCAGCAAACCGAGCGGGAGCTCCAGGTGATGGGACAAAGGCTCCACGGAACCGAGCAAAGGCAGCAACACATGATCTCCTTCATGGCCAAGGCGATCCAAAACCCCGGATTCCTCTCCAGCCTCGTCCACCAACACGCCAGCGTCGAAGGTGGCAGCGGCGGCGGCGCGTATCTACCAGGCAAACGGAGAAAGTTGGAGCTGTGCGATCACGACCGGGACGACGTCGAGCTCGATGGACAGCTCGTGCGCTACGATCCCTCCAACGAATCCACTCGCGCCCGGCTGGTCGAGTTCTTCAGCAAGCCCGACCTGGCGTCCAAGCTCGAGGTCGTCCCGCTCGAGGTCCTGGTCCGCGAGCTTCTTCCCGAGGACGAGGAGACGGAGAGGCAGACGCGAGCAACGCTGACGGAGATGCAGGCATTGCCAATCTCTCTCGAGGAGCGGCTGTCCATGGGAGCTACAGTGGTGACGGACGTGAGCGATCGATCTCCGATCGACGTTCCAGCAACACCGCCGCTGGATCTGTCCTTGGAAGCCAAGGATCTTGACAATGGCATGGCCGCTACGTCACTCGACGTCGAGGGTGGCGGGGGTGGTGGTGGTGGCGCCGATCGGGATCATGCGACGAGCTCGCTAGCAACCAGCGGGAGCTCCGACAATGTTGGAGGGACGAGCGCGTTCAAGCTGCTGGGAGAGGTGAATGCCAGCGTCGACAGTGGTGCCGTGGGTGTTGGCATGAACAATGGCTTCTGGGAACAGTTTCTCGGCCCCGCCGCGAGCAGCGCTCCTCCCCGGCACGAGACGAGGAGTAGCTCCGGGATTCCGTGGTGGGCGACCGGCGCCAAGATCCACGACAAGCCCGACCAACACGACTTGTAAAAACGAAAGGTTTGTTCAAACATAAGTTTGATCGATCGCTCACAACATCATCGCTTTCCACACCACAGATGTTCTTTATTTGTTTCAAGGAGTGGGACTACTAGCACTGAGCGGCTCATGGATCTCGCAAGTTTGTCCCACAATTCCTGGACAGGTACCCGTAGCTATCGCGAAAACGCTAACAAAATCTACTCTTGCTTGATTCCTCAGGAGGAAGGCATGGATGCGATCAGCAATGAGATCACGGTGGTGTACAGTGAGCGAGAAGTAGAAGATACCACCACATTTTGTACTCGACTTGTATAGACATCTCTCGATCAATCGATTGAGTTGAGTGAAATCTTTGCAGCTATAGATCTCATGGTGGTGTGACAAAAAAAAAAAAAAGGAATTATCCCACACAGAGATAAAACGCAACCGTGGGTCAAAAAGCTCTAGAAGCGTGAGGGAGTTGGTTGTTTCGCCTCGCTTTTTTTTCTCCTTGTAGCTTTTTGTTTTGCCCACCCAACACCAACTAACAACAAAAACAGCCTTTGACTTTCAAGCTTGTTTAATGGTGGTTGGTTGGTTGTTTGTTTACACCTTCCAGTCAACCGACTCTATTCCGCCCAGTCAAACACTCCCGTGCGATCGCGATTTTTCCATGGGCGATAACTTCGTTTTATTCCAATTTGTAAAATTCCAGTCCTAGAGAAGAGGAGCGGAGGAATCTTGCTGTGATCAGTAGCGTCCGCGCTTGCGAATATTCCTGTGCCTCTTTGCCGCCGGCTTCTTCTTCGCGGCTTTGTTGCGCTTTCGCCCCAGCGCTGGTCGCGACTTTGACCTTGACTTTGACCGTGACATCGCCCTCGCCCTCGACCTGGACCGACTGCTCCTCTTTGTTTTCCTCGTCTTGGGTTTCTTCTTGTTTGATTTTTTCACTGGTGAGATCTTTCTAGTCGATTGTGATCGTCGCGGTCTCTTTGTGTTTCTGGGCTTCTTCTGGCCGCAAGATCTTGTCCTCTTCTTCTGGCTTGATGGCGCTCTGGTTCTTGCCCGGCGACGTCTAGATGGCTGCGGCTCCTCGGTCTGCTTGACGAGGGATGCTTGGGGATTCTTCTTGAACCAGGGCGTGCATCGGAACTTGGACTGGTCCTTGACGATCCGGCCGGAGCGGACGAGCTTGCGGAGCTGGAGCGTGAGCATCTTGCGGAAGTTGTCGGGGAGCTGGCCCTTGTGCTTGCTCTGGATCGCCTTGGCAATGTTCAGCGCACTCGCCCCCTTGCGCTGCTTGGTAGAGACGATGGCGTCGCGGATCATGACCGCGTACTTTGGGTGCTGGGAATTGGGCGAATTGCTCAGGTTGAGCGTGGCTGAAGACGATGCCCCCTTTTTCCCCATCTGATCGTCTCGAAGCCGCTGCTGCTGCTGGAGTGCCTCCATTGGAGTGAAATGGGCGCGAATCCAAGAGAAAATGGAGCCCAACAAAGGCTCGAACAAGATAGCAAGAGCAGCCAGAATGGATTCAACAGGTGCTTTCTTGCGCCAGTTACCCAGATTTGAAATTCAAAATGGCCCCCCGCGCCCGCAAATCTCGCGCGCAAGGAATATGCGCCGATGCGTTTCACCCTTGCTGGATTCGAACCTGGCCGTTTTCAAATCAAGCTAGGGTTCTGGGTACCGGGCATTTTCGTTCGTCCCGGCGGTGGCGCTGGCGCTGGCGATGGCGATGGCGATCGCGGTGGAGAGAAATGGAGGAGCCGCCGTCGCCCTGTGAGTGATTCATGCTGCTTGGAAGTAGGGCAGCTCGGGATCGAGATGGAATACCGCAGGCGCAGCCTCAGCATGCACGGCCTGCGTCCTTCCAGGTCGCTCTTCAAGCGAAATTGCGACATGGCGACGCTGGAGAGATTGGACAAGCGCATGATTAAGCTCATCACGGTGGATGTTGTGAGGGATATTGTGAGCCAGCGAATGGGACTGAAAGCCATTGACGATGATTGGCGAAACGATCATGTGGTGAAGCGAAACTATACGGTTCGATCGACACCCAAGAACCGGGAGGTGGAGGACTACGCCAGGAGAGTCGCGGCTGGGACGCCCGCGAGTAAGGCAAGCAGTAATCTTCAGAAGGGTCCTACGACGTTTTCCATGGGCTGTGGTGCTAGTACTAGTGATGGAGTTGGTTCTAGTAGTTCGTCCCAGATTCCAAAATGGCTGGAGATTTACAATGGCACGAAGTCAAGTCCAGCAGAACAAATTGATCGGGAGGCGACACTCACGGCGAACAAGCTCAAAGAACTTCACGTCACAAAAGGGAAGTTGTGGGAGGAGTCAGACAAGAAGAAGCGTCAACTTCTCAAGAAACAGCAGAAGCCCGACGTGGTAAGCTTGATTGGTCTTCTAGTTTTATATTCTAGCGATTTCATATCGGGGTGATTGCAGAGTGATGCCTTCACGAGGCTGTCGGATGAAGAAGAGAGGGCAGTCGAAAGTGCGCTTTACAGTAAAAGCAGGTGCGAGTCACGTTAGTTTTTCTATTTCTTAAATGCATTAATCTCTCTGTGCATCAGGCAAAAGGTCCTCGTGATGCATGAGCAATCAAATATTGAAATCACTGGAGCTGTCATGGAGTGTTTGCGCCCTGGCACCTGGCTCAATGACGAGGTAATGTTGCTACTTTTTAGTTTTCTTCAGCACTGTTTACAAGTTGCTTTAATAACAGGTGATCAATTTGTACATGGAATTGCTGAAGGAGAGGGAGATTCGAGAGCCCAAAAAATTTTTGCGGTGTCATTTCTTCAATACTTTCTTCTACAACAAAGTAAGCCTGTCTTGGAAAAGAAAGAAACTTACATTTGGTTTACTCGTTAAGCTCTTCAAAGACAAGGACAAATATGACTATAAGGCAGTTAGACGTTGGACAACACAGAAGAAACTAGGATACAGCCTACTTGATTGCGATAAGGTGTGGCTTTTATTCCCTTTATTTATGTGTTTGCTTATTTGCCTCTTGCAGATTTTTGTTCCCATTCACAAAGATATTCACTGGTGCCTGGCCATTATCAACATTCGGGACCAGAAGTTTGAGTATCTCGATTCTCTCAGTGGGATTGACGAAGATGTGTTGGAGGTGTTGGTAAGTACCCATGCCCGTCTTTCACGTTCTAAAGCGTTTCTTTATAGAGCAATTACATTGCGGATGAAGCGAAAGATAAGCTTGGAAAATCTATAGATGTCAGTGGGTGGGGGAAAGAGTATCCGGAGGACATACCCGGTCAGGAAAACGGGTATGCAAGCTTCACCACTCTCAAATCGTTTCTCTCAAATCGTTTGTTTATGTTTCTGCTCCTGCAGGTGTGATTGCGGCATGTTCATGATCAAGTATGCGGACTTCTACAGTCGTGGGAGCTCTCTCCCTTTCACGCAGGTACTTTCGATATGGATTTTGATTGTCCTTGTGTATAAACTGGATACAAACAGGGGGACATGGAATACTTTAGAAGGAGAACGGTCTGGGAAATACTCCGTCTCAAGGCAACTTGAGCTTTACAAGTAAACCCTGATCTTTTCTGCTCTCTTTCCTGGTCTGATACTATACTATCCCAGCAGTTCATTCGAGCGAGAGCAATAAACCAGAAATGACATTTTTTTGATCCGTCGTTTGTACATGCCAAGAAGTTGGCAGGCGGCTGGTTAAGAACTATGAGCTGTTGTTCGAGTAGAGCTGGTGCCAAAGATCGGTGAACACCCGGATAATGAGATCGTGAAACTTCTCGTTATTGAGCATCAAGTACGTTCGGAGCAGCTCCTCAAGGTCCCGGTAGTGGAAGAGATCCTTTTTGAGGATCATCTCCACCATGGATTCTCTGAAGTCCCTGTAAGGGTTAACCGACGCTTTCTCGACAGCAAAGCTCTCCATTACTCTGCTGGTAAATGCTTGACTTCGCTCCGTTCTTTTAAGCCTGTTGGTGTCATGTTCTTCAATGCTCAGGTGGATTGGTGGACTCTCAAGCTCAGTGTGGTAATGTGCCTGGACGCCTTGTTCACCTGCCTCTTCATCAGCGGATAGACAAAACCGGGACCTTTCCCACGACTTAGATAAAGCTTCCGGATCGTTGTGAAAAGCTTGGTGGTCATCGAATTGACCCGGTGCCAGTGGTGGTGATACTGACCAATGGAACCGGGACTGCCTTCGCTCACTACCAGGGGACACTAGTTTGAAGACGCCGCTACCACTGCTACTGCCGCTGCTGTTACTGCCGAGGCACCTCGAGGACATAAGAGTTTTCCTGTGCTGCGGAGAGACACAAATCCTGTTGCCAGTGGACCTGTTGAGATTGTTGGGAGAGTCGAATGAGTTGAAGATGCTACTCTCGCTTGCAAACGGCGACAGATCCTTTTCCCAGGCGTAAGAGGTGTCGTTCTCCATGCTCTGGTCGGGAGACGTGGTCATCAGTTTGTACATGGCTTCTTCTGTTCCGGGCTTGAAGTTTGCTATGGGACTTTCGGCCAGTGTTGCAAAACCGGCGTCACTCATCATCATCTTCTTCAACTTGGATTCCTGCTGCTGCGGCTGCTGCTGCTGCTGCTTGAGCGACGACGAGACGGATAGCTTCTTCTGGAGGACAACCTGTCTCTGAACTACTTTGTTCTCAGATCTGGCCACCACCTTCCAGCGCATCTCCGGCTGCCAGTCTTCTCGGTTGTGCACTGCTGCTGGAGAGGAAGAAGAGGCTGGGAATCGAGCTTCGTCGGCAACAGGTGAACAAGTAACAGGCGTGACAGAAGACGACGAGGTGCCGAGCTTCGATCGATGCTTTCGCCTTCTTTGCCGCACCCGGCTACCAGCATTGTCATACAGTTCCGGACGGTGGATAGCAGCAACCGAAAGCTTGTAATCTTCGTGCATCAGGCTCGTGTGCTGCTTGCAAGGATCACAGCCGAGTGTGAGCCACTTCTTTGGAAGAGGAGTAACGGGAACAGAGGCTCCAGGCCGGGCAGGGAATGTGATGTCCGCGGCTTTCCTGTTGACGGGGGACTGGGGCAGCTTGTGCTGCTCGTCGGTACTGGTGGGAAGTACCTTTGGTGGCTTGCCTTGGAGGAATCCGCAGCGAATGTAAGGAATTCGAGGAAGGCCTTGATCTTGCTGCTGCTGCCGCTGCTGGGAGGGAGGAGAAGAAGCACGGCTGGCTGCCATCTTACCGTGCAGCTTGGTGCTCTTGCTGTGACGCTGCGACGACGACAGCTTGAAGCGGAGCTTCGCCATTGAGCGGCGAGCTGGTGTCGTGCTGAAAGCTCTCGAGATCGCTGCTGCCTTTTTTGCTTTTCGGGGGCTCGAAATTTTGCGGAGATCCGAGCAGTAGGAGAAAGAGAAGAACTTTTGCGCCGCGCCTAGAGCGCTTACCTGCGACAGCTGTGCTCGCTCATCTTCCCAAGAATGCAAAGTCACAAGAGGTGCTCTCCTGGGGGCACATTTTCATGTCTCCTCCCACCCTTCCAAACAAGTTTTTAGTTCTCCTCCTCGGCCTCCACTCGGGGTTGACATGGCTAAAAGCTGAAGAATATTGGATTAAAATAAAACTATCTTTTTTCTTCTTTCTTTTCTCTCAAGAAAGGTAGAGCAAAAGCTTGCAGTGGCCGTGAGCCACCAAACATACACACACATCAAATGCCCCTATCATTGCACGTGAAGAGAGGAAGCAATGCAAATCAATCAAGCCATCAATCAGTGAAGAACTACCTTGTGCTATGGGCTAAACTCAAGACTTTGGTTTGGTATTTTGTGGAGCTGTTCCATCCTTTGCTGTTGCATGCAAGCATCAATTGTGTGTTTGTGCACCCATAGCCTTCATAGACCAGCCAAGCTCTCGCAAGGACAAGAGGGTCTATCGCCACTTTTGCTGCGAATGCTGAGATGATTGTAACTGGGACAATGGATGAAGTTGGGGAAAGGTTTTTTCTTTCACTTTCAGCTTTGCTTGCTTATCTTTCCCTTGAGAAATCAACTCCACTCCATGTGGTTGAGTGTTGGATCATGGAGGTTAAGACAAAGCCACATTTGCAGACAGCTTTCAAAATTTGCAATGAGCATGATGTCTCCCACATATGAGCAGTGAAGATCAGTGAGGTGAGGGATTCCCTGACCCTGCATGCATCTCTCAGCCCAGATGTTGCTGCTGCACAACAATATATCAAACATCAAGCTGCAGCTTTGGTTTGTTTGTATTGATTATTATTTGTAAACTTAAGTTAGTAGGCTTCAAAGGGCCAAGCAAAGCCACCAGAAAGCATCCCCAAAGTTACATTGCATTGTATATGGAGACAAGAAATTTAGTTTGCAAACAAACAAAGTGTACAGCTTCCTCTGTACAGACAATTATTCCCCCCCTTTTTTCCCCTCTTTCTTCCTTTTATCTTTCTATTTCCTTGCATGGCAGCTCATTGCCTTGGCGCCTCTCTCTTCAATTTGGAAGCCCCTATACTGTAGAGTAGACATATAGGATCCCAGGGCGAAGAACAGCGATCTTATACCGTGAAATATGTATCGACTTGATATGGCAGAGATTGCATCCAATTCCCTGTAAGCTGTGGTTGATGTGTCTTACATTGGAGCATCCACATCAGCACCAGATGCACAGAGACAGACAGTGGCAACAGTCTTTTTGTGTGAAGGTGCAGCAGCGCCCTGTGCCTGTCTGCTGCTGCTGCTGCTCCTCTGATGAATAAGAGGGAGAAATTGCTTGCACCAACTACAAGAACAAAGAAACAAGAAAAACCACTCAAAGGCCAAATCTACAGCAGTTTTCTTTTCTTCACTATTTATCTATCTTTGCTCCCAAAGTATTTAGGAGCCACTACTGTCCTTTAGTGAAGTTGCAGGGTCTTGATTGACTTGGAGAATAAGGTGAGATCACACCAAAGAAAAAACTCTGAACGAGCACCACATACGAACAAAAATGGGTTTCGCTTTCTAGTGCTATGTGCGGCCAAAGCGCATATCATATTATACTAATCAAAACACTTTACATGTCTTCCTGGTATTCCTGGTAGACAAAGCAGCATTGTTGTGACCATGAAAACCGACACAAGCAGCATAAACTAATCCTTGTCGTCACCTTTATACATGGCTCGTCTCAAGCAATCTTTCCGTCACGTTCGCTCTATTGTGTGCTGGTGGACTTTGAGCAGGAAATTTAAGCTCCTCGCTAACAGCATCTCTAGAAACTTATACCTTATAGAACTTTGGGATGGGATGGCCTGGGATCTTCGTCTTCTTCTTCTTCTTCTTATTCTCCTTGGTTAGAGTAGCGGAGAAAAGTCCGCCGGGTCAAGAAAGTTACAGGCATCGCAGGATATTGATATTTTCCCAGACGTACGTATTGCATGCAAGCAATGGCCGACAAACCAGCTCTACGTATTTAGAAAATGCACGTGGAATTTGAGGAGAAGAACAGTTTCCCCATTTAACTACTAGATGCCAATGTGTACTACTTTTCATCAATAAAAGTATATGTTTGCAACTCGCCAACTTTTGTTTTCGCTGCTAGGAATTTGGATTGGATAGGATTTCCTTGACGCAATCAAAAAGTCTGAGGAGTTTAAATTCTAAGTTTTATAAACACTTTGTATGATCTCTCTCTCTCTTCTTCCATGCACACCGACAGCCAGATTAGCTCCCATGGCAAGAAAGCCTCACTTCTCCTTGCACAAGCAAGAAAGGGAGGCTCTTCACACGCAGCTTGTGACCCCTTCCACGCCAAGAACATGTGCCACCAAATAAACAAATTCTTCATAGCACACAAAATGTATAGCTTTGATTCGCAATCCATCCTCCAAGGACGATGATTTAAGCTTCCCCTCAGAGTCATGCGGGATTCCTGAGCGCCGTTACCACTGCCTTGACTTGCGTGTAGTTGTGGAGGACGTACTCGCCCTTCTCTCGTCCTTGCCCGCTCATCTTTGGACTTGATCCGCACGGATCCCAGTTGGCCGTGTCGATGTCCTTTGTGAAGGCACCGCACACCTCGGCCAAGACATACTTGGTGTTGTTCGTTCTCTCCGTGGCTTCTTGCACGGTCCTGCGATCAACGGAGCGCCAGAGTTTTAGACTTCTAGTTTGTAAAGTTACAACGTGCATACCTGAATTTTGTTACGAACTGGTCCAAAGATCTCGTCTCTTGATATCGCCCTGTTGGCCCACGCAACATCATGAATGGAAGAGCGTCTAGCCAATAAGCAGAGGCTCACCTTCACATCACTGAAACTTGATATACTATCCTTTGTTTCCGGGGCGGCAGCAGTGCTTCCTCTTGTCTTTAGCTCAGGTGATAGAAAAAGGAAGTTTAAGAAACAGACCTGAGGTTCCTGCTGTTCGATGGATTTCCAACAAGGCACGAGCCTTCGCTTTCTTAATGTACTCGTCAACATGCTCTCAAGGAACAAACGCTCTTGATCTTGATCCCGCACAGCAACATTGTCCCCGAGTTGAGACTTGGAGCTATACTTATTTCAGATGTTAGGCAGAAAGCTTAGCTGATTGGACGAAGCAAAGCGAGAGACCTCCACCGCATGGTCAGTATTCATCATGATGGAAGGAAACTGTCCTTCAGGTTGCTTCAGGCTGCTGCTTGCAAATTACCAGTCTGCCAGTTTCAGTGAGCAACCTTCACGGGAGAAAAACAAACTTATAACGTAGTTGTCAAGCTTTAAAAGCTCTTACCTTGTCTGTATCCACGCTGCAGACGGCGGTAAGAACTTCAGGTGGTAAAACAGCCTTTCTTCAAACAATAGCCATCCAAACAGAAATCCTCATTGCAAGTAGACAGGCAACAATTCGGCGGTTTTGAGGACGATGGTAAGCACTTTTCAGGCAAACGTCATGTGTCAGCCCGTCCTGTAAGTTATTACCATCAAGCATTCATTCATTCAGATAGCTGCATAGTAGCGAAAGACACAATGAACTTTCCACCGTCTATTGCAAGTATTTCTCAGTAAGATCTTCGATCTTTCCTACGAGGTCAGGAACGAAAAACTTACATAAGCTGTGTTCAGGGACCTTGATCGAAATCTATTAACAGATTGAAAGAGTCTCACATGCACGAAAATGGTTACCTGATCTGGACGAAGCGGCCCAGCGGGAAGCTGCTACTAATTCCTAGAACAGTCATATAGTAAAACTCACGTGTACCTGTGAAACGTTAGAAATTGAAAAAACACGAACCTTGTTCAGCTCAACAGGTTTCTGCGCTTTCCAATGAGCCTGTCTTCTGATTCATCCGAGTTTGTCATCCCCATTGGACAGACACAGACTTCGTCCGCCTGAAATCGAAATACTTTCGATGCTTTTCTGACTGAATATTTTCTTTCTGCTCACCTCCAGTCTCGTTCGCTTGCCATGCTTGGATGATTTCCTGTAAAGATTTTGAATCAGACAAGCAACTCGTGAGTAACTTCGAATTCTCTTACTTGTAGCTCCAGCTAAAGCAAAAGTGGGGAGAATCCGCTTGTCCATCTGAAAGCCTCTTGATGCTGTAGCAGATGAAAGCAGGCTTCTCGTTCAGTGATACTTCTCCCTTTGTCCACTTCACCGTTTTCATGTCTGAAATTCGGTCCCGGGGCCAGAAGGACAGAGAATCCACGTCGATCTTGAAGGAGCTATGATTGATGAGACCAAACACTACGCGCCACGATGGTGCTCCTTGTTCTCGGCACATCCTTGCCGTCATGGTCATCTCAACATCCAGAAGTTCCTCAGCCTCGTCGCTTGAGTTTGTTGCGGGAATTGCTCCTCTCTCAAAGAGAAGTGGTACAGTTTCTTCTCGTTCCTCCGCTGCTGGTGATGGTTCAACCTTGACGAGATTTTTTTGGGGAGGATTTGCATCCAGAGTCACAGAACTTGCATCCGATTCGGGCATGGAAAAGGTGATGGGGTGCAGGCACTCTTTGATATCAGCCATCAAGAGGTCTCGATCGAGGGACTGTAGATGCGCGTCATCCTTCCTAGAGATCCAAATCAGTCACAGAGAAAGCTCGAAGTTCACTTTGTTACCAGCTGCTGGCTATGTGCTGCATCAAAACGTTGTCGAGATCGTTTTCCACCTTGATCAGATGTGCTTCATCTAGGAAGAAGAAAAAAAAAGCATATGAAAAACCATGGGAAGGTTTTTGCTTACCACGACCAGAAGTTCTGAGAAGATTGCAAAGAGTCCTCCTCAGATCGATGAGCATCAACGCATCTGATTGTACGCACGATTCCTGGTCAGGAACGCTCTTGACGGCCTTGAGACCCCATATTACCCTGCCAAAATCTCTGCGATCGGTAAAATCTCCACCAGATCGAAGAGAAAGAAAGAGCAGACCTATCGCTGCATCTTGGGAAAGGATTCCTGTATGGCGCCGACCAGATGAGCTCCTGGATGCTGGACAACAGCACGCGCCGATCAATCAGTGAGAACGCAATGGCGAGAAGACTTACAAGGAGAATTCTTGAGTGAGCGCTCCTTCCTTGGCGATGTTGATCCCCGGCGTAGCACGGACAGAGCTCGGGCTGTCTTCCTCGAGCGCCATATGACCCTTTTAGGGCAACTTCCCGCCATTTTCCTGTTAAATGTAAGTGTTTTGTTTGGATTTAAACTTTAAATTTTAAAATAGTATTTATTTTTAAACAATAATTTTAATAAATATAAAAATAATCCAGAAAAATAATAACAAAAATAAAAAATTTAGTATTTAGCATTAACTACGATAAAAACACAAAATCTTTAAATATAACAATTAATTTTCTAATAAATAAGATTAAAATTTATTAATTCCATTGTAAGTTTTTGCTATTAAATAGATAATTAATATTAAATAAAAACCAAAATTTAAATTTTTAGATATTATGGTAATTTATTTCATTAAAATTTTGAAACTACATATTTTAGTCTTTTAAAAGTTTATAAATGGAAAAAAAAAACTTATCCTATTGTTTTTAAGTACCATAATCATTCCTTGATTATATTAATAGTGTCATTTCTAAATTAAACTAACTACTGCTTGATGCTCCGAATATTTTTTGTTCTAACGATCGATATTTCAAGCTTCAGAGCCATGCGGGATTCTTGAGCGGCGTTACCACTGCCTTGACTTGCGTGTAGTTGTGCAGCACGTACTCGCCCTTCTCTCGTCCTTGCCCGCTCATCTTATAGCCGCCAAAGGGAATCGCCGCATCAAACACGTCGTAGCAATTGATCCACACAGATCCCACTCGCAGTGCACGGCTGAACGTGTTGGCCGTGTCGATGTCCTTTGTGAACACTCCCGCGGCCAAGCCATACGGCGAGTTGTTCGCTCTCTCGATGGCTTCTTGCACGGTCCTGAAGCGCCCGACTTTTAGTTCGTGAAGCTACACTACTTCCTACGTTCATACCTGAACTTTGTCACGGCCTGGACGGGGCCAAAGATCTCGTCTCTCGATATCGCCATGTCGTCCTGATGATCATGGATGAGGGAGCGTCTAGCCAAGGACAGAAAATAAGCAGAGGCTCACCTTCACATCACTGAAGATTGTTGGCTGGATGTAGTATCCTTTGTTTCCGATACGAGCGCCGCCAGTGACCAGATTTGCTCCCTCATGTCTTCCTACGTCAATGTAGCTCAGGATCTTCTCAAACTGAGCTTTGTCAACCTGATAAAGAAGATACAAGCGAAAGTTAGAACTCGCTATCGAAACCAAACAGACCTGAGGCCCTTGCTCCACCCCGCTCTTGAATGGATCGCCAACAACGCGCTTCAATGCACGAGCTTTCGCCTTCTCAATGTACTCGTCATAAATGCTCTCGTGAACGAACGTTCTTGATCCCGCACAGCAGCATTGTCCCTGAGTTGAAACTTGGAGCTAAAGCCTGTTTCGTATCAAGCAGAGGAAACTTACCTGGTTGAAGAACAAAGCAAAGTGAGAGAGCTCCACAGCTTGGTCAATATCCGCATCCGGCATGATGATGAAAGGAGACTTTCCGCCCAATTCCAAAGTAACTGGCTTCAAGTTGCTTCTAGCGGCTGCTTGCATTACGAGCTTGCCGGTCTCAGTAGAACCAGTGAAAGCAACCTTCACGCAAGAAAAACAGATTACTACGTACCCTTCAAGCTTAACCAGCTCTCACCTTGTCTATGTCCATGTGGCTCGAGATTGCGGCACCTGCAGTTTCCCCAAAGCCCGAAACGACGTTAAGAACTCCCGGTGGTAAGCCAGCCTTTCAAGGAACAGCCATTGATATGAAGAAACAAAAAGAAGAGAATCTCCAAGAGCTCATGACGAGTACCTCGACTGCAAGTTTTGCTGCGAGACAGGCCGAGAGCGGTGTCTGTTCGGCGGTCTTGAGGACGATGGTATTGCCACAGGCGAGAGCAGGAGCCACTTTCCAGGCAAACATCACCATGGGAAAGTTCCACGGAATGATCTGGCCGACTACACCGATTGGCTCGTGAAATGTAAGCACCTGATGTGGTCCGTCAGCCGGCAGTGTTTTACCATGGATTTTATCCGCCCATCCTGTCAAGATCGAGAGTTTTAACCACCAAGCATTCATCGGGAAAAGCTTTCTCTACCTGCATAGTAGCGAAAGAGCCTCGTCACAAAGTGAGGAATCTCAACTCCTTGCGACTGCGAGTAAAGCTTTCCACTGTCCAAAGAATCCAGCGTTGCAAGCTCATCGTTGTGCTTCTCAAGGAGGTCGGCATACTTCAGCAAGATCTTCGATCTTTCCTACGATACGATGTCATAGTAAGGGAAAAAAGGTTCAAAGCCAACCATTCTCTGCAAACAAGGGAACGAGGAACTTACATAAGCCGTCATTCTTGGCCAGGGACCGTGATCAAAAGCCTTGCGAGCAGCTTTCACAGCCCGATTGATATCTTCCACGTCCGCCTTGGCAACATCGGCAAGGACTTCCTCGGTTCGAGGATCCACAGTCGGGAATGTCTCGCCTGGACAAGCTCCGATTGAGTCTCTTTGCAGAAAAGAAAAACAGAGAGGAAGACTTACCAGAGGCAGCGTCCACAAACTCCCCATCGATAAAGAGTTTAGAATGCTGGACTTCATACGATGGCTTCACGGGTGCTTCCACCGCAGCTACGGCAAAGCTCCGGATCGCGCCTCCTCGACCCAAATTCACATGCACAAAAGCTCTTTCCTCTAGGTTCCTCGAGTTACCTGATCTCGACGAGAGACGGCCGAGCGGGATGGATCCAAGGCGAGTGAAGCTGGAGACGATAGCGCGAGACGCCATAGCTGCCGAGGATGGGCTGCTAATAACCCCTACTCGCTACTGGATGGGATAAACATACTTCATACGGGTCCAAAAATGCGGCCTTTATTATGGGCCGTTGGATGGCCTCGCCGTTCACGAGGGTGGACCACAGTTAGAATAAGACCGTGATTTTGGGATCAAAGATCATTCAATTATAAATAGCTCAAACTATTAGATATTACATAGCAAGAAATAATCATCAAAGCTTAGTTGCATGTACTCCAAAAGGGCCATGGTACTTTGAGAATCGTCCGCCATCCTTACGTGGAAAGGTAACGCCGTGTATATAAGGGCAATGTTGGGGAAGGGTAAACCCTGGCAATGGAGCTGAGGTTGAGGCCTGAGCAGCGGGAATGGTGCCGCCAAGCGTGTGTCCCTCTCAAGAACAAGGCAGCCCAGCAAGCCAAGAACGAATACCGTAAGCCTTTGGATTATAATGAGAACTCTTATCGATCGTTCTTCCTTTCCAGAGCGGCTCGTCACCGCCCATGCTAATGAAATGCTCCATGTTTCCACGAGTGATCACCCATATTGCCGCAGCGCCACCAGGGTGGTGCTGCAAGGCAGCTCCGAGTTTGTCAACGCGAATTTCATCACTCCGAATGCCATCTGCGGGGGAGAACCAGATTCACCCCTCCATTTCTGGGAGATGGTCGTGCAGTGCAAATGCCGAGCAGTCGTCAAGCTCACACAGGCACGTCCCAGTTTCATATCGTATAGTTTAAACTGAGAACTTTGCGCAGGACATGGCTAGCGAATACTTCCCACTGAGAACAGGAGAATCGCAGGTGTATGGTAGAATCACAGTAACGAACCGGGGCTTCTCGCGCAGCAGCAACGAAGTCACGAAACGAATCCTCGAAGTGGAATGCCAAGGCTATCAGCCTTTCACGCTTGAGCATTTCCAATACTCGTGGTCAGACTTTGGCGTCCCCAAAAGGATAGAACCGATTCAAGAGATGTTTGCTGCTCTCTACAGGCTCCCTTCAGACTGCTCCTTCTTTGTCCATTGCAGGTTGGACTTCTTCCTTCCTTTTGCTTTTTTCCTTTTTCTTACAAGAGTGACTTTTTGACAGGGCTGGGATTGGCCGTGCTGGAACCTTTATCACAATCGATCACGTACTGAGATGCATTCTTGGTGGAAATCTTAGCGTGGTGAATATTTCCGAGACTGTGGCTCGTCTAAGAGAACAGCGGCGTGGATTGGTCGAGACACATGTAAGTTTGACTTTGCTTTAGCAGCTCTTGTTTAAATTTCATGCTGGTGCAGGACCAATACTGGTTTTGTTTCAAAGCAGTCATCAAGGAACTCGAACTATTGATGTTCTCGGCGCAGCCCAAAAATCAAGAGTTTCATGCCAGCGCCAGGAAACTCGAAGTTTAGCTATGAGAAAATCGTGTCTGGTTGGAGGCCAAAGAGTTTTCGGATAACTTCGCGTTCTCGAGCATCTAGCTTTGTCTCCAGAAGACGATCCAATTCTTCTCGAGAATCATCAAAATGAGAACTTTTGTTAAGAACAGCTTGAAAGTAAGTTAAGCTTGCATCCCTTTCGAGCTAAATAAAGAGAGAGAAAGCAAAGTTGCATCAGACCCATGCTTCAACCATGCTCCTGGTTTGGATTTTAAGCTCGCCGTCTCCAAACGCAGCACTTGGATCCCACCTCCAACTCTTAGAGCTTAATTCATAGCTCATCAGCAGCTTAGATACCCACACCGTATTAACCCCGTCGGTGCAGCATAGAAACCAGCCATCGCGATCGGCACGCTGTTGCTCCTGCATAGATAGCATCTCACTCTCGAGCACCAAGTCAACCTCCAGCGTCTCACTATCCTGCACCACAGATCTGTGCCTGATCCCGCACACTTGCGTCCCCGCCCCGGATTTCCTCGTTCACAATCAGCAGCTGCCCTCCGCAGTGCACTGGCTTGGCTGTCTGCGAAGAAGCGGCGCCGCCATTAAGCCACCAGTACGACCACGAGTCCTCTTCGCACGCGGTAGCTGCTCAGTCGAACGAATACGACACGCCCCCGCCACCTTTCTCCCACGCAAAATATCGATCTACGCAGAGTTGAGGGATGCAGCTGCTTCTCGCGGCCCACGAGTCCTCTTCGCACGCGGTAGCTGCTCAGTCGAACGAATACGACACGCCCCCGCCACCTTTCTCCCACGCAAAATATCGATCTACGCAGAGTTGAGGGATGCAGCTGCTTCTCGCGGCCCACGAGTCGGTTGTGGAATCATAGATCCAGGCGGTGAGCTGAAGCAACCAGAGTGCAAGGAAAACCAAGCTTGAAAGCTTGGTTTTGAAATCATTTACGCAGGTTTCGATGAGAGCATGGACTTGGGTGTAGCGACCCGACAGTGGATTGGCAACCAGGTAGCGTGAGCTGCAGCAGCCATACGAGAAGCAGAACAAGATCGGTCCAGGACGTGGAGCAACACAATACTCGAGGTTGTAGTCTTGCGGGCAGCAGCCATGGAGCGGGAGCAGCGAGAACTTGGTGCTCATGGGAGGCCCGTGCGCGATCGCCAGCGGGGGCGTTCGGAGCTGATTAGAGGAGTCGCAGAGACAAATGCCAGAGTGGTGGTGACATGGTCGCGGTGCCTAGCGAGAAGCTCCGGGCTGCTCAGCCTGGCATTCCAGGCCCTCGACACCATCCTGGCGTTCATGAGCGAGGGCGCGGGCAGCCGGAGAAGAATGTCGTCCTCGAGGAAGGCCGGGAGGAGGCCATGAAACAGTAATGCCAGATGGAGCTCATCTTCCTCATGGTGGTGATCTCGGCTGTCGTCTCCATGGGGTGCTTGCAAGGAGGCAGCTCCTCCAGTGTTTGATCCCATACCTGTTGCTCGCCCGCCACATCACATGACCACGCGCGCGCCTGCTCAAAGCTGCTGTCGCCCCGCTTCTTGGCCTCCTCCTCCTTCCCAATTCCTCAGCCATGGCACAAAATCGGATAGCCGATCGCATTGACTTGACCTGTTTGTAATGGCTTGGTCTACCATCTGGATACCGAACGAGCACCAAGGCATAGCCCTTGGGGCTGAGCAGTCCTCGCTTATCTTGTCGCCGCTTCTATGGATCACTCTGGAATGCAGCAGCACAAACTTGCCATTGGCCAGCTCCACAACTGCTTTGTGCCGTGGAAGGTCTTCTCCTCGGATGACCGCTGCGCCGCCACCAAAGGTGGATCAAATTGACACCATACTTTGGACCTTTGTTGGGATGCCTGAAAAAACAGATTGTTTTTTCTTGAAGTTTCTCTTTTCGTCAACTTACGGGTGGATTGAGATACGTAGTTGGAGGGGAACCACTCTACCATTGCCGAGTATGCGCGGTTCCTCTGGATCATCAAAAAGCCAACTTTGCTGCATAGCTTCTTCTTTGCAGACTTCGTTGGCAGCGCCTTGCAAGGCTCGTGCTCGTACAAATCCTCCAACATAAATCTGGAGAAGCCACGATAGAGATTCCGTGTCTCTAGATCCTCTTTGATGTCTCTTGTGATAGACGACACATCGCTTCCAAACAAGCACATGAGAGCTCTCCGGGCAGTCTCCGCATTCGAAGTTAGCAACGTTTTGACTGGATGCTCCAAATTGTGTTTGAAGATTGACAACTTTTCAACCATGTCGAAAAGTCATCCAGTCGATAGAAACTGATCAAGCCTGGATACAAATTATGTGCCATCTCTCGGAACATCTCTCCATAGGTGTCAACGGTTGCATCAGAGCCAACTACATCAAATAGCTGACAACTCCAAAAACCAAGTTGTACAAGGAATTGCATTTGAGAAAATCTTTCCCAGGTCGGAGAAGACATGACCGTCGGAAACTATGTTGTAGTGCACGCCCGGAGGATACACAGCCTCAACATGCTCCGCAATGATCTTCATGGAATGTATGGCTAGTTCTTCCGCTTTGTCCGGGAACTTTCCTAGAGTTTTGTCCAGGTTGCACGACTTGACAGGGAAAGCTGCCAGGATGAACTCGAGAGAAATGTCACAGGAGATGTGGTACTCGACTTGATCTGAAAACTTTCCGAACCACTGGTCGTGTTTTGGAAAGTTGATGTAGTTTCGTTTGATGATTCCAACAACTTTGTTAGATCCTCCACCTCTTGACGAGTGTACCTCATGAAAGGTTCCACAAGACAATCTCTTGTCTTTATGCTCTTGTCCAAGATAATTTATTTCGCCTCCCAAGCTGCTAGGACTCTTCCATTTTTGATAAATTTCTTGTAAATGGAGGAGTTTAATTCCGTCCCTTAGTTTAGTGTATAATTCTGAGAGTTTATTATAGTGTATAATACGGTCAAGTAAAATTTAATTTGGAATTTTCACTATACTTTACAAATTAAAATATATATTATAATTATTTTTTTGGAATTACCTCAAATTTCCCCTTTTCTTCCCTCCCTTGAGAGTGTTCTTTTTTCTTCAGCTTGATAAAAGAAGAAAAAAAAGAAAAAGTTGAATCATAAAGACATTCATTCTTTGTTGTTATGATTAGAATACTTTATATCAACTTAGCAAAAATACGAGAACTATTAATTAAATTACACATTGATCACTAAACAATAAATTGCTACGTGTTGCATGTAGCAACACTTGGTTTGCTTAATACTAGTGTTATTATGACATATTAATCCAATTGATCAAATAAAGTTTATAATTATAAGCATGTTTGTAATTTATATATACAAGATTAATTTTATTGCATATCAAGATGGTAGAATAAAAAAGAATATACTAGAAAAGGTTTAAGGAAGTTTATAAATTATAAATACAAGATTAATCTAAATGAATAACAACCGTTAGATGGTAGAATATCCTAGAATATTCAAGTATATTCTAGGTATATCCACTACCATCCCAGTCCCCTATAGGTTTGCTTAAGCAAACCAAAAATAACAATTATATTTATAAATTACCAATAGATAAATAAACATATAAATTTTATTCTAAGTATATTCTTAACTATTCAAAGAAGCTCTCACTTTGCTCCTCGGCAACTCTTTGCTTGCTGGTATAATTCCACACCGGATTCATGTTCCTCTATTGTGGATTTTTGGATGGTGCCCCTATCCCGGCAATAGTCGGCACTTACTGTGTCTCGCCTTTTGGAAGTCTGAGCGACCACATTCCATCGCGCTTCACTGTTCGCCCAACTTCAAGCGGCCGAAACCATTCTTCTCTTTGAATCGCCTCAAAATCTGAGGTAATCCAAACGAACATGAAACATAGAAGAGAAAAAGGAGCCCGTGATCAATCAATTTACCTTCAGTGCGAGATCACACTCGTTTTGGCGTTCCAATTCCTTGAAAACTTCCAAAGAACTTGCTTGAGCAATCGACCACCTGCTTAGCCTACCTGCGCTGGCACCCTCCTTGCTCAGAGGGCTCGTCACTGTCTCTCGCACAAGTGACTTCCTGCATCCCGAGCAATCAGCATATCCCTCCTTGTATCGTCCATCGCCCCGCAGCGCCACAGGCGACGAGGGCAACCGAACACAGCTAGAACCGTAAACCAATGAATAAAAGTTGAAACTACAAACCATCGAGTCCAAGGGAAAGAATGGCAGTAGAGAGCATGCAAGAAGCACCAAAATCTTCATCCAAAATCACGATTCCTGAGCTCAACCCACTTTGATTTTGGATCTATGCATCTTGTAATGGTGCAGGCAATTCGAACAGGCATTTCCAGAGCAAATGTGTGTAACCAAGCTCAGGGTGAAGGCAGGTGAGGTCGTTTTTCTTCTTTCCCCCCTCTAGTTCCCACATTGGCAATGCATGCACTTGGATATAGCTGGAGAGTCAGTTGGAGGTGTATAAGTATCCAGAGAGGAGGAAGAAGATGTCTTCACACTCAAGACGTCTCTGATATTTGGAGCACGATTGATGAAATTTGAGTGATGCTAGGGCCTTTCAAAGACTTCTCTCGCTTCTCTCAAATGCCGTTAGCATTGCGGTCCAAACAACGTTTAGTTTGAGCTTGCATTCTTACTCAAATCTTTTTATCTTTCCACGTAAAATCAGGGATCAGCTTTCTTAAATTTCCAGTGTTTTGAGAGATCGGTTGTGCGCTACAACCAATGGTGGCGCTGGGTGACCACGGCAAGGTGTAATTAATTGCTTTCGTGATCAGAATAAACTTTCCCTTAAAAGGGAGCGAGAGTATTTATTTACTCTCCACTTAAGAATCTTAGGGTATTATGAAAGGCTCGGGTTCTGGCAACGCTGGCTGCCAAGCTCCGCACACATGCTCGCTGGAGAAGCTTTGCAAATCAGGATTTATCAGCGTGAAGGCTAGGATGGGAGAAAAGATTGTCCGCTTCAGCGTGCATCACAGCAGTCTCAACTATGGTCTCCTCAGGACGGAGGTGAGCAGCAGGCTCCGCATGGCCAACTTCACCATCAGCTACTGCGACAAGGATCAGGACTGGGTGAGTCTGACTAGAGACTCCGAATTGTGGGACTGCCTCTGTGTGGCAGATAAAAACTCCACTTGTGTTAAGTTGCGGATCGAGAATCCACTGGTGCCGCCTGATGTAATACATGCAGCGCAACTCTTTGGGACTGGGGTCCTGCTTTGCGGCGGGCTTGCAGCAGCGGTGTGCTGCATATTTGAGCACCCCATAACTGCTCTTCCTCTGTGTTGTTTGGGGGCGATTCTGTTAGGCTTTACTGAACCATAGGTTTTTGGATTCTTATCGTTCTCTTTATTAAATTTAATGGATATATTTATCTTTTACATGGCGACCACAACACCTTCAGTATCTTGCTGCTTCCAGCAGCTCCAATTGGTTTGCTCGGCCTTCTTCTCATATTCCAGGTCCGTGTTAGTTCTTTCTCTTAGCATTGCACTCAAGTAATTGAGCACGCCTCGGTCGGGGTAAGCGTGCAAGTAGCTACCTGGTAAGTACAGGATCGCGAGTGCTACCAAGATCTCCAGCTTTATCCCCATGATTGGGGCGATTTTTCCCAGATCGGCGCCTCCACCAAATAACCTGTTCTCTGTGTGTGTGTGTGTGTGTGTGTGTGTGTGTGTGAGTGTTTTTCTTTTTTCTCCTTTTTTTTTTGAGCTTGGTAATTCACCTGTAAAGAGGCTGAGGAGTTGGTCATTGCTGATGGTACCCGGGAAAGATCACCACCTTTTGTGAGTATGTGCTCTAGATTGGAGCAATTAGAAAAGTTGCATTTAGTTGGCATGTGGCTGGATAAGAGCTTCTTGAATACCTCTCAAACCATCAGTAGTAGTATTCATAAATTTTTTTAAGACAAGCAATTTAAGTTCTACAAATCTTTGGGAAGGCTTGACCAAGATCTTCTTCCACAGCAGCAGCAAGCTCAATCTTCCCACAACCTTGGAGCTCTCGAATGACGAGCCCGTATGTTTTCTCGTTGAGCTGCAACTTCATCCCCTTTGCTTGCTCGTACAGCTCCATGGCTGCCACCGGATTGCCGTGCTTGAGGTGAGCCACCATCAGTTCCCTGTGGAGAAAGAAATCCGGCTCCATTCCATCGCGCTTCACTTGCTCGTAAACGTAGACCATGTCGTCCACTCGGTTGTTCTCCCACATCACTCCAAACATCCGGCGGTAGAGCCGAAAGTCGGGCTTGAACCATTCTTCTCTTCGAATCGCCTCGAAAATCTGTGCGGTGACCCATGAAACACCGAAGAGAATAAAAAAAGAGCGCGATCACTTTACCTTCAATGCGAGATCACACTCGTTTTGGCGCTCTAGTTCCTTCAAAACTTCCAAAAGATCTCGCTTGAGCAATCGACACACCTGTGTAGCGAAAACTCTCCGCAGCTCCTCCTGATCGTTCTTGGCGCCCTTGAGCGCTTGCACGACGGTAATGCCCTCCTTGCTCAGAGGGCTCCCGCTCGTCACCGTCTCTCGCACAAGTGACTTCCTGCCTCCCCGAGCAATCAGCAAATCCCCCCTTTGGGCGATCTCAATTGCCACAAATGCAGACGACCGGAACCTCACCCCTATCGCGCAGCACTGCTCCGGCAGCTTTCCATCTCCTCGCAGCGCCACAGGCGACGAGGGCAATCCAACGCTTCCCATGAGCTAGAACCCTAGCGAATGTAAAATCGCATATCCTTTCAACGGTCTATCATTGACGATTGTCAACGGTCAACACTTACTTTTGAGTCAAACACGTTGACCTTTGGAGGCGTCAAACCATCTAAAGCGAACGAATGGCAGCTAGAAACACTAGAAAAATCTCATTTTTATTAGATGGAGAGTAGAGAGCATGCAAGAAGCACCAAAATCCTCATGCAACATCGTCAGTTCCTCAAGCTCACCATTCTGGTTGTGGATCTATAGCGATCGATCAGTACTTGTAATCCTTGACGTGCAAGCTCTCCGACGCCCCCTCGGCGCTCTCGGTCTCGCCCGAGTACTTGCCCAGCGTCGCGTCCGAGTTGGCCTTGGCACGAACCAGGAAAACCTTCTGCGCCGCCTCCACATTCTCCTTCTTGCCACCCCACGTCTTGAGCGTGCTCTGCTGGAGCGCCCGCCCGAACGAGAAGGACAGCGTCCACGGCTTGAGGATGTCCAGCTTGTTCATCGCGTCCAGATTCTTGGTCGCCTCCACCTCGCTCTGGCCGCCGGACAAGAACATGATCCCGGGCACCGCCGCCGGGACCGTCCTCCGGAGCGCCAGCACCGTCGCCTCGGCAATCTCCTGCGCGCTCACCTTGGGCGCCTCGGATCCGTGCGTCACCATGTTGGGCTTGAGCAGCGTCCCCTCGAGCAGGACGTGGTGGTCGCTCAGCGCCTTGTACACCGCGGCCAGCACCACCTCCGTCACCTTGGCACACGTCTTGAGGTCGTGGGGTCCGTCCACCAGGATCTCGGGCTCCACGATGGGGACGAGGCCGTTCTCCTGGCAGATCATGGCGTAGCGCGCCAGCCCCTGCGCGTTCTCCTGGATCCCCAGCTCCGACGGCTGCGAGGGTCCGATGTTTAGCACCGCCCTCCACTTGGCGAACCGGGCACCGGCCTTGTAGTACTCGGCGCAGCGTCCCGCGAGGCCGTCCAGCCCCTGGGTCGTGGTCTCACCATTGGTACCGGCGATGGGCACCGTCCCCTTGTCCACCTTGATGCCCGGGAGGACGCCGTTCTCCAGCAGCACGTCCACGAACGGCTTGCCCGCCGCGGTCTTCTGGTAGAGCGTCTCCTCGAAGAGGATGACGCCGCTCAGGTACTGGAGAGCGCCCGGGGCGGTGAAGAGGAGCTCGCGCAGCGCCTGCCGGTTGGATTCCACATTCTCGACCTTGATGCTGGCCAGGCGCTTGCCGATTGTGCCCGTGCTCTCGTCCGCCGCGAGGATGCCCTTGCCCGGGGTCGCAATGTACTTGGCATTCTTGATGAGCTCGTCTGTGGGGAACCCAAATCGAGAGAGGGAGAGCTCAGATCCACAGGCTTAACACTCGCGCTAGCTATGGCGCTTACCTGCGTACTTGCCGACGACGGCCGCCATAGCCTCGCGCTCGCCTTTTTGCCGGAGATAGTAAAATCCCTAGGCCTTATCCCCACAAAAAAGACAATGCATGAAAATCCAGGGTGCCAGCGCAGCCCTAAATAGGGCTTTCATGGAGTCCACGCTGGCAGAAGCGATGGTTAGTATTGATTTGGGGCTATTTCGATGACCAGTCCATGTGCATGGAATTAATTTACGCTTTTACATTGACAGGTAGAAGTGGACGTGTGGTTAAGCGACGTTTGAACTGTTTCTGTTTGATAGGGCACCAGCAAAATCCTTCGTCCTTCGTTTGTTTGTCACGCACCAGATGCCCATTGTCGGCATTTGGAGCAAACATATAATTCGCCACCATTTTGATGGCCTAAACCCTGTTATGAAGTGCTTTGCTGACTTAAAGATCATTCTCACTAATTAATTCGAGGAAGCCTATCTTCCAGAAGGCAATGGCCTCGCACCTTCCATCTTATACACTCGATAAACTGCGCTTTTAAAAAGGATAGGGTTTGTCGTTTCTTAATGGCTTTTGCTTTCATCATCGACGTATGAACTGTTTCTTCATAGGTCACCGGCAAAATCCTTCGTTTTTTTGTCAGCATTTGGAGCAAACATATAATTCGCCACCCATTTTGAGCTTGATGACGGCCCAAAGAAGTATTGCTGACAGTTCTTTGCTGACTTAAGCTCGGTTTCACTAATTAATTCGACGAAGTTTATCTTCAAGAAGGCAAGGGCCGCGCACCTTCCACCCGATGAAACTGCACTTTTAAAAAGGATAGAGTTCGTCGTTTCTTGGGCCATGGATCATGCGATCACGCCCAGAGGCTTTGCTTTCTTCATCGTTTCGCGGGAAAACAAAGTTAAGCCCCATCTTCCAGAAGGGTTTAGTGGACAGACTTGCAGCCCCTAGATGCCCAAACAGTGCAACTCTAAATGCTACAATTCATAGCGCGCAATCGTTTACCACGGAGCTGTTCGAATCGGAATTTGCGGTGAGGTCCCCAAAGAACAAAACCATGATCATACCACTGAGGGAAACACGGCATCACTCGGTGAGCACTCCGTGGAGGCCCTCCTGATTTGTGCCATGAGGAAAAGAGGATCGAAAGAGAGGAAGAAAGTAACAAAAACGTGCTCGGCACTGCAATTTGACGAGAGCCTTTCGAGCGAGTGGTGGGCACAAAGCTGATCTTTACGGCGCGCCAAGAGGGGGTTCTAGCGCATCGACGATGCACAGATCCAAAAACCTCGGGTTGCTGTCATCTCAGCAATTGGAGAGCCTGCAAGAGAGAGCGAAACAAATAATTTGGCTTGACTGCTACAGCGCGCAAAGAGTTGCGAGTCCGGCAGAGGAGACAAAGCTCCAAACAGTGGGGTCAACACAAGGCGCTAAAAAGCATCCCGATCAACAGATCACGGGCGACCGGACACGTCTGGCCACACACTGTAGAGCGAAGCGACCCGGCTCTGGCGCGCTTCGCAGAAGAGGATTAGTTTTTGTACGGTTTCCGAGAGGAGCTTCTTGTCTGGATATGTGTTTCGGGCCTGATCATGGTGTGTCTGATTCGATGAGATTGGGATTCGAATTGGATCCTTATGACGAGCGCTCCAAACAAAGCCCACAAAAGAGATGGATCCATCCAGCCATGGACAACGCACAATTGTGATCTCGCACTGCTCCTTGCGCGTCCCGCCACTCGCGGTGGAGGACAAAGCGAAAAAAAAAAAAAGGAGCGCCAAATCAGGACACGAATCGATCATGTTTGCTAGCCAAAGACCGAATTCGCGAGCTTTGTTCCGGGTTTCCAGACACTGGAAATCATAGCGCCCAGCAAAATAATTCACACACCCAGAAGAGATTTGGCCGAGTCAAATGATCCCACAACATGATACACCGGGCCCCCCCATTGTCCGCCAACTTGACGCGGGGAATATCCCCTGCAAGCCGGAGGAGAATATGCTCCACAGTGCCACGAATATTCGCCTCGAGATTCCCCCCTCGTTGGTCGGTGTTTTCCAATAAGGGAGGAAGAGATCTCTCCTCTCCCGGTATTTAAATCCACGCGCTGGAGCGTTGGGATTTAGGTATCGCTCGCCCTTTGGTCTTCGCTACTTTCTTCTTCCCCGTGAAAGATTTTCTTCGTTCGCTCGCTGGACTTCTTCTCCCATTTTCTCTACCCGTTTTGACAGATTGGAATCCAGAAGGCTGCAAGGCCGTGTTTTTCCGCGTCTCCGCTGCTCCATCCTCATAGACAACGTGTGAATCGCGCGGCTTCTCGCGCCCTTCCTCAAGCGCATTCGCCGCCCTTCCTCCCCAATTTCCTCCCTGCCGAGCTCGTCGCGCCACCAGACTCGGTCACGATCTAGTTGCTTGCTCGCATCCTTAAAAACCAGCGCTCCTCTTTCCTTCTCTCCACTCGCAGAGAGGAAATTTGGGCCGCGAAGAGCGCGAGCGAGGGGTCTATCACACACCGTTAGAGATCGAACGACTTCCAAACGATCGAAGTTTCTTAGATCGGTCGACGTGATTCGCCATGGGTGCCGAGAATCGCTACAATGCACAAGGGCAGAGGATGGTGGCTGGATGCATTCCCTACCGGAGGGAAAAGGACAGTGACACGGTTGAGATTCTCATGGTGAGATCGCAAAATGGTCACAACATCGTCTTCCCCAAGGCAAGTGGATCCCTCTCTCTTCTTGGCGATTTTCCTCCCCGCTAACTCGATCCAATCCCTCGCTTCTACAGGGAGGATGGGAAGTCGACGAGAGCGTACAAGACGCTGCAATTCGCGAAGCACAAGAGGAGGCTGGAGTTCATGGCCACGTCCGGGTAAGCGACGAGAAGAAGAGATCGATTGCTGGTGTCTAATTGGGATCGAATTCGTCGCGCAGGATGAGCTGGGCGTTTGGATCTTCCACAAGAGAAGCCACCAGCAATGGGAGACCAACCCAGACGGCGCTTGCGAAGTTCACATGTTCCTCCTCGAGGTGACCCAAGAGCTGGATACATGGCCGGAGCAACACCGAGGGAGAGTATGGGTAAGCGCAATCCAGATCTCTCTTCCTCTCTCTCTCTCTCTGTGGAGAAGAGAAGACGAAAACGACTCCATAGCTTTTACTTACCACCACCACTCTCTGTTCACCCAGATTGATCTCAACGAGGTCGAGAAGATAACGCTGGAGCGGTGCCACCACAATTGGATGCGCGAGGCTCTGGGAATTTTCATCCAGAAGCAGACAAGCAGCTCCCTCATCGCCGAAGCTTCACCGAACGAGCCGCGCCACACTCTCTCCTTTAACGCGAGTGTCAGGTGTAGACTTTAACCAGCCGAAGACTTGTACAGTAACCACCATGGCCGAAAGAAAGAACCCACCAACATTGACACAAATGGTCCTGTTGCTTGTCTGTCTCGGTGCTCTTCTCGTTCTCTCGTTGCGTTCCAAGATCCCAGCGGCAGTCCTGGTAGAATCAAGCAAGTCTCTAAAAGAAAGAATGGAAGAACTTTGTTACCTCGAAGTGGAAGTTGACTTTAGTTCCGATGATTGGTTTCGTTGATTGGATTGTTGGTTTAGTAGTAGTAGTAGTCGTAGTAAGTTGGCTTTAGAGTGACTGATACGTTCTCGTCGCTCAGCGCAAAGCAGCTCTTATCTGCTTGAGCCAAGCTCCCATTCCCTTTTTCTGGTCAGTAGCGGCAGCGCTCTCCACCACCCCGGTGCTGCTCACGATGTGGACGAGGGCCTTGTTGATCTTGTCCTCCACGGAGCTACCATTGTTCTCGTCGGTGGCCACCACCTGGTTACTACACCTGCGTTGTTGGTGGTGTTGTTGAGGTGAGCCTCCTCCTCCGCCAAACTTGAGCAAACGACGAGCACCTGACTTGCTTCCTCGAGCCGGCGATTCCATCGTGCCAGCCCCAGCAGCGGCGCTGCGGGATTTGGACCGTGACATTGGTGGCGTCACGTAGCAGCTCTGTGGAGTCTGAGGGGACGCAGGAAGACGAGCACGGGGTGTCTCAAACCTCTCGGGTGTGTCAGCTAGTGGTGGCGGCGGAAGTTTGTGAGCGCTGTTTGCAGGCCGTGGCTTCAAAGGACTCGGTCCAGTCAAACAGTTCACGCTGGCACTGCTGTTCCTGGGAGGAGTTCCAATCGAGAAGTTGGTTTCCTCCAGCGGCCTGAGCGAGCGCTTCACTTTCCTCCGCAGGTCTCCGACCGTGTCTGATGTTAGCACTGGAATGGTTATAGTTCCAGCCACAACTCCTTTGCAAGTACGCACCATCTTCAGCTTCCTTGCTGCTGGAGTGTAGCTGGGATCGTCGTCTATCACACGAACAAGAGTGGAGTTAGCCGACAAAAACTTGGATCAAGTCCAGTTTGGCACTTACCCCTGTTCTCCGAGGCTGCGTGAAAAAGCTTTCCAGCCTTGAAAGACGACTTCAAGGGACTTTTGAAAGCAGCAACCTGTAGAGTAGACTGAGGGCAAACGAAGTATTCTGCCAGCGTTTTCTTGTCCTGCAAAGTGTTGCCTGGAACAACGGAATATAGAAAGCACAGGCGTGAGGACAACAGCACACAAAGCGAACTAGAAAGCAACCTGAGAAACTGATGCGCTGTTGCCATTGCGGAATCCCCGTACGAGCTTCAACAATGTTCGTCACATCTTGCACGCGGTCCCGGCCTTGGACGATCAAGCGAAACTCCTCGTGTCCCAGCACATTGACAGTAACGAGCATACGCCTGTGTGCTTGCTCGTTGTTCGTATCCCCTGAATGAATGACAAAGCTTAGCAGGACGAGAAAAAGGAAGACGAGAGTACAACATACCTGATACAGTCAAGTCCACAATGCTATCCTCGTAGATTGCATGAACACCATCGAAATCCTTGATGCAAAACTCATCGTGCATGACACAGCCGATGGAGGACAGAAGTTGCCGTGACTTTAGAATGCCCGTGTGCTTTTCTATGGCATCCTTGAGAGCTGACACGCGCGTATCACCACAGATGCCTTGCAAAGGCAGAATCCCATCCTTGGTCTCCACGAACAAGCGACCACCTCTTCCCGAAAGAAGCTGGGGAGCTTTCTGGAATATGGTTATTTTTTCGGCCAAAGTCAGCGAAGAACCAATTTCCAAAAACCAAGGAAAAGGAGAAAGACGAACATACCCGGAGCTCAACGATGGATTTGTCGAGAATGTTGTACTCGTGGAGCTTGGCATCGTCCGGAAGATCGACAGTCTTCCCAGCCTCTCTCCCAAAGAATGTGAGACTCTCTTCGTCCACAAAGAGCTCACACTCGTCTCTATCAGCCTGGCAAGCGTACCTCTTGTAAACCTCCTCCACTGGCATACTCTCACTCAGCCTCGTGAAGAGCGGCGCCACAAGCTGCTGCTGCTCCTCTCCAAAAAAGAGATTGTCCCTCACAAACTCCTTCAGTGTGCTCCTCACGCTGCCATTGTAGAGCAGATTGGGCGCCAGGATCAGCTTGGAGCGATCGCCAAGCGGAGCCACAGCGCCAGGGTACACATTAGCAACCGCGAGATGCTCTACTCGAATCCCTACTGTGATTGCCATCCGAGAGCAGACACATCCGATCACAGAGCCGGCAGAGGAGAGATCTGGAAGAACCGAACCCAAGATCTGGAAGAACCCAACCCAAGATCGCTCGCCCAGAGGAGAAAAATACGAAGAACCCTAGCCTCTCATGACCGTTGAAGACTGAATATCCCAGGATCTCCCCGGAAAAGAATATCCTTTAGAACATACCCGAGCCCCTTGGACCACAGGACAACTATAGTCCATGGGGACCCCGCACGAATTAAAAACGGCCACGTCACGCGGTGTGGGAAGTGGTGTGACATGGCCAATGGTGATGCAAGCAATCATTCATACATCGGCCAAAGTTTTATTTTTTTCGCCCAAAATTTTATCATACATGCAAGGATGATTTGCGCTGCATGTGTGTGCATGTGTTTTTAAGGATCTTTGTGTGGAAATCTGTGTTGGAATGTCTTGAAGCCCCTCCTCCATCCTTTTTCCCCCATTTCCCTGCGCGGCAATGCAAGACGGCGGCGACCAAACGATCTCCGCCACCGCTGCCACCACCACCACTACCACCACCGCCGCCAATGGAGTCCACCACCACCACCACCACCAAAATCACCACCAGCCGCACCACCACCTCCTGCTCGCGTCGCTCGGCCTCAATCTTCTGCTGCTCGTCTTCTTCGCCATAGATTTCAAGCCGCTGGAGCGAAAAAATGCCGCAAAGTCGTCGTGCTACCTCAACGCTTTCTCGCCGCAGTCCTGTCCCCCCTCCCAGATTTCCTCCGCCCATGATTCCATCACCAACAAGTCGTCCTTGTCCTCGTCGTCCTCCTCGTCCGAGCAGCAGCAGCAGCAGCATCTTCCTGTCAATCTGGATCAGTAAGTCTAGCTCGACTTTTTTTCACTCTCTTTGCTCTGTTCTTACCCCTCGCAGTGGCGATCCGACCATGTTCGAGGCGTACTGGCGCGCCAATGGAGACAGCTGCACCACTGTGATCCTCGGCTGGGAGCAAATGAGCTACTTTGCGAGCCGGAAGCACTTCCTCTGGTTCGTGGAGCAGGAGCTCGAGAATGAAATCCGGCAGCTGCACTCGCTCGTTGGAAACGCGGTCACCGATGGCCGATTCATCGTCGTCGGCACTGGATCCACCCAGCTCTTCCAAGCTGCATTATATGCTGTCTCGCCCAGAGATGGAGCTCAACCGGCCAGTGTCGTCTCGGCCGTTCCCTACTACTCGGTAAAGAAGCTCAGCTCGGTTCATCTCCAAAGTTTGCTTTTTTTCTTCTTTTTTGCAGTCGTATCCTGTGCTCACGGACTACCTCAAGTCTGGTATCCATAAGTGGGCCGGCGACGCTGCAAACTTCCATCTCGCAGACTCCTCCTCCTCCTCTTCGTACATAGAACTGGTGACTTCTCCAAATAATCCCGACGGCTCCATGAAGCATGCCGTGGTGCAAGGCAGCGGTCCTGTTATCTACGATCTCGCTTACTACTGGCCTCACTACACCCCCATCACTGCTGCTGCGGAGCACGACATGATGCTGTTCACTGTCTCCAAGTGCACTGGACATGCAGGCAGTCGAATCGGGTATGCGAGATTTTGCTGCGGGAATCATTCCCCTTTCCTCCTCCTCCTGTTGCTTCTTCCTTGGACCGACTTTATCTCCTTTTCTTCATTCCTTCCAGATGGGCCATTGTCAAGGACGCTCAAGTGGCTCAAAACATGGCGAAGTTTATCGAGCTCAACACCATTGGAGTGTCCCACGATTCTCAGCTACGTGCCGCACAGATCCTCAAATCCATTGTCAGAGGCTACAACCCCACCGCTGTTACTTCCCGGCCATATGAAAGTGAGTGCCAGGACCACTGCGTCAAGTCGGGCCGACTGTTCCACTTTGGCTACTCGGAGATGAGCAGGAGATGGGATCTCTTGCAGCAGGCCGTGAAAGTCAGTGACAGGTTCAGCCTGCCAGAATTCTCCCCAGCTTTCTGCGCCTTCTTCGGCCAAGTCACATCGCCTCATCCAGGTATGAACCTCTACTGCTCCTTTGTACCTCTAGCCACCTCTGCTTTAGCTTTAGTCCGTCACCCCGTCTGGTGGCAGCAGATATCAAATTCCATCACACTTGCACTTGCATCATTGCCTGTTCCACTTCGGCAGTTCCCCCAACTCGAATGATTCGGCGCATGATGTGCTTCAGCCGCTCATTAGATCCCGGTCCTCCACTTGTCTAGTATCCACCTGCGAGTTGGCTTTTCCGGAGTAGCGAGCGCTTTATCTCGAGTCGATTGGCTGCTGTTGTAGTTTGGTGTTAGAGACGACTTTTGGGGGCTGCATTTCCATTGTTTTTGTTGTGCACTACCAACCACCTGATCTGGACGCGGTACTCTCCCCATACCTCCTCTCACCATCAACCTGCCATCAATTTCATGGGAAAAAAAACATTAATACTGGCATTCATGCGTAAGGCATGGAATACCACTCAGCCGCATTACAGATAAGGAAATTATCTATCACTCACTTGTTGATTGTTGCAGCATTCGCGTGGCTCAAGTGCAACAGGGATAGTGATTGCAAGGAAGTGCTCAAGCTGGGAGGCGTACTCAGTAGGAGCGGTGTGCAGTTTGGAGTTGGGCCAGACTACGTGAGAATCAGCATGTTGGACAGGGAGGGCAACTTCGAAACGTTCATCGCAAGGCTGTCTGATATGGCAGCTGCGTCCCTGGCATCTACAGCAGCATCATACCAAGAACAGATGTTATAAGTGAAAGGAAGAGTTACCCGAGTTGTAGAGCAGTAGGCTGCAGCAGATTCATCTGCTGCATTTTTGCAAGAGTAACTCCTGCTGTCAGGAATGTCACGGTCTGTTCGAGTGAGAATCCGATTCTCTGAACCAAGAATCACGTTGATTTTGTGTGCGGTACAAGATACGAGCTCTTCAACTCAAAAGCTTTTTTATTGCTTAATTTCAATGTCCACTACATTCTTCCGAGAACATGCTGCCACAAGAAAACGTGTCATATGCCAGCAAACTAGAGGGACATGCATACCGTCGTGTTCCGCCCGGAGGAAAAGAGAACTCCGCTTTTGCTTCCAAACGCTCAGTCAAATACCTGCAGAAGTTTATTCATCGATAACATGTCAAACGGAGACAAGTAAACAACACCTCTTCTAGTGTGCCGATCAACCTTTTCTGCTTCGGAAAACGGGCCATCTGAAATACAAAATACATTCTTCTCACGTACCTTGTCAGACGCCGACGAACAAACCCGCGACGACAAAGTCGTTTAAATCAGTTGTCATAGTCGTCATACTCGTCACAGCTATCATCGAGAGTCCCGGTCCAGCGATCAGTTTCCCGGTGGCGCGGGTTTTCCTGCCTCTTATAAACTAAATCGTCTGCTTGACCAGATGGAAACTCGTCATACGAATAGTCTCGCTCGTCCCCAGGATTATCAGTCTCATAGTCACGGTCCATCTCAAACAACTGTAAAAGCAACAGGGTCGCATAAGAAATCTATAACACAGTAACACGATTACCTCGTCATTGTATCTTCGTCTCTTCCGCTTGTACGTGTAGCCATCATCTTCCCATCTGTCGTCCTCACATTCTACATCTTCGACGTACACATCTTCTTCACATTCTCCTTCTTCCATTTCCCAACCGTCAGCTCCATCGTCATTATAATCCCTTCTCCTATACCTCGAGTCGGAGTACCTCTGCGACCGTCTTTCAGAGAGGTCACTCACCTCGTCTTCCTCCACCCCTAACACATCGTCATATCTCCTCCGTTTTCTCTTACGATCATCTCTGCATTCATGCCCAGTAAAGTCTGCATCTTCCATTTGCCAGCGTTCGTCCACTTCCTGATAATAATCATCGCAATCCCTTGCATCTTCATCTTCAGACTTTAGTCTCCGCCTTTCCTTCCTGTCCTTGTGTCTTCGCTTTCTTTCTTCTTTTCTCTCTCTCCTGTTGTCGTCTTCTAATTCTTCTGAAGCGTACGCCGTCTGTGTGTCACGGATGGTACTATTATGATACCCGCCAGCTCCTTCTTCGTTGTCCTTCTGATCTGGTTTGCTAAGATTTTCCCTCTTCCTCCTTGCATGAGCATCATCCATGCGAAGATGGAGCTTCCATCTAGCGGAGACCTTCTCAAGGACTTTCATCCTCAAGTCATCCTTGGCACCGCTATCCTGTTGCTTGAACTTTGGTCTATCCTCCGACTTCGAAAGCGACGGAGCTCTCGTAAGCTGCCGGGACTGGCCAATCCTCTCATTTGAATCCCTTGCCGGTTGCTCTTCTTCATCATCTTGCTCAAACTCGATGTCCGCAGCTCTCAAAGATACTTGTCGCCTCTCTACAGTCACTTCCGATCTCCTCTCTACTCTGTCGGCTGTCCTTTCCGATATCAGCTGGCTTCTTCTCTCTGCATTTAGCCGTATGGTCCTCCTTGCAGGCTCCATTGTTGAAACCAACTTCTTTTCTTGAGGCGATTTTGTTTCATTTACCAGTTGAGTAACTCTTCTAACCAGAGAAATTGGTCGTTTCTCCACTTGTTCACCAAGCCTTCTCTGTGGTTTCTCCCTCGCCAGTTCACTGGGCCTCCTCTCCGCCACCAGTTCACTAGGCCTTCTCTGTGCTTTCTCCGTCACCAGTTCACTGGGCCTTCTTTCAGCTTTCTCCGTCACCAGTTCACTGGATCTTCTTTCTGCTTTCTCTGTGACCAGTTCACTAAGCCTTCTCGGTGGTTTCTCCGTCATCAGTTCACTGACCCTTCTTGGTGGCTTCTCTGTCATCAGGTCACTGAGCCTTCTCGGTGGTTTCTCTGTCCCAACATCACTGAGCCTTCTCTGAGGTTTCTCTGCCACCATTTCACCAAGCCTTCTCTGCGGAGCTGAAGCAGAAGCTCTTTCGAACCTCGGTGGTGACCTCCTAACTGGTGTCTCCTCTTCTTCGCTTAGACGCTTGGACAATGTACGAAACCCGTTTTCAACGGAACCTTGAACCCCACCAGGCGACGATCGGGAACTAAACGTTGATCGTCCACTATGAACACAGAAAATAATATGATGAGCATTAATAACAACTGCATACCTGGTAGACGTAGAAATGATCCCGCCTGAATAAATCCCACCGAGATTTGTCCGAGGACCGGGGGGCGTGCGACCACCAAGCCTTCCGCTCAAAGGTGAAGAGCAAAGCATTGATTGTTCCGCGGATTGACTTTCTCGGTGAAATCCTTTCCGTCTAGGCAAATCGTCATTTCTTTGTTTGCGCCTGAATTCCCCGTGACTGTTTTCGTATCTTCCCTCGTCGATCTAAAAAAGGAAAAACGAGTTGGACCAGATAATTTTACAGTCAAACCTGTATTCCAGATTCGGAATCACGAAGCCTTTGCCGTCGTAATTCGGAAGATCGCCGTTCGTTTCCACCTTCTTCTACCTGGATTGCTCTACCAGACTGAAACAAGGCTGGTTATAAAAAGCAAACGACTCCGTAAATCCTACGCACATGATTTCTCATTCCCCGTTGTCCTTGAGCACGTCCTCTTTGAGGCTCCGGCGTATCATTGTATCTCGCATTATCATAGTTCCAGCCCTGAGATGAACGAAAGATTTAATAACTATTGATATGCTCAAAGAGAATTCATACCTGCTGCGAATGGCCGTTATCAAGACCACGCATCTTGCTCTTTTTAGATGCCTCGGCTTTGGCCCTGGCCTGAAATGGTTATCCAAGTTATATAAACTGGACACACATCCATAAACAACTCGCATTACTTACAAACTCCTCACAGTACTGCTTCCAGGTGTCTTCAGTGAAACCAAAGTTGAAGTAGTCCGTTATGTCTGTCCCTTCGTACTCCCAGGGTTTCTCTTCAAACTGATCGATGTCAATATCAAAGACCGTCCTGTAAGCACCACCCTGAAACTTACAAGAATCGCATGAAAAACCCGAGCTTACTTTGATGGTGGAAGAACAAACTCGTATGCAGGCTGGAAAGTGTGGAAGTCCCACATCCCCAAGCCGTAGCCGGCAAACGGGATCGGCGCAATCGCCGTCGCTCCCGGTGTTTGAGGGTCAGGCACCCCAGGAGACGTGGTAGCGGGTCCCGATCCTGGTCTCACGTACTACAAATCAAAGCACACGTCAGTACGACTTGGGGAAGCGTACAAGAGAACGAGAAAGAAAGAATGGAAGAAGGAAAAAGTTTACCTTGAATTGGGAATGACGGAAACGCATTTCCGCTGCCCAGTCCACCTCTTCGTAATGCTCCTCGCCCCCGACCGCGAAGACTTCCTCGGGTTCGGCATCTTCGGCCCCCTCGACTCCATGAGGGTAGAAGATATCTTCGTCGTTCACAATGAGCTGTAGATCATCCTCGCTATCACTGTCATCGGACACTGGATCTCCATCGTCCTGCGGCTGCGGCTCCTGCCCATCCACAACCTTGAGCTGCTCGTCCGACCCCTCCGAAGTAGCAGCTGGTCCCAAGTTCTCGGCTTGAGGAGGTCCAAAGTTCTCGGCTTGAGGAGCTACCTCGTCACTCTCCAGCGATGTTTCACTGTCAATGACCTTGACCTTTGAAGCGTCGCTGCCCGGCTCCAAGTTCTCCGCTTGAGGAGTTCTCCCACTCACCACGTCAATGACTCTGATCTCCGAGGCTTTGCCGCTGGTCTCGCAGTCCTTGACAGCCTCCTGGACGCCGGAATACATCACCTCCGTGACCACAAACGAGCGATCGAGAGCCCGGTCCTCAATGCACACAACCCTCTTGATGCTTTCTTCCAGCGACGCCGCACTCGGTTCTAAATCCTCCATAGCTTGCCCGTGCACGCTCAGCCGCTAGCGCCGCGAATCTCACATCCGAGAAAGCCCCGAAATATGCACAGCCTGTTGGATTGGGAGATGAAAAATCGAGCGCTCTCCTGCGGCGGCAGCCCTATGCGGCGAATCTAGAATGCCAAAACCTGAGGAGGAGAAGCTGGCAGCTTGTTCTTCACAGCGCCATCGCCTTATCGCCGCTGCCGCAAGCCCTAAAATCCGTGACACATTTCCGTACTCCGGATAAAAAAATGTTCAAGAATATTCGGGATAAATTTCATGTTGGTATGAATTCGAACAAAAAAAGCAAACGGAGTTAAATAACAATCAATCGGAGTGGCGCAGCGGAAGCGTGGTGGGCCCATAACCCACAGGTCCCAGGATCGAAACCTGGCTCCGATATCACTAGAGAATCTCCTTTTTATTTTGCTTGGGCCGGAAGCTCTGGCCACTTTAGTTCATGTGCCACAGTGTGCCAAAGTAACGTAGCTAGCTTCCACTGGAAACAAGGAACAGCTCTTGCAGTTAAAAGCTCCACACGATCGCTCTCCAAGGAAACTCAAGGAGCTATGGCGGAACTTAGCTCCAGGAACACGGCCAAGCTGGTGGTCTACTTGGTTCTTGCCATCGCCTCAGCAGGTTCGCTAACTTTTGGTTGATTGATCTTCTTGGTCGTGGTTGTTGATTGAGAGTCTAGAACTTTTTCGGTGCTTGCTTGATTGATCTGATCTTCTTCTTGGTCGTGCGTGTTGATCGAGGATTTCCGAGGAGCTTGCGCTGATCAAGATCTTCTGCTTTGTTCGCTATGATCTTCGTCTTGGTCGTGCCTGTTGATCGAGAGCTCTCCATGCCTCGAGAAGCTTGAGCTGAGCGGCTAACTTGATTGATCTGATCTTCTTTCATCCCTCGAGGAGCTTGAGCTGATCGAGATCTTCTGCTTTGTTCGCTAACTTGATCTTCTTGGTCATGCCTGTTGACCGAGTGTTCTCCATTCCTCGAGGAGCTTGAGCTGGTCGAGATCTTTTTCTGCTTTGTTCGTTAACTTGATTGATCTGGTTGGCCGTGAAAGTCCTCCATTCCTCGAGGAGAGCTGATGGAGATCTTTTTCTGCTTTGTTCTCTATTGATTGATCTGGTCTTCTTGGTCGTGCAAGCCTTGTTGATTGAGAGCCTCAAGCTTTGTAGAGCTGATGAAGATCTTCTTCTGCTTTGTTCCAGGAGGGATCGACGCCACCACCATCCGCCTCTACAACGCCTGCCCCTTCACGATCTGGCCGGCGTGGCTCTCCAACGCCGGCAAGCCCCAGCTCGGCCCCGGCGGCATCAAGCTCAACCCCTGGCAATCCTACGACGTCTACGCCTTGAACAACTGGGCCGGACGATTCTGGGGGCGCACCGGCTGCGATCTAGATGGCTACTATCCCCGCGGCTGCGACACAGGCGATTGCAATCGCACCATCTCCTGCAACACCCCCGGCGCCACCCCGACCACCCTCGTCGAGTACTCGCTCCACAACAACAATGTGGACAACTACGACGTGACGCTCGTGGATGGCTACAATCTGCCCATCCGCGTGTCGCCCAGCCACCCCGGCTGCTCCACAGCCGGCTGCCGTGCCGATATCAACGTCCACTGCCCGCCCGAGCTCGCCGTGCGCAACGCCGACGGCTATGTCATGGCCTGCAAGAGCGCCTGCCTCGCCTTCCCTGCCGAGGATCGGTTTTGCTGCCGCAACCAGTATGACAACGAGCACTGCCCCAACAACGAGTACGCCGCGCGCTTCAAGGACTCGTGCCCTAGCGCCATCACTTACAAGTACGATCGCGAGAACAGCAGCTTCCGCTGCCCGTCCGGGACGGATTACACCATCACATTCTGCCCATCCGGGAATGCCGAGGATGGGATCATCACGCTGGGGCGCCGCGAGGAAGAGGACGCCTAAACGAGAGAGAGAGAGAGAGAGAGAGAGAGAGAGAGAGAGAGAGAGAGAGATGAAGAACCCTAGATTTTGAATTTGCCCCAAATTGATGTTTTCCCGCGCCAAAGTGAAGTTTCAAATGAAAATGTGAATGAGCAATGCTTGGCAGCAGCGAGATCTCGCGTCCGCGATCCAGCTCTGCGGCGATGCACGCGATCACGCCGCTGGCTCGCGGATCCACGCCGACATCGCCGGCAGCAGGCGGTGGAATGGTGACCGGTACCTCGCGAATCTGCTCATCGAGATGTATGGCAAGTGTGGGGATCTGGGCGCCGCGCGCGCGGTCTTCGACAACTTGGGCTCCCCGAATCGCTTCTCCTGGACGATCCTCTTCGCGGCTTATGCGAGGAATGGGAAGCTGGAGGATGCGCGGAGGGTTTTCGAGGAGATGCCGGAGAGGGGGATCGTCGTGTGGAATTCATTGCTTAGTCTTCTCGGAAAACGGGGAATGATCGCAGAGGCCGAGAGGGTATTCGAGGCAATGAAGGGAAGGAGGAATGCTGTCTCGTGGAATGCCATGATCACTGCATATGCCTTGCATGGGCATTTGTGTCGAGCGGAAGATTTGCTCAAGACAATGCCAGAATCATCAGCTTGCTCTTACAATATCCTGATAGATGCTTACGCACAAGCTGAAAATTTGTTTCGTGCGAAGGACTTGTTCGATCAAATGCCAGATAGGGATCATGTATCTTGGAACACTATGCTAGCGGCATATGACAAGTATGGGCATTTTCTTTCAATGACTACGTTGTACAGCAAAATGCCTCAGTTCGATCTCGTTTCTTTCAACTCCATGCTCGCGGGTATCACAAATCATGGATCAACCTCAGAAGCGCAACGATTCTTCCAGAGGATGCCCGAGAAAGATATCATTTCCTGGAACACTATGCTCCACGCGTTTGCCCGCGTGAGCGACGTCACAAGCGCTTTGGACGTGTTCCACAGGATGCCCGAGCACGACGTAGTGACGTGGACAGCCACGCTTGCAGCGCTGTCCGGTGACGTGGACCGAGCCAAGTCTCTGTTTGATGCATTGCCCGCCCGCGGCCTAGTGACGTGGAACGCCATGCTGGCAGCCTATGCCCGTGCCGGGCATATCGCCCCAGGCCGAGCTCTCTTCGACGCAATGCCTGCTCGAGACCTCTCGTCCTGGAACATCCTATTAGAAATTTTGGCTGCGAATGGATCATTAGAAGAGGCTGCGATGATCTTCATGGCAATGCTTCCAGAGCATTGTTTGTTTTCTGGAAATCTCGTGCTCTCTTCGTATGCCCGGAGTGGTTTCGTTGACAATGCTTTTAGCGTTTTTTCGTCGATGCTCGAGGTGGATTCCGTGTCGTGGAACGCTCTCCTGGGATCTTGTGCTCGAAGCGGTCAGATCGAAAACGCCCAGCTGATCTTTGCGAGAATGCCCGAGTGGAGCTTGAGCTCGTGGACGAACTTGATCTGGATGCACTGCCAGGGATCAAACTTGGAAGGATCAAAGAGAGCTTTTTATGAGATGCCCGAGTGGGATACAGTGAGTTCCAACGCAATGCTCGCCAGCTTTGCAAGAAATGGCCAAACGCACGAAGCTCGAGAGCTCTTTGACGCCATCTCCGACAAAGACGGGGTCTCCTGGAACACAATCCTCGCGGCCTACGCCCAAGCCGGGGATCTCACCTCGGCCTCGTCAATCTTCCTCGGAGCTCCCGAGCGATCTTCCATATCCTGGAACACAATGCTCGCATCAACTTCTGGCTTTGCTTGCGCGGCTCAAGCGATGGAGCTCTTCCACGAGATGGCCATCGAGGGCCACTCTCCCGACCAGCTCTCCTTCTCAAGTTTGCTCAACGCTTGCAGCCACGCCGGGTCGATCGACCAAAGCTTGCTACTCTTCCACGCCATGGCCCGCGATCACCAGGAACTTCTCATCGAAAGCCAGCACGTAACCACGATGGTGGATGCTCTGGGCCGAGCCGGACGAACCTTGGCAGCTCAAGAACTGGCAGAAGATGATGGTAGGGACGCGGTGGCCGTGCGGTCACTGCTCGGAGCTTGCCGGATACACCATAATGTGGAGCTTTCAACACGCTTGGCCGGAGAAAACTCTTCTCCACCACTCCGGTGTGGATCAAACTTTTCTCTGCTTGCAAACACATACTCCGCGACAGCAGCAGTCCTATAGCTCGTGCCAATCACAGTGGTCCCGAAAGCTTGTGGTGAGGTCCCCGAGTTTCCAGAAAGTCACGAAAACCATAATCAGGAATGGACCTATGCACTGCGCCAGAAACACGGCTTTGATTTTGACTAACTCCAGTCGTGGGTCGACTCCAGACTTCGCGGACTTAGCGGCATCAACCTGTGGACTTGCAAAGACTGCCGCTCGCTAGTCTTTAAAATTGGGAGTGCACAGCTTAGAAGAACTTGACTGGAGAGAGTCCATGAATGGCACTCGAAATGGAGAGTGGTGGCGATGAAGACGTGATGCTTCCAGGCTTCCGCTTCCATCCCACCGACGAGGAGCTCCTCACTTTCTACTTGCACCGCAAGGTGGAGCACAAGCCCCTGGCGATCGAGGTGATCACGCAGCTCGACATATACAAGTTTGATCCATGGGAGCTCCCAGGTAAAGACCATCCTCGGATCTTGATCGAAAGCTCTCGATCACCGAGATATCAATTGTGGATTTCTTCGGTCTCGGCAGGAGCATCATCGACTGGTTGTGGAGAGCAAGCGTCCTACTTCTTTTGCCCGCGGGACCGGAAATATCGCAACAGCAGCAGGCCAAACCGGGTGACCTCGGGCGGATTCTGGAAAGCCACGGGCACGGACCGGGTCGTGCACTCGGCCAAGCCGGGCCACAAGTGTATCGGGCTCAAGAAATCGCTGGTTTTCTACAAGGGACGAGCGGCCCGGCCTGTCAAGACGGACTGGATGATGCACGAGTTCCGGATGCCGCAGCTGTCCAACAAGGATATCTTCCAGCCGCGAGGACCAGAGGTAGAGTGATGCGCTCTCGATCATGGTTGTTTTAATTCATGCTTGTTCTTGCTTGATCTATCTCCAGGAATGCTGGACGGTATGCAAAGTGTTTAGAAAGCTTGGGCCAGTGCACGGACCTCTCAAACGACGGGCGCTGGGAGAATAGCGAAGAAATGCCAAGTGAATGTTTACTATGTTTATAAATTATGAATAATTATAGGACTAATACCATGGTTATTAAAACAAATCTTATCTATCATCTTGAGCGTACAATTACTGATTTGCTTATTAGCATAACAGTAATTAACTAGCAGTTGCCCAGCAAAATACTTTTTTTATATTCAAAATTAAATTGAAATAATATCACAAAACAAATATTGTATTCCACTTTGAAAGAAGAATTGGGTGAATATAAAAATTAATTCTTGTAAACTTGATAATATAAATATTTAAAACAAAATATATTCCTAGGCATAAGTAAGAATAAATATTCATTAATCAAAATATTAGATAAAAATTATTATTTATAAATATGAATATATTTGGAAAAATAACCAACCAAGAAAAAGTAAAAATGAAATTTCTATTATTAACAATATGTTATATGTAAACTATATTTTTAGTTGGGATAAACTTATATTAAGATTTTATCAAACAGAAGAGATCAATTAATAAAAATAGTTATTACACATTTTTATTAGCAAGACATTACTTAATTATGATTTTTACTTAGAATATAAAACAATAAGTTTACATTAATATATTACTACCCAGATCAGTCAAGAAAATAATTACTAACAAAATATTTTGTAAATATATATGCTATAGAAACTGTAATTCCATAGTATTATGTACTAATAAACTATCTTTACAGTTAGGAAAAAGAATTTAAAATATTACTGCTTAATCAAATACTACATACATTATCTTAGTTTTCTTGATAATGAGTTAGATTGTAAATAGCTAAGGCTAGATATAAAAACATATTACGTACTCTTATTGTTGAAATTGTTTAATGTTTTTATATTAACACTTGAAGCTTTGATCATGATCCTACATATTCATAAAATTAAGTCAACCCATATTTGATCTACCATCATTTGGTGTTGGATTTTATATATTATAGTGATATTTAAATAGACCATCTAATATATTACAAAATAAGATTATCCTAGAATATAGTTTTCTTATTATATTTACAAATACTGTTAAATTAAATTATAAAATTTAATTGTGACCTAAAATATTCAAAGATTATAATAATTTAAAAAACAGAATAAGTTTAGGTAAAGTTGATTTTTTTATTAATAATGCATTAAAAATGTTCACTTAAAAATAAATATTCACTCTCTTAGGTAACCTATTAAATAGAATTCAAATTTTTGGCAGTTTTGGATTTTGATCTGGTGATGCCACCAAAGACATACATAATTTATCACCTCATGGGTACAATTTGTCATTGGTTAGATTAGCAAAAACACTATATATTGCTATCTGGATAACTTAAAATCTTTTGATACCACACTTCCATCACCATAGCAAATGACAAAACCTACTGTTAGAGTTTGGCCAGCATCCAACACTTTGTGGCCCACTCTTTACACTCATGAATTCACCTAGTAAAGAAAGTAAAAAACTTACCATTCTAATGACCATATGAATTTGCCACAATAAGAAACATGTAACCTACTCCTCTAATGCTAATGGTTGAGAAACTACATGCCAAGCAATTCTTTAATGTGATGCCCAACATAATCCTTTCAAAGGAAAAATCATAAAGAATATCACTATCCAAGCATAAACTCAAGCTAAGGACCAATTGCCATAGCTACTATTACAAGATCTCACTCCTTCACTTTTGCATTCTCTAAAGCTTGTGCCACCACCTAAAGAACATAAAAGAACTCTCAAAACTTCCATTGAAAGGAGAATAGCTTACTTTGTCGATTGCTTGCTTGTGATTTAGACATGTTGCTAAAGGCATTACACCACCATACTATTGAAGCAAGTTTGCCTTGAATCCAAAGAAACAAAACAAAACAAAATAAAAATGAAAAAGAGAGAAAAAAAGTACTTGTAATCTTAGTGACTTTCTCCAAAAAGTTTGAAAAAATGCAATCTTATTTCAAGAAAATCAATTTACAATAGTAGTTCTAGTGGTATCATAGTTCATCTCAATTCCCGAAACAGGCAGCAGATTAGCAACTTGTAAGTTCCTAAATTTAGACTTTTTAGGAGGTCACTCAGTTTAGTACTACTCAAACCCAAAGACACTTAACCCTAAATATCCCAAGACCCTTAACTAATTGAAAAAGGGGGTGTACTCTTATTCATGTGCTCTTTCCTTTTATATTTGAACTTCATGTATTGTCTCTCAAGTCGTTTCCTTTGGTTGCTTACAATCCACTATGCTTCTTTGTAGTTCACGCCCTCGTGAATGGAAACTAAGAGTCGCAATTCTCCCAAGAGCCCTATTCTCTTGACACCCTACCCCTCGGGTCAAGCCTAACCAAAGCATATTGGACTCTTGCCACCTTACCCCTCGGGTCAAGCCCAACTGAAGCATACTGGACCTTTGTCATATGTCAATTAATATATGGTGTGATTCCTTTAACCAACTAACAGAGTCTTGAGTCTTATAATCCACTACGCTTCCTTACAAATTCACGCCCTCATGAATGGAAGTTAAGAGCCACAGCTCTCTTAAGAGCCCTGCTCTCTTGACACCCTACCCCTTGGGTCAAGCCGAGCCAGAGCATACTAGATATCAATTAACATGTGGTGTAAACCTAAGGATGCTTAATCCTAAATATCCCAAAACCCTTAACTAATTGGAAAATGGGGTGCATTTTTATTCATAGGCTTTTTCTCTCTATATTTGAACCCTATGGATCATTTCTCGAGTCCTTCCCTTTAGTTACTTACACAATTGCAGTGAGAAAAGAAGGGCACCATATAGAAATTTGTACATTTGGGATGAATATGAGATGCCATTGCTAGGGATTGGCAAAAGCATGTGCTATAAGTCACAAAACCCTAAATCAAGGAAAAGAGATTCATATATGCATAACTTAAAGGCACCAATAGTCAGCCCCGTTGCTATAGCAAGCACTCTCCACTAAACTGTAGAACTTACCCTCTTGATTTCAGAGGGTTTTTATTGCAAAAAGTTGAGTGTTAATGCTAGTTAACACTTGCATGTAAGATGTTGCCCAGCAAATGCTGGATGAGTACAAAAATTAATAATTTTATATAATTATTTCCTTTTGATATCTCTATATACACACACAATACTATACAACATAGACCATATATTTAAAATACTAATATATTCCCAAAGTGAGAATAGAAGAATTAGTAAATAAATATTAGTGATAAAGATAATATATGCAAAGTACTACTTGGGAATATGAATATATTTAAAATATTAGAATTTTAAGAAACTTAATACCCAACCCAGAGTAAAGTAAAATAAAATTGCTAAGAATAATTTATTTTATAGTTATTAGATTATAAATATATTTAGTACACTCCCAAAAAAAAGCAAATGAAGAATTACTGAAAAGTAATTTTCTTAATTAGATGTTACATGTAAAGTATTTTTTTACTTGAGATACAAACAAATTTAGAATCCTAAAATGGTTAAAAAAAAACTAATATATTACTACTCAAACAAAAGTAAAAAAAAATTATTAAGATTATTTATTATTAATTTAGGGAAGCATTATTTAATTATTACATGTTTACCTGGAATATGAATAAATATATAACTAAAATTTTAAGAACATTAATATATTACCCACAGAGGATTGCAAAACAGCACTATTGAAAAACTAAAGTCTAGCTTAGAAATAAAAAATTATATATACACTTAAACTCAAAAATATTAAGAACACTAATACTACTACCCAGACCCAAGTAAAACTAAGAAAAGAATTACAAAAAATAATAATATATATGTTAAATACAAAGTATAAATTCAAAACCTAATAAACGATCAACCTCTTGTTTAAAATGTAAATTTCATGCCATTACTATAATTGCCCGACCAATACATCATCAATACATCAATCAATACATCATTACAAAGAAGAAAAATGTATGAGAGGCTAAGTGCGGCTCCTCTCCAGTGGCCAAGCTCACCTCTGTTGTCGTTGGTGGAGGCACCATTGCTGCCGCTGGGGGCTCAGGAGTGGATCTAGAGTCCGTGGCTCCGAATCTGCTGCTGGCGCCGGGGACTGGGAGCCGCAGCTTCACTGGCCATTTACTCGCTCTCCTATAGGGCTATGCCCTTTCCCTCAATCAGCGGTGGAAAATGCCAGGAGCGACGGTGGTGAGACTGTAGAAAGGCATCCCATCAAGCTCCAGATCTGCTGCTGGCGCTTGTTCCCATGGGGATTGCTGTGGCAATTGAGCGGGAGATTTCTGAGTGGGATCTCTACTTGGGAGATTTGGGAGTTGCAGCTTCACTGGCCATTTACTCGAGCACATTGCCCTTGTGCCCTTTCTCTAAAGCATGCTCCAAGTCAGGAGCGACGGTGGCAATTTCTGCAGGAAAATTTAAAATTCGAGAAAAATCTGTATGCAAGTTTGGATGATGATAGCAATTTCAACAAAGATGCTATCCGGTCAACACATTGTATGTGCCACATGTCGCAGCACTTCCCACGCAACTTGGCCACCTCCCATTTGCCAAGAGTAAACATAAGCATGATTATTTGCTAAGACGTGGTTAAAGAAATAATCCCTTTACAGTTACCACTGCGATTGGCTGGATCTGGTGGCCTAAAAATCCCTCTATATTATGGTAGATTTACGCAAATAATAATGCATATAATACAGACATGCTCTCATTGCGCCACCTGTGTTAGACCACTTGTCGGCTGTTGATTTGCCGCGTGGTGCAAACAGGGATGAGAGCGCGGAAGCTCGCTAGGGCATTTGGCTGCGATGGGCGATCCAAAACAAGGTAAGCACGAGAGATGGTTGCCATGTTTGTTTCAATACCTTAGATAAGTTTGTGATCATACAGAAGCATCACCAACATCGCAAGTAGTGACTGACGATTCCGGGCCTGTCAAAGTGAGCTACGAAATCGAGCAGGGTGAAAAGGGCACCTATCACTCCCTCAAGCACAACGTCCAGGACAAGCTCCATCTGGGCAATCAACCCGCTCCAGGAGCTCCAGAAACTCGAGAGCAGCACGCAACTCCGGATCCAACGAAGCCCCGTTCATCACTTACCACTCTGACACAGCAAGATCTTTCTTGTCCAACTTGGCAGCAAGAGCACGAGTCCACCAAGCTCAAAGTCCAGCGCGGAGAGGAGATGGGAACCGGGTATGAGCCAGACTCGGACTCGTCTGGCATCGCGTAAGTGCCTTCGAGTTGATGTTTCCACTGCTTCTCCGGATGTGAAATGACTTAAAAGTTGGTCTTTTGGACACCCAAGCAAGCGATTCATCCTTATCCCCTGTACTGCCGTCTTGCTTTGTCCCTGGCTGTCCTGCCTCAGCACCGCTGCGTCGATGATGAAAGAATGCGAATCATCGAATCCATCTCCACCTCTTTCCACCATCGCCGTCGTCGATCCTCGAGCACAAGTACGGGCCACCGAGTTCCATGATATCTCCCTCGCCTCTCCCGTGATTGGATTGGTGATGCTTACAAAAGCTCTACGGTCGAGTGAGCAGGGAACTTCTCTCTGGCTCGGCCCGGCTTTTCCCTGCACGGGATTCCTCTTTCCACATGCCCCCGGAACCCGGCCACCGTCTTTGAGTTGCTTTCTCTTGTTTGCTGGCGGGTGTTGAGGTTCCGTGGCACACCAGCCAAAACTTTTGTCCCTTGAATCCACTGGTCACTTCGCAGCACTCTACTTTCCCGGAACCAAGCAGGCCCAGTACTCTACTTTCCCGGAATCAAGCAGGCCCACTTTTTCCTGCCTTGATGTCTAATTCCATCCAGGAAGCCCAGTAACGCGCAGCAATAGCAGCAGTAGCACTCACTGGAGTACCACTTATGAACCTCACTTCTTCCTTGGATCCTGAGCTGGAGAAGAGTGGAGAGCACTGAAGCCGTGCCAGAGTCTAGTCTGTCTGTATTATAATCCTTCACCTGTGTGAGCCGGCTGTTGAAGCTGATCAATCCCGGCCAGCTTTCCACAGATGAATACTTTAGCAAGCACATCACTCTCGGAGGCCTTACAGAGGACTTAACGTACGTGGTCATGAAGCAAGACGTGTGGATGCTCACGATATGGAGTGCCGTCTCCTCCTGCTGTTCATGCCGGACTTGGCGTTGGGGACGTTGGACGAGTCCTTGAACCTGAAAGGATTGAGCTTGCTCAGCGTTTTGGTAACCGAGGACAGGAACTTGCTGCTGGATCCTGTCTTCTGGATGCCCTCCTTCATGTTGACGTGGTCTTTCTCCAGATCCGTCAGCCGCATTCTCATCCTGGCCACCTCCAGCTTGAGCTCCCTGTTCTCCCGTCTAATGGACGAGTAATGGTCCCTGGGTGATATGGCTGCGCTGAGGCCCCCGGGACCAGCTGCCTTTTGGGAATACGGACCCACCTGTTCCCCATCCACGAATGAAGTTGTCATGGCAGTGCGCAGCCTCATCTGTTCGTAGTAAAGGACCTGCACGACCATCTGGACGGGTAGCCTCTCGTTCTGCGCTGCATGCTGGCACGCCTCCTGTGACAACTTTTGGACGTCCAGAAGCTTGCACAGCTTCTTGCGCTCCAGATCGCTCAGAGCCGGATGGGCCTGTGAGTGAGACAACGCAATCAGCAAAGCAAGGAAGTGGGAACTTTAGAGGATGGACGACATACCTTTAGATAAATGTCGACGGCCCTGTAGAGGCTGTCGTCCACGAGCCGAGCGTGATCTGGAAAGAGCTCCGCGAGAGCGATAAACTTGCTCACCTTGAGGTTGGGGTCGGGCGCTACCTCCGCAAGGTAGCCGTCCATCAGCTTGGCCACCCTCATGAGAGCACTTTGGGAAGGAGAAGCCCCACCGTCCGACTCGTACATGACTTTGTTGTCGTCGCTTTCCTGCTTGAGAAAACTGACGACTATCCGATGGATAATGTCGACGTCGAACAGTGTATCGCCAGAATAAGAAAATGCCGGGACCAGCAGATCATCCAGTGTGGCCCTCTCGAGCTGCATGCCAATCCTCTGTTCCAGATCTATCCTGCAAGCCATGGTAGTGTCCAGGATGAGGGCCGTTCGCAGGAGACCGAACAGGAAGCTGCACGAGATGGAGTTCTTCTCGCGTGGTAGCATGCTCACAATTGTCTCCACCAGAATCCGCTGCTCGTGCTCAATGGCAGTGGCACTGTCGTGAACTTTGAGCTTTGTCCGCGACGAATCTCGCGCCACCTGTTTCCTGTTGAAACCTTTGAGAGCTCGATGAGCATAGTGCATGAGAGCGGCTCCAATCGTCTCGTGTCGCAGGCCCCTGGACATCATCGCCGCTAGAACGCGCTGGTAAAAGTCGATGCGGAGGATGGATAAGTCCTCAGCCCACCAGTCGACCGGACCCTTTGGCTGCAAGGTCTCCATTCTCTCTGAGTTGCTGAAGTCGGTGTGTGAAGATAAGCTCGACAATTGCTCCCGGCACACCTCCGTTGCCGCGGCGTCAACACACCTGTTGACGATCTTGAGCTCCTCGGCTAGAGGAAGTAGACTCTCGCAGCTGTGCAGCACCGCCACCGCGTTTGAAAGATTCTGTGTAGCAATCTCGTCGATGAAGGCCTCGGTGCGAGCCACGAGATTGCCATCCCCGTAGTCCTCCGTCATGTCAAGGTACTCAGCAGCGCAACGGAGAGTAGCAACATTCGTCACGCTTATCTCAAAGTTGATCCCATAGCAGAACTTGGCCGCGAGCTCAAACGCTTCGGGGCCTCCGGGTAGATCCGAGAGCTTAATGAACGACACATCAAGTTCCCTGGAGTCCCCAGCAACCAGCTTGCGAATTTTTCCGCTCCTCGACACAAGGGGGAACTACGCAATGGCAAACAAGTTCCAGCGTTCGTTTGCACAAAGAAAACAAGGTAAGATAGCTCGCTAGAAAGTGACTCTCGGTCAAGAAAGAGTTGAAAGAATCAAAAGGAAAGAGATCATTGTTATCAAACCTTGTGAAGAGCGAAGCTGACGCCTCCAGCCTCCACGAGCACGTCGGTGGGAACATCAGTAGACATTACCCTGGAATCATCCCACGACCACAGCATTTAGTAGCAATTTTCTAGTCCGACGCTTTCTATGTCATAGATTTTCTTAAAGCTTGGAAGATCTAGGAACACAAACAAGACCACCACTCACTCCAGTCACTTGAGATGTTACCTCAAATGCAGCACTCGCGTCTGGAGCTCTAGTTAGAGTTGATCACTCAGACAATACGCTCGATCACTCGGCGCCCATCTCTCTGCACAAAGTCACATGAAGCTGCGCAAGGCGCCTAGAAAGAAAATATTTTCGGCAAGCAAGAAAACTCTAAGAAATCGCGGGGCGAGCGAGGAATTTACCATTCTGCCGTGCGCTTGGCTGCCGATGACACTGTGGATCGCTTCATGGCCGAGAACTTGTCAACTTTTCCCATGAGCGTCATATTTCCAGCGCAGTCGCAGCAATGCGGCCCAAATCCCAGCCAATGCAGGCACCAGACCCCGAATTTCCGCCCCGAGAGATCACACACAACGCGGATCGCATCACCTTAGCAGCGCCAGGCCGCGCGATCGGCTCGATTCCAAAACCCTCGCCCGCCGCAAAAGAGAGAGAGAGCTCAAGAACACGAACAAGAGCGAGGTTTTAGATAACAATGCCACTGCTAAATCTTTCTTACCGGCAGGAGCATATTCCGGCGCCGGTAAGTTTGCCTGGAGCTATAGACAAATCTTTTGTTGGGCCGTGATCCTTGACAGCGATAGTGCGTGCCAGACATCATATAAAAATCCGCAATTTTAAATACGGGTATGACACCGACGTGATCTTGTATTTTACCTTTCCATATCCAGTATCTCTGTTGGAATATTTTCTCCAACCTTGTTTGTAGATCCTTCTAAGGTGGCAAATACGGTTTTTCTATCCTGGGTGAAATACCAAGTCGGGACAATGCTGACTGTACAGTAGACTTGACTTTTTCCATGGGCAAAATCTCTGCCAAACGTTGGAGCTGGTGTTTTTTATGTAACGTACGTGAAACAAAGGAATATATTTTGATTCATTGACAATAGCTATGTGTTAGGGCTGCCGCGCTGGCACGCTCCTGTCCACAAAAAACCTCTTTTCCGTTCTTGGATCTTCTGGAACAATCCAAAAACCATAGAGTTTCCTTTGTTAAGATTTTATTCTCTTCCGCGATTAAAAATGCGTTTATATGTCCTCTTGTAAGAAATAGCAGCCACTACATAATCACGTGCCACATTGTCGCCATGTGGGCGCTCGCCATACTTTCGCCATGCCGTATGGGATATTTGTACGCGTCCACGTGGCAAAGATCCAACGGCTAAGCATTCCTGGCCGCGTTTGCTAGGGTTCCTTGTTCTAGGGCTTGTGGGCGATAGTGCATTTGGCGACGAAGTCGATCCCATGGCGACGATGGAGCAGAGCTTCATTATGATCAAGCCCGATGGCGTGCAGCGGGGATTGGTATGGCGCCTCGATTCTTGCTAGGTTTCTAGTTTGTAGATTTTAGATTGAGTGGCCTCTTATTTCAGCTCCAGACGATTCCATCAATCTGGTGGCTTTGTTCTGGGGGCAAACAGAGAATTTCGGAGATAGCTATAGCCTTTGCAGTCACTCTTTTCTTCATCGGTTATATTGTTTTTAACAATCTCCGGGACACTCACAGGTTGGGGAGATCATTGCGAGGTTTGAGAAGAAGGGATTCACGCTCAAAGGTATGGCTTTTGTGAGAAGTTCTATCGTAGTTCCCTTAACGCTTTTCTTTTCATTATGTGTAGGACTGAGGCTGATGCAAATTGAGAAATCCTTCGCGGAGAAGCACTACGCGGATCTCTCAGCGAAGCCATTCTTTGGTGGTCTCGTCGAGTACGTGACTTCTGGCCCTGTTGTTGCGATGGTGTGGGAAGGGAAAGGTGTCGTGGAGACCGGCCGGAAGATCATCGGAGCCACGAACCCGGCTGCCTCGGCACCCGGAACCATCCGAGGGGACTTCGCCATCGACGTTGGAAGGTAAATTCCTCGCGGCATTGCTGCTTCAATCTCTTGCGAACTTAAAAACTCTTCCCTGTCTCTTCGAGCTTTCAGGAATGTGATCCATGGCAGCGACTCGGTCGACAATGCCAAGAAGGAGATCGCACTGTGGTTCCCCGATGGTGTCGTAGATTGGCAGAAGTCTGTCCACCCATGGATCTACGAGTGATTGATCACGAGTGACGACGAAAGCCTTCGCATTTAAGTTTTGCGTTCTTGCAATTGATGAGAACTTCGTTTTGTTTTCCACCTTAATGACAATATATGTTCATGGCTTTCAATTGTTTATGTTCAAGTCAGGCCATCATACACAAGCACTAAAAGTTGATTGACAAAACAATCACTGGAACACAGCGCGCAAGTATATGACAAACAAATGGCTGCTAGAAAATAATCAAGCAAACGCTACTAAAGCTTTTAGAAGTTCCTCGACGATCGATCAAAATTGCAGCATTCCAAAAGCACTGCCACAAGCACTGCTACCCGAGTAAGTGTCGAAACCGCTATTGCCATTCCCGAAATCCAATCCCCTGACCATAGACGTCGCCGAGTAATCCCACTCGTTGTTGAACACCACCGCTCCAAGACCCTGGGAGTAATACAAAGAGCTCGCACCATTGAAAGACCACGCAGAATACTCGGAGAGGAGATGATGATGATGATGATCCATGAAATCGGAGGAAAGCGGCCCTGGCCATTGGAAATCAGTACCGAGACTTTGTTCTTCACTACCGGCAGAGAAGAGAGCTAGCGGAACGCGATCGCTGCTATCATCGGGATCGTTGCCGGCGATGGTAGTAGCGATAGCTGGAGCAATGGTGGGATGCGAGAAGGAGGTGAGATCGAGCGGTGGCGGAGAATCGGGCTCGAGCTTTGGAATATGATCAAGCGGATAGCTATACGCCGCCGCCGGGAATTCGAGGGCCGCGGCGATGAGATGATCCAAACCATGGTGCTGGCGATTGTGGTGGTGAAAAAAGGTGACATCCTTCTCGGCCTTGATCGATGCCGTGTAGCTGCTGCTTACGATGGAAGCTGGACTGGGCAGCTCCCCAGGGAAGAGCGTGAGGCTGCAGTCGGCGTGATGCTGATCATCGATCGTGGCGCTAGCATCATCGAGCTGGAGCTCCTTGGGGAGAAAGGACCGTCGAAACTCCATGTCACGGACGTGCTTGGGATCCTTGTAGAGCTTCATCTTGAGCGATTCCCGCGCAACTTTGAGCTGCGCGCTTTGCTGCGATGCGTAGACGAAGTTGGTGCGCGCATCGGCGCCGCGCATCGCCCGCGCTGCGAGATCGTATGCCATAGCCGCATCCTCGGCGGTCTCAAACGTGCCCAGCCAGCGCCGCTCCTTCGTCTTTGGATCACGGATCTCCGCCGCGAACTTCCCCCATGGCCGCCTCCTCACGCCCCGGAACTTATTCACGCCGTGATTCGGCCGCAGCCCAACAGCCGGCACTTCTAGCAGACAATCCCGCTGCACTTTGGCCGCCTTCTTCTTCATCTCGATCACGATCGCACGCCGGACGCTTTCGTTGGCAGAGAGAAAGACTATAGGGTTCTTCGATCGATTAGAATAGATCTCTCAAGCAAGGATGATTACACCATCGATTCTCCAAATCTAACCGACGTGACACCCGGTACAAAGATCAATGTTTTGCGCCATATGGCCCAAACATCCCCCACGTACACGTATGCATGTCTAGCCCCACGTGATAATAATGCACGTGCAGCCGCTATGTGTTTTTAGCGGGCCAGCTAAATCTAGAGCCCCTAGGCCTGGAGAGGGGCAATGGATCCACCAGCTAGCTATCTTGTCGTAGTTTTCCAGCTAAGTTTAGAAGAAAGAGCGAGCCCATCATTGCTCCGTATGGAAACCGTCATGACATGCGCGACACATACATACATCCCGAGAAAAAACAATGCACACGTGGGGGTGCGAGCATGTGCTGGGCCAATGGGGGCACGCCTGGTCAGCATATCGTTGGCTAACGCTCGTCGATGTGATCATAGGTGGATGATGTGATAGGCAAAGTAGACCTAATCGCGTGCTGGCTAGCAGTAATTGGAGAAGATCTGTTGGGTTGTGGTGCCCGATTTTTTTCTTACTTTGTGGTTAATCGGCGATGTTAAGGCGAATCCAACCAAATCCAATGGCACTTTTATAGCGGTGTTCAAGTTTTCAATTTCCAAAAGTTTTTTTACCATGGGCCGTTGGGATTAGGGCCGACGTGGCGGTCTCTCAAGGTATACATTGTTTTGGAGGAGTTTATTTATGATCAGGAGAAGATCTTGACATTGGAGCTTTCCTGTGGTGGATTCTCCCAGCAGCAAACTTTCAAAACTTGTAAGATCTGGCAAATGTGTACGCTGCCACCTCCAAACTTCTCGCTTGTCACGGGGAGATATCATCGAAACGCATTGGACGTCACACGAGTAGACGAGATTGCTCGCCGCTTTTGCGATGGCCTTGATATCATCCTCCGCCACCACCAGGAAAACGTGTTTTATCGTCCGGGTCGAAGAGAGACGCCGCTTTTCGTAATACCACACCTGCAAGTTGCTACCTTCTTAGCATCAATGCAATGCACAACTGCTGGAAAACTCACTCTCGAAAGGAAACCAGTCGTAAGCTCCAGCTCCTCCACAGAGCCTCCAGGAAACATAATAGAGAAGAGGCCATAGAACTCGACGTTCCCTGATGGCGTGAAGGCCTTACCAAAGTCGTCACCCAAACAAATCCTCTTGACTCCGCTGGGAATTTCGCAGAGTCGAGTCCTCTCCCACTGAATTCCCAGTAGAGTCAGCTCAACTTCTGTAGAACAATTGTTTCCTAGCTGAAGTATGATATTCGCGCCACAGCACCACCCGCTTGAGACAAGCTACCGAGTCTACCACCACCTTTCGCATGTCCATGGCCTCAAGTTTTGCTATCCCCGGCGCCACCACCACCACCTTGCTCGTTTGATCTGCTCGGACATGAAGAACAAAGTTGCGCAAGCTCGCAGGAACCTCGAGGATGAAGGCGCTGTGGCGAGCTTGATGATCTCGAGCTTTGGGCAGAGCTCCAGAAACTTTTCCATCCCCTTGTGCTGCTGCCGCGGTGCCGCCGTGTAGCTCACGCCCATCGCCAGCGTGTGGAGCTTGCTCAAGACAACGCCACGAGCCTCGGGAGTAAACTCGTCACTGTCCGGTGCCATGATTGACAAGAACCTGATCTTGAGTGATTCGAGGTTGATGCAGTTGGCGATGCGCTCCAAGACTTGGAAGTTCACGGGACCGGCGTTGATGTCCAACTCTCGCAGCGAGCTCGCCATGTTGATCCAGGCCGAGTCTGTCAGCTTGGAAGCTTGCAAGGCCTTGTTGACGCTACGGAGCTTGAGAGTGTGGACCTCTTGGAGACGAGATATCAGCGCGGAGATGGATGCTTGGATGCAGTCGCAGTGCAAGAGCTCTCTATTGTGCTTGCTGCAGAGCGTTGCTTCTAGCCCAGGAAGCGGCCAGAAGATGTTAAGTCGTTGAAAACAGTGCCTCGAAGTGTTGCTCCTCCACGACTTACAAACTCCAGACAATGCCAGGAACGGCACCAAGCTCCCGTTGCAGCTCAGCTCGAAGATCTTATAGAAAATGTCGAGCGGCAGATCTGACCAGCCAATCACACAGGGGGACTCCTGAGATCGAAGAAAGTAACGGTGGGCTTCATTTGAAGAAAAAAAAAAGAGCTTACCATTCAGACAAATGGGGCTCTAGGGCTCACAATCCTTGAGCGTTTGATACACGCGTGAGACGCTGCACAAAAGACTTCCTTTTTGCTGCCTACCTCTACGACCGGCTGAAACGATTGTACGCGAACTTCCGGATGTTAGTATTACCTATGCATTCTAAGAGCTTGCAATCACACTGGGCCAGTAATCTCAGACTATGGATGATTGAGCACTAGAGCTACCTTGTAGACATTAAAGCCTGGAGGAACCTATCTTGAAGCAATGGCGAGGCCTTTCCAGTCGTCGAAGGTAATTAAGCCATTTTGCTTGCAAGCAGAAAATGGAGAAATGTGGAAGCAATAGTAGTCTTGCATTGTAGAATCTGACAAGAGGCATGCTACAGTGTACTTGGTGATGGCTGCGTGCCATAGGAGCATTGATGCCCAAGTGCAATCCCGTTACAAAAGTTTCCAGCATCGATGGAGCTGACTTTACAGACCTAGTGGAGATTTTAATCGAGCTCCCAGGAGCACCACACGGACAGGAACTCTAACGCTGTAAAGCATGTCTACCTCAAGAGCTGCAGAGCTTGAGATTTCTCTCCACCCCGTATCGCTCCGGATATGACAGTATTCCACGAAACGATGCAAAAATCGCCCTGGCATCAATCCAGCAGCCGTCGCAGTGAGAGAACATTGCGCATGCGACTGCGCCAGTCGCTACAAACTAAGCGCCAACGAGCCCGGAATGAATGGCGCGCGGCTGCAATGGAGCATCTTGCAATCTCTCTGAAAAATGCCCGTTCTAGGCATATGCCGAGATCATGATGCTCCAGCCGAAAACATTCTTGCGCCCCAAAGCATCAAAAACTTCCGCCACGCTCCGGCATTTCCCATACATCTCCACCACCAAATTCTCCAGTGGTACCACGCCGCCGGCAAAGCCCTTGCAAGATTTGCTCATGAACCACCATCCTGCGCGCCTCAAAAGAACTGTCCACCCGGACAATTGACCAAGTGGACTGCTCAACGCATGGCAATTTAATATACTGAGCCACCTGAAATAAGATCACGTTAATCAGGGAGAAAAACGATCACAAGTTCTCAGTAGTTTCATAATCCTGCCAGCATTGTTGATGAGAATAAAATACCCCGACCAAATCTAGAAACAGCAATCAGATTCCTTTGTTAGATCAACTGGACACCCGGCTGTGTCCATAGCTCCAGCCTCCAAGCATGCTTCCGCCACTTCTCTTCACTCGTGCCACCAGTACCAGCCCTGCACCATATCTTGCATTCTCGAGAGCTACGAACTGCAAAACCAATGAAAGGGAGAAAGAAGTTGGCGTCCATTCGCGAAGAAAGAAAACAAGTAGGAGAAACTTATTTGAAGGGAGGGGCAGGCATCCTAGCGGGTAACACCATCCCCCATCACTACTCTCAGCAATCCCTCGTAAAAGCATCTTCCACTTGGGGAATAGGCAACTCAAACCACTCACATACATAAGATCAAGAATTGTGGGAAAAGAACACGTTACCTCTGGGGAGACAAACAAGTTCCCCACAAGATAGTCACTGTCCGGGTACACGATTGGCTTTTTAAAGCGTGCCTTATTATTTTCTTCAATTGCGCATGGTCAATTTTTTCTCCATGAATTGGAACTCTGGAAAAGAGAATTCACTCGGTGAAATTAAAAAACACAAAAAGAAAACTTAGTCCTTGTCCGACTTCACCCTCACTTCAAGTTTTCCATATGCAAGACACAAACTGGAGTTTTGTGCCCCCGCGAACCGGTTCTTTGGCATCTCCTGTGACGTGTAACAGGCTCCTTGGAAGATTCCATTGTTCGCAGCATCGTCATGGAACCATTTTCTTTTTACTCGGAGAACGAGCTTCTGCGGATCAAACCCTTGAAAGCTTGTCAATGGTTCTTTTGTTCTCGGCCAAGATCGCTGAAACCGCACCTTCTGTCCATCACCAAGGTCCGTGGCGTTCTCTGCATTTCTTCATGACATTTTTATAAACTTACATACCTGCATTCTCATATTTCTTGTAAGCCTGGATCATCCTGTTGGATCAGATTTTCACCTCCCATGTGCTCCGCCACGTTGAGGCTTGCGAGTTCAGTGGTGGAAATAGCAGGGAGTGTCGTTTGGTTCCAGATTCTCGCTCAAAATCGTCCTGGAGATCTAGCACTTGTGCGACCTTCGTTGCTGTTGGTTGAATGAAGTCGCAAAGGCCAAAAAACTGCGAGGTATGAACCGAATGACATTTACATTCCTCCCTAAAAAGGCTGTATAGCAAAAATGTGGCACATAGATATAGAATTGCTTACTTGATTATGGGAGAAACCATTCATGTTTCACAACTGAGCATCAAAAGCTCACGATCCATCAAACCTGTTGATGGTTTCTTGCTCCCCTTGTTCTCTGCAGTGAGAAATGGATGATTCACCTTGAACACCGCTTTGGTGTACCTTGAATCAGGAATTGGAAAGGGAAACACCTGTGAGGAGTGCGTCTACATCAAGACGGTCTCTTTCTTGGAGTAGCGAGCGCGTCCCCTCCTATGGCGCTTCAGTTCCTCACGAGTATAGTTGTATTTATTATTAATAAAACTTTTAAGTAATTTACGACAAATTAGACAACATTCCCATTTGAACCACTATTAAATTAGCCTTCATCTAAGGATGCTGTTTTAAAGCACAAAACTTCTAAATTTGTGATATGGAGTTTGGAGCCCAGAGGCATCACAGTTTTCTACCAACTATCTCATGGTCTAGGGATCATGGTCATTTCTTGGCTCTCATTCTTTAATAGTGTTTATTTACTTGCTTATTTATTAGTTTTTTTTCATAGTCACTGTTTTTCTTTTAAGTCTTTTTTGTCTAGTCTATTCTTTTTGTCAATATAAAGGGAAGGCAAAATTTGCATGATTTTTGTGCTCTCTCAATTGTACGAGCTTTACTCATAAAGAAAAAGGTTTTTGAAAGTTACATTCAAGCTAATCAACAACTTAGGGTGTTGATGGAAATCCTATCCCTCAAAACTTTGTGTTTTTCATGCCCTGAAGTGCTACTGAAACTTGGTGAACAGTCAAAAGTGACTACATAGTACATAAAGACAAATTGGCCAACCCAATTTAATGAAGTCACAAAGCTTGCAAATTGCTGCATATGCTTCCTGGCAAGGGTGTTCAAAAGTTTATCAATCTCATAAAAGTCGTTTGATCAAAATGGGAGCAAAGGATATGCCTATATCCACATTTGCTAACATAGCCTCACCCTTGAATACAAATACATGCAGCAGAACAAGGATCAGATAAGAAAGCAATTCAAGCTGCCGAGGAGATCAATATCACAATCAGATCTGGAGAAAAAGGGACAAGTTATTCTGCAAGAGCTAGTGCTTGTGCTATTGTTCTAAATCTAGATGCCATATGAAATTCAAGAAGCAACTTGGTTCAAATCTAAATTCCAAGGGAATGTATATGAAATTCAAGAGGCAACACACTAATGCTGGCAATAAGGCTTGTAGTTTTAAACCACAAGAGACCAAGTGCAAAACTCTCACTTTGAATAATGCAAGGAAAACTTTGGTCCAAAGTGCCATGCTTTGCCACTAATTTAGAGGCGAAATCCAATGTGCGCTTTTGGCAGTTGGGATTAGGGTCGACGTGGCGCAATATATGGAGAAGATCTTGACAGTGGAGTTTTCCTGTCAAAAGTTTCTAGGATCTGGTGGATTCTCCCAGCAGCAAACTCTCAAAACTTGTAGGATCTGGCAAATGTGTACGCTGCCACCTCCAAACTTCTCGGTTGTCACGGGGAGATATCATCGAAACGCATTGAACGCCACACGAGTAGACGAGATTGCTCGCCGCTTTTGCGATGGCCTTGATATCATCCTCCGCCACCACCAGGAACACGTGTTTTATCGTCCGGGTCGAAGGCTGTACTGAGAAACGCCGCTCTTCGTCATACCACACCTGCAAGGTGCTGGTGGTTAACCCTCTTAGCACCAATGCAATGCACCAGTGCTGGAAAACTCACCCTCGAAAGGACACCTGTCGTGAGCTCCAGCTCCTCCACAGAGCCTCCAGGGAACATTGTCGAGAAGAGGCTGTAGAACTCGAGCTTCCCGGACTTCGAGAAAGTCTGACCAAAGTCATCTCCCAAACAAATCCTCTTGACTCCGCTGGGAATTTCGCGAAGTCGATACCGCTCCCAGTGAAGTCCCCGTAGAGCCAGCTCCACTTGCGTAGAGCAATTATTTCCTAGCTGAAGCATGATATTCGGCCACAGCACCACCCGCTTGAGACAAGCTGCCGAGTCTACCACCACCTTTCGCATGTCCATGGCCTCAAGTTTTGCTATCCCCGGCGCCACCACCACCACCTTGCTCGTTTGATCTGCTCGGACATGAAGAACAAAGTTTCGCAAGCTCGCAGGAACCTCGAGGATGAAGGCGCTGTGGCGGCCTTGCACGACAAGCTTGATGATTTCGAGCTTTGGGCAGAGCTCCAGAAACTTTTCCATCCCTTTGTGCTGCATCCGCGGTGCCGCCGTGTAGCTCACGCCCATCGCCAGCGTGTGGAGCTTGCTCAAGACAACGCCGCGAGCCTCGGGAGCAAACTCGTCACTTTCCGGTGCCATGACTGACAAGCACCCGATCTTGAGTGATTCAAGGTTGATGCAGCTGGAGATGCGCTCCAAGACTTGGAAGTTCACGGGACCGGCGCCGATGTCCAACTCTCGCAGCGAGCTTGCCATGTTGATCCAGGCGGAGTCCGTCAGCTTGGAAGCTTGCAATGCCTTGTGGACGCTGTGGAACTTGAGAGTGTGGACCTCTTGGAGACGAGATATCAGCGCGGAGATGGATGCTTGGATGCAGTCGCAGTGCAAGAGCTCTCGCTTGTGCTTGCTGCAGAGCTTTGCTTCTAGCCCAGGAAGCGGCCAGAAGATGTTAAGTCGTTGAAAGCAGCGCCTCGAAGTGTTGCTCCTCCACGACGTACAAACTCCAGACAATGCCAGGAACGGCACCAAGCTCCGCTTGAAGCTCCCGTTGCAGCTCAGCTCGAAGATCTTGTAGAAAATGTCGAGCGGCAGATCGGACCAGCCGTTTCCCCTCCTCACACACGGGGACTCCTGAGATCGAAGAAAGTAACGGTGGGCTTCATTTGAAGAAAAAAAGAGCTTACCATTCAGACAAATGGGCCTAGAGTGGAACAAAACTTGAGCGTTTGGTAGAGGCTAGGCAGGACGCCGGCACGCGTGAGACGCTGCACAAAAGACTTCCTTTTGGCTGCCTACCTCTACGACCGGGTGAAAGGATTGTACACGAAGTGCCGGATGTTAGTATTACCCCATCCCTCTATTTCAACCCTAAAGAAGTTGAGGTACTCACACATTCGAGCGTTTGCAAGGAAGAGCATCCTCTCAAAAACTGCAGATTTGTAGACTGCAAAGTGAATCCACTCCCAGAGTGCTGGACTCGAGCAGAAGGCAAGCTCTCCTCGGGGACTGCTTGGGCGCCAGCGTTGATCGTGAGAGGTGGAAACGAGACTGTGAGTCTATACAGTGCCTTTCTCTTTGCTCAATCGTGATCTTTTTTGCTTGGATACAAGTTTCTATAACAAGGGACATGGACTTTTAGTGTGATTTTTAGGTGGCAGTGTGCTGTGGAGATGGCATTGGAGGATCCACGACAGAGATCTCGATTCTTCTCTCAAACTCGATAGACTCGATCTGGGATACACTCCACATGTTGTAGCATTCTAACCATAATCGTCCCGTTTTGTGTTTTCCCGATAGAAGAAAGTATGCAAGTTAGGGATTACAAACAAAGCAATCAGTTTTGTTTCACTCACACAAAATATTTGTGGTTTATTGATACATCATGTTTTTATACATTTTAAGAGCTTGCCACCGGCAGACTATGGATGATTGAGCACAACAGCTACCTAGTAGATATTGAGGAACCTATCTTGAAGCAATGGTGAGGCCTTTCCAGTCATCGAAGGTAATTAAGCCATCTTGCTTGCAAGCAGAAAATGGAGAAATGTGGAAGTAATAGTAGGCTTGCGTTGTAAGATCTGACAAGAGGGATGCCGGAGAGTTGCATTTGACAGACCTAGTGGAGATTTTAATTGAGCTCCCAGGAGCATGGACAGGAACTCTAACGGCCAACCGTGCCCACCCCAGTTTTTTCTTAAAGCATGTCTACCTCAAGAGCTGAGATTTCTCTCCACCCCATATCACTCTGCAAAAATCGCCCTGGCATCAATCCACCAGCCGTCGCAGAGAGAGAACATTGCGCAAACTAATGCCTAACCTCGAGGCCGGAGCAGGCCACGACAACGCTGCTGAGAGTGAGAGAATTGGGCTGCATGCCTTCCAAATCCATGGCCTGGAAGAGTTGCAATGCCTCTTAAAAGTGCCCGTTCTGGGCATATGCCGAGATGATGATGCTCCAGCTGAAAACATTCTTGCGCCATCCCAAAACCTGCCGCGCTTCAGCATTTCCCATACATCTCCACCATCAAATTCTCCAGTAGTGCCCCGCCGCCAGCAAAGCCCTTGCAAGATTTGCGCATGAACCACCCTCCTGCTCAAAAGTCCACCTGGACAATTTACCAAGTGGACATAACCTGAATCAGGGAGAAAGTACCATCGAAAGATAAAAACTTTCTGGAGTTTTGTCCATCACAAGTTCTCAGTAGTTTCATAATCTGCCAGCATTGTTGATGAGAATCTAGGAAAACAAAATACCTCGACGAAATCTAAAAACAGCAATCAGATTCCTTTGTTAGATTAGCTGGACACACGGCTGCGTCCATAGCTCCAGCCTCCAAGCATGCTTCTCTTCACTCTTGTCGACTTCACCATTTTCTGTTGCGATGAGTCCTCTCACTTCAAGTTTTCCGTATGTTCGCGGCATCGTCATGGAACCATTTCCTTTTTACTCGGAGAACGAGCTTCTGCGGATCAAACTCTTGAAAGCTTGTCAATCATTCTTTTGTTCTCAGCGCCTGATCCTCTACATAGAATCCAAGATCGGGGCCAAGATCACTGAAACCACAACCCGTCTGTCCATCACCAAGGTCCGGGGCGTTCTCTGCATGTCAGAGTAAAACTTACATCTGCATTCTCATGTTTCTGAGAGTCTTGAGAACCCCGTAAGCCTTCAATAAAATTTTGGTATTTGTTGTTAATTTGAGTTGTAATTTTTAATTATTTGTTATCAACTAAAATTCTAGTAATAAATCTAATCTACATACATCCTCTTGAATCAAATGTTCACCTCCCATGTGCTCTGACATGTTGAGGCCTGCATGGTCAGTGGTGGAAATAGCAATATTCTCCCGTTTGGTTCCATATTTTCGCTCAAAATCGTACTTCTGCAATCTTCATTGCTGTTGGTTGAACAAAGTCTCAAAAAGTCAAAAAACAATGAAGTATGAACCAAATGACCTTTACATTCCAGATTTTCTAGAACAGGTGTAGTTTTATTATGAATTTTGATAAGGGTGTTTTTTTTAGGTTTTTTATATGATCTTTTATAAAGGTATTCTTATGGTTTCTTTGTCGATCATTGTCTTTTTATTTCAGATTTGTTTTTTGCTTAATTGGCAACCAATTCAATGAGTTCATCATGTGTGTTTTTTCTAGACACCTTTAAACTCTTTTTCTTTTGTTTATAGTCACAATAAAATTTCTTAAACCTGCATACATCTCCTTGGCAGTTGTAGCCAAGTTTTGCTAATTTGTTCTCTCTCTTAAAGGTTAAAGTCGTTTGTTTGTATGGCAGAGGTGGCAAATCATCTAATGAGTCATAAATGTCTTGAAGTGGAAGAGTCAAATGGGGAATAAATAAAGAAAACCAAAAGAACATATTCAATACCTCCTGAAGAAGTTAAGACCACCTTCTTGTGCTTGTAGGACTTAAACACCTCAGACTTAGCTATGGAGAACTCCCCCATGGTTGTGGCTATGCAAGACTCAGACTTGGCTGTGGAAAATTCTGCCTTCTGCTTGAAGGCCATGGCTGTGCAAAACCTAGATTTGCCCGTGGAGGACTCTGCTTTATGCTTGAAGACTGTGGCTGTCTAGAACTCAAACTCATCCATGGAAAACTCTACTTTGACTGTGATGGCTGTGGAGGCTATGCAGGCAACTCCACATTGTGTTTAATGGCCATGGCTGCTGAGACTTTGCTTGAGACCATATATTAAAGATCTAAAGTTATGAACCTAGCCTATAGATAGCCAATGAATTGGACTCCTTGATGGTTGTGGAGGTTGTGCAAGACTCAGACTTAGACTTGGCTATGCATAACTTTGCCTTCTGTTCAATGGCCATGGCTATTGAAGACTCTGTTTGACACTATATATATTTTAAAAATCTAAAGTTATTATCTAGTCTAGAGATAGTCAATGAACTAGAGACCTTGATGGCTATGGAAGCTATGTAAGATTTAGCCTCAATAGTGAAGATATTAGCTGTGGAGTGCTAAAACTTAATTGCCATAATTGTAAAGTTTCAAAAGGATCATTTTAGCTTGAGCTTGATGGGTGAGGAGAAGCACTTTTGTAGTGCATGGGATGAAATTTGGATATACTATCATTATAGATTTTTAGAATTTTGGGGTATAATTAGGGATAAAAGAGCTTTCTTATCAACAATTGCCCTTTTTTCAGTTGACTTAAGGGGAGAAAAATAATATATATTACAACTTTGTGAAAAGTATATTTAAATTGTCATGAGTTTGAAGGGTAAGAAGAGACATATTTGAGTGAAAACTGAAAAAAAGAAAAGGAGTACAATTAGTGAGAACAATAATAAACCCAACATACATACTTGTCTTGTATATATATAGATTCTTATACTCAATGAAGGAGGTTAGTATAAAGAATTTTTCTCCTTGAAAAAAAGTAAAATTGATATCAAACTTATAAGTTTCATCCACAAAACTTGATGTTGAAACCATACTAAATATGATGGAGTTGGCAAAAAAACTTTTAATACCGAGAAAGTATTGAGTACTTTTTAGTATTTAAAATTCAAGTTATTTATAGGTAGTTAGAAAGCTATATATCCTATAAACTTTAAAATCAATGTTACAGCTTGATGTTTCAAAGTTCCTTTTTAAATCTACCACAACAAAGAATTTTAATAAGTTTCCAGCTAAGTCCTTTTTTTATTTCTATCCTTTCTCTAGTTGAACCAATAAGTGTTCATCTATTAAAAATGATGTGACAACATCATTATAAGAAACAATATATTTACAAATTTGGATCCCATCCAACATTAAAATACTCGTCATGGTTAAGAAAAATTTGTAGTGTTGTCTACATTAACAAATAATTAGCAACTCCCAAAATGCATCAAAACCTATATAAACAAGCTAGCATGCCATCTTTCCATAAATATCAATCCCTTTAGCAAATTAAAATGCAGCTCTTCATTTAGAAAATCAATCAAAAGTACTTTTATGATAGAGAGGTAGCAAATATATTTGTCTCATTGCAATACAAGCACCTTGTGAAATTCTTGGCACAATTAACATGACAATAACAATAAATCCACCATTTTAACTCTCTGGCAATTTTAATTTTGTATTAGCTTTGGACAAAGCATATAATATAGTTAGAATTTCAATTGTATAAAGCATAATCTTGTCATTCCCTCCAAAAACCAGAGTACTTGCTGATTATGATTTGAAACATTGGCATCAAACCATATTTGTTGTAACTTCAGCAACGTACATTACATTTTTTGTTGTTGAATAATAATCTACATCTCAAGCTCAATGGCATCATTCAGAACTCAACCTCCTCATAAGCTCCAAAAATTGTTATTCTAGACCCACATCTTCATTCTCTAAAACCTCACTAAATTCATGCTCTTATAACTCTCCTACCCTTTGAATTTAAGTCTTCCTAGATGTTGATACCAGCTACAAAGGGGAATCAACTAGAACATCTGCATTTTCACATCATGGACTAAAGAAACTTGTGCTACTCACCGGCCAAGAAAACTGCTTTACACAAGCATCCAAAAAACACCACATTGAACTCTCTAAATGCTCTCGCTGCTCACTCACTGGCCAAATGGACAAAAAAAAAAAACTTTCACTTGCAACAGCACTGCCCGAATGGTAGATGGTGCAATTCCATGAACAGAAGAACCAAAATGTGGGAAGGCTGGGCACATCGAGTTTGAGGCTGATAATGGAGCGAGCCACGCTGGATAAAATCGTTACTAAAACGCCAGTTCAGAATTTCATTAAAATTCTGCTAGCTTGGGCAGTGTTCTTCCAACGGTGACTCAGTCTGTGGAGCTTGCTCAAGACAATGCCTGAAGCTTGGTAGTCACATAAAAACTTAACTCTATCCTTGGGAGATCGAGCTTATGAATGATTTTGCCAGGCCTTAAATGCAGCTCGAGATTGCCAGTGGCAAACTTGGCCTTAGTCGACAAATTCAAACCAGCCTCAGTAAAGCGAAGACTTCACAAAGTTCTTTCCTCTTCTGATTGAGTACTATTCCTTGCGATTCCACTGCTAAGTCCAAGAAGTTTGCACTGGAAAAATGCGTGATAAGCGCAAAATTTTGAAAAGTCAGCAAAGCAGAGACCTAGCATTTTAATTTTTTTTTGTCGAGTCCTATTCTTATGAAATATCTCTTCCAATTTCTCCAGAATTCTAATGGCCTGGAAGGTAAACGCTACACACAATTCTCCATCAATACTCCCCAAGTTTAATTCCTCTTGCTGCCAAGGTTGTGCTCAAGATAGACACCTGTGACAAGTGCAAAGACGAAATCATCGCTGAGATCTACCACAACGTCTCAGGTACACAGCCTCTCTCTTCTTTTGTGATGATTGATCCTTTACTATTCAGGTATCAAGAAATTGGAAGCGATCGATCCCTTGTATGTCTTCACTGGAGAGTTCAAGGTAGACGATGTCCTCGCAGTCACTGAGAGGAAGAAGATAGAGATCACGGTGTTGGCAATCACGGAAGTTCCCAAGTACCCCAAAGACTGTTTATGCAATTCTCCCTAGTTTATGATCAGTCAAAGATGCTAGCGAATGTTCGTTGACTCTAGTCACTTAGCTATGGACGGACCAGGCTTTCTTAGTTCCTCTTCTTCCCCGGCCGCTCCGGAAGAGTTCGTCAAATCAGAGATTTTCAAAGCCCGGAAGCTATGATCGCGAGTACAAGAGCTTGCTTCTCAGCAACAAGCTCCATCCTCAAACTGACAAGGTAAATTCTAGTTTCTTTCTCGTTCGTCTTTGTGCTTTTCGATGTAGGCTGCTAATGGATGTGGAAGTTGGGCGACCAGATGATATTCCTGGACTGGCGCATTTGTTGGGTGGGTCTTTCAATGTAATCGTTTTGCCAATGTTTGTTTTGAGCCTCTCTGTAGAACACATGCTTTTCTTTTCCAGCGAGGAATATCCCTTGGAATGAGATTTTGCGAAGTTTCTTGTTGCGGTATGATTTTCTGGTTTCATCTCGTGTTTCGTTTCCTACTTTGTTCATGGTGGACAGACAAATGCATGCACGAGCAATGAAAAGACCAACTTTCACTTCGACGTAAATGTTGATCACTTTGCACAGGCTCTTGATCGTTTCGCACAGTTTTTCATCCATCCTTGATGTCCAAAGATGCAACGTTGAGGGAAATCAATGCAGTGGATTAAGGTGAGTCCTATCTGCAGTCTTGGCCTATAATCTCCTCAAGAATGTTCCTTTAGAAAATTCTCTGCGACAATCCACAGGCTTTAGAAGGCTTATTCGGGAACCTTGATTGAAGGCATGTATATGCCACTGTTTTTTAATTTTCTTTTGCAGCTCTTGCTACATATTAGCTCTCGTGATCATCCTTGGCACAAATTCGGAACTGGTAACATCGTTTTTGTTTTTACCTTTTTGTCGTAAGCCTGGACACGTTGTTGAACGAGGCGAGAGAGAAAGGCATTGATACTAGAGATGCCATCATTACTCGTAAACCTCATATGCCTTGCTCTTTACGGCAAAGGTATGTGCAAAGTCGCAACATCACAATTCATTCTGTGAGCTTCAATGCCTTTCTACACAGAGAGCCTGGCCGAGCATGGTAAAAGAGATCTTCGGTCTCATTGAAAACAGGATCTTGCAAAGCCCCATACCTTCCTGGAGAACCCTGCCGCTTAGAACATCTACAAGTAAGTTTGACGTTATGTGGACAAATCCTACCGTTGTAGTGCCTTTCAAGACTCGTCATCACTGAAAGCTTCAGTGGCCAGTGATTCCAGAGTTTCCGGATTACAAAGGTCGATATATCACAATGCTCCTTGGTCACGAGTCCGGTGGCTCCATTAGTGCGCTTCTTAAAAGCCTTGGTAAGCATTCAGCAGATATGCTCGTATAACTTATATTACCTGTGTTGCAGGCGCCTTCAAGCATGAAAGGAACGTGGAAACTTGAATTACTCTTTTTTCCACCTTGGAATTGAGTTAACGGACATGGGAAATGGTAAGTTAAAGCTGTGACACTTCTCCTTTGTGTAAATCAAGTGCAAAATGTCATATCCATCGTTTTCAGCTACATTAAACTTGTGCATGAGAAAGGAGTTGTAATCATGTCATTCAAGGTAATACATTTTGCAGCTTACAATTTCGTCTGAGATGAATTTTCACTACCAAGAGAAGTACTTGCCATATACGTAGGTTGCGAACCTTGCTGCGAGAATGAAGGCTAGTAGTATATTTGAAATTCTTTTTCTCATCCTTTTTCTTTCTTCAGATGTTTCCTGCTGAGAATTGGGTTATGGGTGCAGCTTTTCCACGTGAATTCAATGCCGAGTTAATTAGACGCGAGCTCGAGCTGCTTACACCTGAGCGAGTCGGGTAACTGGTGCTTGGATGTTTTTATGTGAGCCGCCTTTTTCTCTTTTTTCTCAACAGAGTTTTCCATTCTTCAAAAGCGTTTGAAGACCTGACCACGGAGAGAGAACAATCCAAGACAACTTATTGAAGGTAGGAACTTTGTCATTCTGTAACGAGCACCCTCCACAATTTGCAGAAATGACAAGAAAGTGTAGATGAACGGCTGCACTTACCGCACCCGAATCCTTATACTCCATCAGATTTTGATGTTCCCACTGTTCTATCAAGGATAAATATGTGTAGGATGCTCCACTTGAGCATGCAGAAATTTATTCTTCTAAACCAGTCTACGATGGCGAAGTTATGGTTTAAACCTGACCATGCATTCAAGACTCCCAAAGCTTACGTGGCGATGAACTCACGCAGTTTGCTCTTTGGAGGCAAACACTTTGTCGGCTTTGTTTAAGCGCCTCCTCCTTGATGAACTTAACGAATCAGGTAGCGTCTTTGGCAGCCAGATATGCTTTCTTGGCTGAGGGTTCTTCTCTTTTGGCAGCTTACTACGCGGAACTAGGCGGATTTTTGGTATTCTGTGACTTTAGTGTCCACTGGATTTGAGGTGACTACACAGGTCACGGAATGAAGTTTTGCATTTCTCATAGGTGGGTGTTGAAGGCTATAATGAGAAGCTGAGTGAACTTTTTAGAAGGATAATCACGACAATGGTAAGGTTCCAAGCAAAGGAGGATCCGTTTCACGTGATCAAGCTGTTCTTGTTATTGACTGGGTCCATTGGTTGATACTGGCTATGTTTCCTACAACCAGGAAAAATGTTTCAGAGATCAACAGAACTGTTGCCTTGAGAGTTTGATGAGCCAAGCAAATGATTATTGTCAACTGTTGCTGTCGAATAATAGAAGGCTCGCAAATGAGTACATCAATACGGTGTCTTCTCTTTACCTGGATGACATGCAAAACATGTTCCGAAGACACTCTCTCATATCTATAGCAAGTGTTATGTCAGGTTTGCACTTTATTTTCTTTTCATTTGTCTCATTGCAAGGAACCTCACATCCAGTGAAGCAAAAGATCTAGCTGACATTTTTGAGGAGGTAATATCAAATGCACCATCACTCAAAGCAATGTGTCGAAAACTTAAACACTCACTAACTAATTGCTGTTTAACTCAGATGACAAGTCTTGTCAAGAGAGTTTTATTTGACCTTCCCTTAGTTTAGATGTTGTAATTGGTGTATTTGTCAATTTAATTTCAAAAGCTATGTTTCATCAGTTAAGAATCATAGAATAGCTTAGATATTTATTAATGTCTTTTTAGACATGGTAAGTTATAATTGTCTCCTTAACATTTTATATAGGTGAATGAAAGGTGTCCAAATCTCCATACAATTTAAAAAGAAGGTAGAGCATCCATTTTGTCATAGTGCATGGATGAATCTGAGTGTTTTGAGTGTAAGCTTTTGGAGTGGAGAGTAGAAGCTTTACTGGAAGGTGTCGAAAAAAAACTCAAGAACTTGACAAATGATGAGTTCAAAGTAAATACTTCTTTCTTGCCACAAATGCTTAGACTTGCAGGAAAACGTGAATGCGTTGGTTGGACTCATGCTTGAAAAGCACAAGAATCTATGGGAAAAAGCTGCTTTCTTCTAGATTGCATCTGGCACTTACAAGTTTAATAGAGGAGAGACACTGTTGCAAGCTTTTTCTTGTCAGGGATCTCAAAGCAATCACCTGACAAGAAACCATTGCTTAGAAGCCTGGAAGAACAGGAAGGAGAAAAAAAGACGTGCTGAATTTCCATGTGGCATATATAAAAGTCGGAGCTCCAAAGTGGAAGAAACTGTGCATCTAAGTCTTACACCAAGCCAAGCTTGATCAAGCTGTGAAAGCTCTTAAATGTATTCACAACACTTTATAATTTCAACAATCATAGGCATTATATCCTGCTCTTGGTTCCTATAGCAAGGAAAACCAGAACCCATGAATTGGACTATTTCTCTAAACTACGAGAGATTCTCACAAACAAATCCAAAAACTTATCCAGATGTCGAGTGTGGCTCATTGCTTGCAGAGAGTTTGCTCCTTTGTTCCAGCTCGAGCAAGATGCATGGCGATGAGCAGCAGCAACAAGAGGAGCAATCTATTGGAGGAGTACAGCCGAAAGAAGAGGTCAGAAGTTCTCTTGGTGCACACCCAGGATGATGTTGTGCTTGTCTATAAGGTGAGTTTGAGTGAAGAACAATCACTCGAGTTCTTGTTTCCTCTGCGAATTTGCATTGACAGGGAGTGTCGTCCTCGCTGCTCAAAGCCACGGCCTTGGATCTCTCGGACTCGGTGCTGGACGAGGAAAACACCACCATCAAGCACATTGATCGCGTCCGTGCTCCCTACAACCCCTCCAATACTGAATACATATCACAAGAGATGAGTTGGGATGATTTCTTGAAGCTGGCGCAAGAATCGAGTTTGGATTGTGCATGAGAAAAAAAATGTTTCCAGTGATCTTTGGAAGAACTTGAGAAAGAGTCTTTTGTGGAGAAAAAGGAGAGTCGCAAGGACAAAAATGTTATCTATCGGAGCCAGGTTTCGATCCTGGGACCTGTGGGTTATGGGCCCACCACGCTTCCGCTGCGCCACTCCGATTTTCACAACCTTCTGCGCGATCATAACGATGAACTATGAGCTGGAAATAGTGAAGCATGGCCACCTTTCTGATAGAAAACAAAAGTAAACATCATTGAATCGTCCGCTCACTGTCGCTCAAACCAGTTTTAACAGCTTCGAAATGCTCGTCTCGGCATGAAGCACTCGCTCGTGCTCCTGGCGATGGTGGCAGCAGCAGCCACCTCGATCTTCGCACAGTTGAGCTGCGTCGAGGATGAGAAAGAGAGAGCCTCCCTCACTGCTATCAGCGATGCCGCGAGCTTGGGACCTCCACTCTTCTGCTGCCAGTGGGTGCGGATTTTTTGCAGCGTTTCCAGCCAAGGACGGATCAAGTCGCTCGACATAATCGTCTCACCTGGGTTCTTCCCGGAGGCGCGAATCCTCAGGCAAGTCTGTAGCTTCACCAAGTTGCGTAGGCTGAGGCTGACAAAGTATGACGACCGCGACTGGGACGATGAGATCCCGTCCTGTCTTGAAGAGCTCTCCGAGCTAAAGGAGCTCAAGATCGTTGGCAGCACTGACGTTTCCTTCAAAGTCCCGATCATTCCACGGCTGAAGAAGCTCGTCCTGCAAGGGGTCCATCTCACTGAAGCAATGTTCCACAGCATCTTCAGCAGCCTCAAGGAGCTTCAAGATCTAACCATCCAAAGCAATAGCCTGTCCAACACCACCATCCCTGCTTCACTTTGCTCGTTGTCCAGCTTGGTTCACTTGGACTTGTCTTCCAACCAGCATGGAGGAGAGATTCCTCCATGTCTGTCTGTGCTCAGCCGTCTTCAAGAACTTCGACTCTCGGATAATTTACTTCAAGGAAGCATACCGTACCTGGGAAATTTCTCGCAGATGCAACAGCTTGTGCTAGATTTTAACCAGCTGAGCGGCCCATTTCCAGCGTCTCTTTGCAACATCACTGCCACCATTGTCACCCTTGATCTTTCCATGAACCGTTTGAGCTCTCTGCTACCGGACTGCGTGTCCGGCATCCAGAATCTCTTCTTGCGCTACAATCAGCTGACGGGACCATTGCCACCGACCTTGTTCGCTCACAATTCTTCCCAAACGATCGAACTCTCTTGGAATCAGTTCACGGGGCCCTTGCCAGAAATCGGTGATGCGATGCCAGAAGGCGTGATGATCTCCAACAACTTCTTGAGTGGGAGTTTAAGTTCGCCAAAGTGGCACAGCTTCTGTCATAACATGCGCGTTCTCGACTTGTCCAACAACCAGTTCACCGGATCAATACCAAAGGCATTTGGAAACTGCACAAGAATGGCACGACTCAGCATCGATAACAATGAACTCAGTGGAGAAATACCTTCGACTCTGGGAGCTCTTTCTATGATGGTGGAGTTTACCAGTAGGGACAACCAACATGTAGGACGTGTTCCCTCCACTCTTGGAAACTGCTCGTACTTGATGGTCTTGGACTTAGCCAGCAACTCGCTGTCAGGAGAGCTTGGAGAGTGGATTTACCAGCTCAAGTTTTTAAACGTCCTCAGCATCGGCTCGAACAACTTCGTTGGAGATATCCCAGTTGAATTTGGAAACTTTTCTTCGCAGCTCATGGCAATCGATTTGTCAGAGAATACATTTAGTGGCACCTTACCAGCACAGTTCAGTTTCCCAACCACCGAACAAGGCCCTCTCGCGGGACTTCAGTATGTTGTGAACCTCCGCTTCTATTCCACGCTCCGAGAGAGAAAGCGGCTGTACACTAGTATTCGTTTTGGAGCAGCATACCTTGACATGTCTGGTAATAGCTTCCAAGGTAATATTCCAGACACGTTGGGGAACTTTTCCCGGCTATCATATCTCGATCTTTCTCGAAACCAATTCGTTGGACAAGTTCCACATACTCTTGGAAGCCTGCACCTGCTCCAGGCGTTAGATCTATCTAGCAACAGGCTTTCAGGGAGCATGCCTCGAGAACTCACAGAGATACCTCAGCTGTCATATTTTAACGTGTCGTATAACAATCTGACTGGTGCCGTTCCGCAGGGAGCTCAGTTCAACACGTTCACCGAGGATTCATACATAAGTAATCCAGGACTTTGTGACTTCCCTCTGAGCCCTTGTGATCCTAAAAACAACAGTTACATCAACAGCACAGAATTAAGAAAACCAGCAAAAGCGCCTCACCTGCATACGGTCATTATTTTTCTTACTTCGATCTCGTTATGTTCATTGGCGTTTATGGCATTGCTTATATATTATCCCTGCTCGCGGACAAAGGAAGAGTCAGATGAGATGAGCATTATCGAAGGAGAAATTTGGAGTGCAACTCGAGGATTCAACAAAGACAACATCGTAGACAAGGGAGGATGCAGCACGATCTATCGGGGTGTTTTGAGAGACGGGCAGACTGTCGCTGTGAAGGTTTACAAGCTTTCAGACCACACAGGCGAGGAGCAGTTTATCGCTGAATACAACAGCCTTAAAGACTTAAGACACAGGAACATCGTGAGAATCATCGAGTGGTGTTCCGAGAGCAAGCTCAAGGCGCTAGTTTTCAAGTTCATGGACAACGGCAGCCTAGAAAAGCAGCTTCACGAGCTTCATGGGTCAAATCTGCCATGGACGGTACGCATGAACGTCGTCCAGGGAGTTGCTAATGCACTGAGCTACTTACACGAGGAGGCAGCAAGCACTGGACCCATAATTCACCGAGACATCAAGCCAGCAAACATCTTCCTGGACCAAAACATGGAAGCACACCTTGGGGACTTTGGGATAGCCAGGAATTTACGACTGGAAAGCAGCATGCATTGGGAAAGCAAGCTCAAAGGCTCGATCGGCTATGTGGCACCAGGTACCTTATCGTATAGAGAGGAAAAAAAGGAAGCTGACGCTACTAAAATATGCAGAGTATGGCTCGGATGGAACAATGACCACCGCCGCAGACGTCTACAGCTATGGAATCGTGATTCTAGAGACGCTTACCAGGATCCGACCGACGAGCGGCACGCTCAAAGATATTTCGCTGCGGAGCTGGGTGGAATCACACCTGGTCGAAGGCCGGCTGGAAGACGTGCTGGATCCCGTCCTCCGCCAGGATTCGACCGCAGAGAGGAGCATCGACGCCGTGGCCAGGATCGGGCTCGTGTGTAGCCACCCGATCGCCGCGGCGCGGCCGCGAATGGGGCAAGTAAGCGCCATTCTCCGCTCTACAATCCCTAATCTTGTTTGCGATAGCCCTGCGTGTGTCTCATAACAAGGTCTTTTGTTCCTACTCCAATAGTCTAGGAATATTCTAGGAAGTGTTTAGAAAATTGGCCGTTGGAATTAGGGCTTACGTGGACGGGCTAAGGCTATGGCTCCCGCATTGGCGTGCTCTCTCGGCAATGCGCCAGGATCACTAGGTCAGGGTTTTTCTTCCAGGAGGAGCGGCCGATTCGCCGCTACCGCCGCTACCGCCGCGGCCGACTCGAATCCATCGCTGCATTCTTCTTCTCTGTTCGCGGGGTTTGATTTCGGGACGTCCGGCGCGCGCGTTGTGGTGATCGACAAGGAAGGGGAGATTCTTGCGGAGAGGAAGCGGCAGTATCCAGTAAGGAATTCGATGCTCTGTAGCGAATTTTAGCGTCTCAATGGTTTGGTTAGGCAGGCTGAGAATCCCGCGGCTGCCAGCGGATGGAAGGCGACGCTGTTTGCGCTGCTGGAAGAAATTCCGGTGGACTTCCGCGCTCGCGTTGGCTCGATTTGTCTGGATGGGACTTCTGTGACCACGATGATCGTCGACAGGTTTTCTACATTTTTCTTGGTTTTTTCCATGAACTCATCACGAAGTTTTCCAGAAACACGGGTGAATTGTTGTCCCGTCCAGTTCTATATAACGAGAGCTGTTCCCAGAGTCTACCATTCGTCCACCAGATTGCTCCTGCCAACCACACTGTTCTCACTGGAACTTCCACTCTCTGCAAAATGGTCGCATGGTGGCAGCGAGCCGAGAAAGAGCAAAGGAAGAACGCGATTTTGATGCACCAGGCGGACTGGAGAAATTTCCAGGTGGGTAGAGCATGGAACCCCACCCTTGGACTGGGATGAGGAAAGAAGAGGTAAAAATCAATTTTCATTCCCTCTAGCTTGTCCAACAAGCATCGGCACACTTGGGCATGCCATGGCAGTCAGCTCCATGGCCTCGGCCATGTCTGGTGCCAGCCAGCTCCGGGGCTTTGACCATGTCCTGTAGCACCAGCCTGCTCTGCCAGCCAGCTCTAAGGCCGAGTGCTACCCAGCTCCAAAGCCGAATGCTAAGGCGTCTCTGCCATGGCCAGCCAAGCCAAGGCCATGTCCCAAGGCAAGAGCAGGGAGTTCAGAAAAATGTTCCTTATCTTTCTATAAAATAGAAGAAATTAAAAGGAACAAAAATTATTTATACTATATATATAAATAAAGGTGGGCTACAAAACCAACCCTGGTTTGGGATTTTTTTATAAAAAAAAGAAACCATGGTTTCTTTAATGAAAATAGTGTGTGAGGTCACACAATTTTAAAAGGGGGAGTGATTGTTATTGATGCAGCGAGTTATTGTGGCTCAGGTTCCCAAACCAATGCAAAGTGGTGATAGTTGAGCTCGTGGAGTTTTAGGGTTCTTGGAGTTTGAAATTAAATCCTTGTAATAGAGTTGTTTGGTTCAAAATTCATTTTTTGGTTTTACCTCGATATATTTAGATTATATTTAGATATTTTTACCATTTAACAATTGTTATTAATCTTGTATTTATAATTTATAAAATTTTCTAGTATATTCTAAATGTATTCTACTATCTAATCTTGTATTTATAAATTATAAACATGTTTAAAATTATAAAACTTTTGACCTAAACATGATGAGTTTTATCCTAACACTCTGAACTATGAATTAGACTATGAACACTCACAACTATAAATAACTTGCTATGTGTTGCATTTAGCAATGCTTGGTTTACTTAATATTTATTAATCCAATTCATCAAATAAAGTTTATAGTTATAAGCATGTTTGTAATTTATAAACACAAGATTAATCTTATTTCATATTAAGATGATAGAATAAAAAAGAATATATTAGAAAGGGTTTTAAAAACTTTATAACTTATAAACATGTTTATAAATTATAAATAAAAAATTAATCTAAATGAATAACAACCGTTAGATGGTAGAATAATTTAAAATATTCAAGCATATTCTAAATATATTCACTACCATCCCTATTACAGGTTTGCTTAAGCAAACCAAAAAGCTATTCAATTATTTAATTACTCAGAAAGTTTATTGTGAAGTATAATGCAAAGTTACTAGTTAAATGCAAACTTTGAATAACTTAGTTCTAGCATGATCATTAAAAAAAAGTGGTTTCACAAATGTGTGATGAATACTTATTTGGTTTCATATCAACTTCTATTCTAGCAAAAAAATTAGAATTCTTAATTGAATCACACAATAAGCAACATGTAGAATGATTTAATCACTATAATGTAAACTAATGTAGGCTGGGTTTGATCTCGAAACGTGGCTACAGAAGCAAGAGTTTGCCAACGATGCTACCCACGTTAGACTGTAACACCATGAAGCAGCTTGAAGGTTTTGTGCCTCAAGTAACACTGGGGTGCTACATAGTATTAGAAAGCTCAATTACCTAGAAAAAAAACTGAAGTAACAATGAATCAATTGAACTTACTGCCTTGCCTAGTTCCAGCCCGAGTGCCACCACCTTTGATGTCGCGGTTACCACCATCACAGAGAGAATCTGCAAAGGTGAAGAGCGCAGTGGGGCAGATTGAGCCCGCGCTACTCTGCTTTGCAGATTTGGCTGCTGCAAGAACGAACAAAGCAGCGAAGAAGAACATGGTGGTGGCTGAAGTGGTGGAAGAAGACACTATTGCTAGGATTGTGTTGGAGATAAGAGTTTGTATAGTGGTGAGTGTGGACTATTTTGTGTCCAAGCTATTCCAGATGTAGCTGGGGAGCTCTATAAGTAAATGGCTAAGAAAGCCGTAATACTATCAGTTGTCCCTGTGCAAACAACACAGTCTGGAGGAAGCTCTGAGATAAAAATGTCCATAAGGAAGGAAGCAGATATAAGAATGTCGATTAGCAGAGGTAGTCACTTTTGTAGAATTGCTAGCATCCATTGCACGTTACGCTTCTATGGTGTGAATGTGATGGAACCTGGGGCTGTTGTAGGAACAGTCAAGGTGGTTTCATTCAGCAATGCATCAATTTGAACATACATTCCATTCAGATACCTCAATACATTACATTTAGATAGTTCAGGCTTTTAACTTGAGTTTCTTGCATCTGAGTGAGATCGGAAACCAAAACACAACCAAACTAGTCCTACGCCATTTGGAAATATTTCTCAAGCTCCACCAAATGCCAGCGAATCCTGTGGCGGGGCCATGATGACAGGCTTCTTCTCGGATGTCCTCTCTCGCGCAGGTACATTCTATTAGTATATGTCTTGCGTATCTTTTATTTTGTGGGCTCACAAGAAGGAAAAACCAAAAGAGAAAATAGTGCCCTTTGGAGTGATGGACTTTGCTACTTCAGGAGATGCTGTGGGTCAGCAATTGGCACAAACATGTCATGATTTGCCTCACAACACAGAAACTTAGCATATAACACATATAGACATATTGAATCCAGTATTCAGGATCACCTTGTGTTTCTATCTGATCTGGATAGATGTTATGAAGCTCTACACATTAATCACAAGAATTAGCCTTCCATAATGCTTGCAATAGTTTGTGTGAAGGCTTTCTGCAAGATCACAAGTTCACCATTTTTATCTTTTCTAGCCTCTACTGATAAATGTACTCAAAATCTTCTTAAGAGTGTTTGCATGTGTGGATATTTTCTTGCTTCTTCTAAGTGCATTTTCAATCTTTCAAAAAACGTAATTTTCCCTAAAACTGTAACTTTGGGGAGCGTTTTCATTTCCTCATCAACACACGTCAATACCACTAAGTCTTCCTTTCCTTCCCTCATCCACAGCCTGATTGCTAGTTCTTCAACTCGATGTTTTCCCTGACTATAAAATTCAGGATTGGGGCCTCTTGAGCAAGAGTCTGCAGAATTGGTTTTGTTTAGTGTTCAACAAAATTCTCAGTCTTACCAATTGAAGAATCCAAAGAATGGCATTGCCCAGCCTGCTCTCAACAAAGCTCAAGCCGCTTGAGCTCCTGTCCGGTGTCACTCATTATGATCTTCCGCCAATTCCCTGTTCTCTTCCTGTCAAGTGTCATCCTCAATTTGCTAAGTTTTCTCGCATTGCCGATACATGGGCCATCGACGCAATGCAGCTGCAAAATGATCCATGTGGAAAGCTCAAGGCTGTGCAGAGCCGAGCCCCGCTGCTTTACTGCTTCCTCGTCCCTTTCGGCATCGGAGAGGAAGAAATGATTGCAGGCTGCAAGTACAGCTGGTCGACTTCCTTCGTGGATGATCCATTTGACGAAGAAACGGATTTGAAGCGGGCCAAGGAATGGAAGAAGGTCGTGCTGCGAGCTGCGAACGGTACTCCCAGTGCTGAAGATTTGATGATAAGGACGATAAAAGCTTATTCGGAGATTATGATGCACCTGCAACAGATGATGGCGGCCCCAGTGTTTTCGAGGTGATGACCCCAATTCTGTTTGCTTCTTTCCTAGAAATAAGACTTTGTTTTCTGTACAGGTTCATGAGGGCTCACTACGCTTGGGCAGATCACTGCGTGGAGCTTGTTCGTAGAAGGCAGCATAAAGACCCTCCAACTGTAGCCACATACCTTGCAGACAGGTGCGAAAATCTGCTCGTAGAACCGATCTTCATTCTGGCGGAGGTGTGCATGAAGCTTCAGATTGACCCGGAGTTCCTGTCGCTGCCAGAGTTCAAGAAAATCTGGACCACAATGCTGGAACATGCGGCTATCGTGAACGACGTCTTGTCAATCCGTGTAGACATCCTCAACGGACACTACTACACCTATCCTGGCCTCGTCTTCCAGCAGCATCCTGAGATCCAAACTTTCCAGGAGGCTGTGGACTATTCCGTGGGGATGATCCAGACCAAGGAGAGAAAGTTCATCAAACTGCACGAGATGCTGACCGACAAAGCCAGGCAATGCGGCTTCAAGAACAAGTCCGACTTGCTCAAGTATGTTGAAGCTTTGCCAAACTTCATCGCTGGAAATCTTTACTGGCACTACCTTAGCGCCAGATACTTCGGTGTCAACAACCCCTTCCTCACCGGAGAGCCTGTCCAAGGCACCATCCTCATCCATCCCCGCAACACAGTCGTGCTCCCACCTTACCAGCGAAACAAGCACCCCTTTCTCATCGATGTCGACAATCTGGAGCTCGGTGCGTGATTACTGGTAAGCGCGGATCGTTAAGTTACTCACTTCACTATCTGGTTTGTTGTGCACTTTCTGAACATAAGAAATCCGAATGTAAATATCAAGCGAAAAAATAAAGGAAAAAACCATGAATTATGTGTTCCTCGCGCGATGATCTTTTCAATACTTCCCACATATGGACCCTGAGTCAACACATGTAAACGAAAAGGTCAGGAAGAGAGTCAAAGCTCTACATGCAAGGTCCTTGGCAGCTGCCGAAACCGAGTTTTGTTTATCTCATCATTGATGGTTTCCATTGCATTATTGCAGTTTTGTGATGAAGGACCGCACCTCTCCTGCAACGCTATCTAGATCAGTTCGTAGCCGCCCACCTGGAGTTTAAGAGAAAGATGGTACAAGTCTTATAAGTTCTTTGAGCTAATTCAAAACTATTTGTACCTGGATGATCAACACATAATTTATCAGCCTGGCATTCCTCTGGAAGTTATCGCGGTTGACGTGGAGGAGAGCCATTGAGCAGACTGCACCTGGACAGGTATTCGTGGCCATCCAACAGAATCCAGATTTTTCTTTCACAGACTTGAGCTCGTCGCAGACTGTACATCTCAGGGTCCTTCATCTCGCCTATTCGAACGATACAGACTCAACATCTGGAGCTTCAGTACCGCAGTTAGGCAGCAGAGTGCTCAAGTCGGACGGACAGCTGGATGAAATGTACTCGAGATGATCTAAACTCGAGCTAGAGCCGAATCATCATAGCCACCAGCAAGCAGCTTCACGAGCTTCATGGATCAAATCTGCCATGGACGGTACGCATGAACGTCGTCCAGGGAGTTGCTAATGCACTGAGCTACTTACACGAGGAGGCAGCAAGCACTGGACCCATAATTCACCGAGACATCAAGCCAGCAAACATCTTCCTGGACCAAAACATGGAAGCACACCTTGGGGACTTTGGGATAGCCAGGAATTTACGACTGGAAAGCAGCATGCATTGGGAAAGCAAGCTCAAAGGCTCGATCGGCTATGGATTCTAGAGACGCTTACCAGGATCCGACCGACGAGCGGCACGCTCAAAGATATTTCGCTGCGGAGCTGGGTGGAATCACACCTGGTCGAAGGCCGGCTGGAAGACGTGCTGGATCCCGTCCTCCGCCAAGATTCGACCGCAGAGAGGAGCATCGACGCCGTGGCCAGGATCGGGCTCGTGTGTAGCCACCCGATCGCCGCGGCCCGGCCGCGAATGGGGCAAGTGAGCGCCATTCTCCGCTCGTGTGTATCATAACAAGGTCTTGTTCTATATATAGGAATATTCTAGGAAGTGTTTAAAAAATTGGCCGTTGGAATTAGGGCTTACGTGGACGGGCTAAGGCTATGGCTCCCGCATTGGCGTGCTCTCTCGGCAATGCGCCAGGATCACTAGGTCAGGGTTTTTCTCCCAGGAGGAGCGGCCGATTCGCCGCTACCGCGGCGGCCGACTCGAATCCATCGCTGCATTCTTCTTCTCTGTTCGCGGGTTTTGATTTCGGGACGTCCGGCGCGCGCGTTGTGGTGATCGACAAGGAAGGGGAGATTCTTGCGGAGAGGAAGCGGCAGTATCCAGTAAGGAATTCGATGCTCTGTAGCGAATTTTAGCGTCTCAATGGTTTGGTTAGGCAGGCTGAGAATCCCGCGGCTGCCAGCGGATGGAAGGCGACGCTGTTTGCGCTGCTGGAAGAAATTCCGGTGGCCTTCCGCGCTCGCGTTGGCTCGATTTGTCTGGATGGGACTTCTGCGACCACGATGATCGTCGACAGGTTTTCTACATTTTTCTTGGTTTTTTTCCATGAACTCATCACGAAGTTTTCCAGAAACACGGGTGAATTGTTGTCCCGTCCAGTTCTATATAACGAGAGCTGTTCCCAGAGTCTACCATTCGTCCACCAGATTGCTCCTGCCAACCACACTGTTCTCACTGGAACTTCCACTCTGTGCAAAATGGTCGCATGGTGGCAGCGAGCCGAGAAAGAGCAAAGGAAGAACGCGATTTTGATGCACCAGGCGGACTGGCTCTTGTATCTTCTCCATGGGCGACTCGGTATTTCCGATTACAACAACGCTCTAAAGGTGTGGAGCTAGCTTTCTTCATGCTTACGTTCAACACGTAAAACAATGTAGGTTGGCTTTGATCCCGAAACAGAGGAGTATCCAGATTGGTTACGGAAGCAGGAGTTTGGCGACATGCTGCCGAATGTGATAGAACCTGGGGCTGTTGTAGGGAAAGTCACTTCTACAATAGCGACTACCTTTGGTAATCTACGTTCCTTATGCCTGTTTTCATTCCTCACGGACATTTTTATCTCAGGACTTCCCTCAAACTGCGTTGTCTGCACGGGGACAACTGATAGTATAGCAGCTTTCTTAGCTGCTCGAGCTACGGAACCTGGCGAAGCAGTAAGTTCAATTGTTGTTACTTTAGAGTTCTTTTATCTTTGAATTTTCCTTCAGGTAACTTCCCTTGGATCGACACTTGCAGTGAAGCTTATAAGTACCGAGCGAGTTGATGATGCCCGCTATGGAGTGTACAGCCATCGGATTCAGGGCCAATGGCTCGTAGGCGGGGCTTCAAACACGGGAGGCATTGTCCTGCGACAGTATTTTAGCGACAAGGAGTTGGACGTTCTCAGTCACGCTATTAATCCCAACAAACCTTCAGTTCTAGATTATTATCCTCTGCCAAGTACAGGTGAGCGTTTTCCGGTGGCAGATCCCAACCTGGAGCCCAGGTAACACTGCCTCCATTACGCATCGAGGAACGGAATTTTTGTTACAGGCTAGATCCACGGCCACCTAGTGATGTGGAGTTTCTGCATGGATTGCTTGAATCAATTGCTCGCATTGAGGTCAGAAAGCTGGTTTGTGCAATGCTGTGGCCGCTGTCGTCTAACTTTATTGTCTCTGCCAACTTCAGGCTCGAGCATATAAGCTGCTGGGAGACTTGGGAAGTACAAAGCTAAGAGCTGTTTTTACCTCAGGAGGCGGTTCCAAGAATCATGTTTGGGAACGCATAAGGCAGAGGGTTTTGGGAGTTCCAGTATCTGCCTCGCAGCACACGGAGGCTGCCTACGGAGCTGCTTTGCTAGCGCTCCAAGGGTCTGGATCAATACAGTGACGCGATACATTGCGTTTCTCGAGTTCTAAGTACTGTTTTGCAAGTTACTCATGTAATGTTCAGGACACTGCTTCTTGGACCCGGACGAACGTCTGGTAATGGTACGTTCATTAATAGCTAGCTGGTTGACACGGCCGAATGACTTCGTGTGTTTGTAGGGGGGATGTTACATGCACGAACAGCAAAGTGAGTTTAATTTTCAACCGTACCACGTGCTCGTTCAGCAAGTTTGGTTGTCGAGAGTAATTCTTGCAGGCATCGCAAAATCTTTTGCACCTGGGACTGACAGATTCAAATGTGCAAGCTTCCGAAGTGTTTTGATAGAGGTACTTTCGGCTGCGGTAAACTCAGTTGCTTTCGGTACTAAACTTGAACTGTGTAAAAGGTAACAGAACTCTTGTGAGTTGCTTAAACGGGGGAGGGTCTATTTTCACGCTCTCGCTCTCAGATGCGTGCTGTATTCTTTTCTTTTACTATGCGCCTGCTATGACAATATTGGTAATTTTTTCCATTTCCGTGTCTGTGACTCCAATTATTGAAGCTCGTGTAACTTTTGAATGGACGATTTCAGCTGGACGCCTCTTCAACAATAAGAGATGGCTGATTTAACAGGAAGTCGGCAGCAGAGCATGCATCAACGATGAATAGATTGAAGCGTTCTTTGAACGCCTCGACCTGCTGTGCTTTCGATTTGAAGCGGTCGCAGAATCTTTTCATGTTTATTATTATATGGCCTTCGCTCATCATCCGGCCCAGAAGAGATTATTCTCGGCGTGCGTCGTCAGCATTGTCAACCACGATCGAAGGTCCAAAAAATTGTGGATTTTCCCTTTCCTGCTATACACCCCATGCATGTTAAAAGAAAGCCGTGTTTGTTTTTGTAGGGAGGCTTGGCTGGTTGTGTGCGGCTTCAAAGTACAAGAACAAACACAATCCAACAGTTTTTTGTCCAGTGCAGTAGCCAAGACAGAAAAAAACAGGGGAAGAGCTTCTGGAGAGAAAGAGAAATCAAATGCCCGAGAGAAGGAGGAGCTCTATCCCCGTTGATCGTCGTCTTCGTCTCGATGAACTAGAAGCGAATGTGACGTCTACGTCCGGCCAGAGAGCGTCCAAACGAGACTCCGATTTCCAGGCGAGGGACGACACTAGCAAGAGAGAAAGAATCTTCGCCGAGGTAACTTACTTTCCGTACTGCCATGATCAGGTATCATCTTTTTTGGCTCGTCGTCATTCAGCTGCGTGTTCTAACGTCTCTTACGACATGCAGCACACACAGCAGCGATGCAACTTGGGGCGGATTAAAGTAATCATGGTTCGTCGCTGGAAGGATTGCGCTGCTTATTTTTCTTTTATAATCTTCATGCCATGAACAGCAAATCCTAAAAACAGTGCAAGGTGACAGAGGGTGAGTGGGCCATTCCTTTTAAGACAGTGACTCGTTTGATTCTTCTCCTCGGTTTTGTTTAATCGTTTCTCACGCTACCATTGTTTCCAACAGGTAAAGTCAAAGAAGAGCTCGGTATGTATGGAGTCTGGAGTTTGGAGTTTCTCGCGGAAGATTTGAACTCTGGCCACTGGATTCTCAGAGCTTCCTGGCCGCGACGACCACCACCAAGGCCATTAAGCATTTAAAAGGTGAGCTCCTCCTGCATGTCTGTTTCAGAGGAACTGTTAAAACAGTACTAAGCTGGCCAGAAATCTCTGGAGAAGCTTTGCAGGTTCTGGTTTTGTCCAAATGTGGGGAAGGCTCTGCGCGTTTCAGAAAAGAATAGGAGAAGGAAACACCCCTCTCCAATAATGCTGGCTGCAGCTCGCACTTTTCTTGTGATTTCTCTTCGCCTTCCCTGCTTGCTGGAAGAGG